GAGATAGGTATAGTGACAGCAGCACAAGTTTGGAAGATGATTCATCTGCTCCAGCATGAATTCAAATATAATATGTAAACATAAAATCAAAATAGATGAAAGAAAAGGTACTACCAATTTTGTTATAGTATCAGGTTTACTTAAAAATAAAGTATAAAATAAAAATAGGGGAAACTGTATAGTAAAATATATAAAATAAAGTACAATAAAATGAAAAATAAGAAAGACTAGAAGAAATATGAAAATAAAATAAAATAAGATAAACTAAACTAGACTAGACTGTAGAGTATGTTTTAGCTTATCCCGTATCTTTGGTGTCATAGCCCATATCTTTAGTGACAAGTACATGTAAATGTAGAAAAACCCCTAAGCTGTAGGGTATAACTGTAAAAATATGGAGTGTAGAGTATATGCTATTATTATATTATATAATATTTTATTAGTGAGAAAGACTAAAGCGTTTCCATATCAGTAAACTGTATAACGGTAAAGAATCCTGGCCTGAATCATAATGAGAGAAAATAACTAAAATAACTGTGACTTGTATTATATCGTAGTCTATTTGTTACATTTATATACGGCCGATTGCAGATACTATTTCTACTACTACTACTATCTTTTCCCTGTTACATCCTGTTGTGTGATTTCACTGTTTTACTATTATTTTATCCCTTGATTTCGATTTAATTATGTTACTTCATTACCTGATTTACAAAATCTGATATTACCTGATATCCAAAAGTGACTATTTTAGATAAGAAATCAGGAAGTAGTTAGTTAGTCTCGGGTCTATTTTGACCCTATTCTATGGGTCTATTTCGACCCTGTTCTAGGGGTCTGTTTTGACCCTGTTCTGCGGGTCTATTCTATTCTACGGGTCTGTGTTGACCCTTTTCTACGGGTCTCTTTTGACCCTGTTCTGCGGGTCTATTCTATTCTACGGGTCTGTTTTGACCCTGTTCTACGGGTCTGTTTTGACCCTGTTCTGCGGGTCCATTCTATTCTACGGGTCTGTTTTGACCCTGTTCTGCGGGTCTATTCTATTCTACAGGTCTGTTTTGACCCTGTTCTAAGGGTCTGTTTTGACCCTGTTCTGCGGGTCTATTCTATTCTACGGGTCTGTTTTGACCCCTTTATACGGGTCTCTTTTGACCCTGTTCTGCGGGCCTATTCTATTCTACGGGTCTGTTTTGATCCCTTTCTACGGGTCTCTTTTGACCCTGTTCTGCGGGTCTATTCTATTCTACGGGTCTGTTCTGACCCTTTACAACGGGTCTCTTTTGACCCTGTTCTGCGGGTCTATTCTATTCTACGGGTCTGTTCTGACCCTTTACAACGGGTCTCTTTTGACCCTGTTCTGCGGGTCTGTTCTATTCTACGGGTCTGTTCTGACGCTTTCCAACGGGTCTCTTTTGACCCTGTTCTGCTGGTCTATTCTATTCTACGGGTCTGTTCTGACCCCTTTCTACGGGTCCCTTTTGACCCTGTTCTGCGGGTCTATTCTATTCTACGGGTCTGTTTTGACCCTTTTCTACGGGTCTCTTTTGACCCTGTTCTGCGGGTCTATTCTATTCTACGGGTCTGTTCTGACCCTTTACAACGGGTCTCTTTTGACCCTGTACTGCGGGTCTATTCTATTCTACGGGTCTGTTCTGACCCTTTACAACGGGTCTCTTTTGACCCTGTACTGCGGGTCTATTCTATTCTACGGGTCTGTTTTGACCCTTTTCTACGGGTCTGTTTTGACCCTGTTCTTTAAACTCAAGGAAAATGGAGTGTATGGCTCCATGCAAGGAGATTATAGCTGCAATGGAGGCTACAGGAAGAAGAGATAGGTATAGTGACAGCAGCACAAGTTTGGAAGATGATTCATCTGCTCCAGCATGAATTCAAATATAATATGTTAACATAAAATCAAAATAATTGAAAGTGAAGGTACTACCAGTTTTGTTATAGTATCAGATTTACTTAGATAGAAAATATAAAAATAATAATAGAATAAGAGTAGAGTAACATGTATAGTAAAATATATGAAATAAAATAAAGTACGAATAAAATGAAAATAAGAAAGACTAGAAGAAATATAAAATAAAATAAAATAAGATAAACTAAACTAGACTAGACTGTAGAGTAATGTTTTAGCTTATCCCGTATCTTTGGTGTCATAGCCCATATCTTTAGTGACAAGTACATGTAAATGTAGAAAAACCCCTAAGCTGTAGGGTATAACTGTAAAAATATGGAGTGTAGAGTATATGCTATTATTATATTATATAATATTTTATTAGTGAGAAAGACGAAAGCGTTTCCATATCAGTAAACTGTATAACGGTAAAGAATCCTGACCTGAATCATAATGAGAGAAAATAACTAAAATAACTGTGACTTGTATTGTATCGTAGTCTATTTGTTACATTTATATACGGCCGATTGCACATACTATTACTACTACTACTACTATCTTTTCCCTGTTACATCCTGTTGTGTGATTTTACTGTTTTACTATTATTTTATCCCTTAATTTCGATTTAATTATGTTACTTCATTACCTGATTTACAAAATCTGATATTACCTGATATCCAAAAGTGGCTATTTTAGATAAGAAATCAGGAAGTAGTTAGTTAGTCTCGGGTCAATTTTGACCCTTTACAACGGGTCTGTTTTGACCCTTTACAACGGGTCTCTTTTGACCCTGTTCTGCGGGTCTATTCTATTTTACGGGTCTGTTTTGACCCTTTACAACGGGTCTATTTTGACCCTGTTCTGCGGGTCTATTCTATTCTACGGGTCTGTTCTGACCCTTTACAACGGGTCTCTTTTGACCCTGTTCTGCGGGTCTATTCTATTCTACGGATCTGTTTTGACCCTTTACAACGGGTCTATTTCGACCCTGCTCTGCGGGTCTGCTTGGACCCTGTTCTACGGGTCTGCTTTGACCCTGTTCTACGGGTCTGTTTTGACCCTGTTCTGCGGGTTTGCTTCGACCCTGTTCTGCGGATCTGCTTTGACCCTGTTCTGCGGGTCTGCTTTGACCCTGTTCTACGGGTCTGCTTTGACCCCTTTCTACGGGTCTATTTTGACCCTTTTCTACGGGTCTGTTTTGACCCTTTTCTGCGGGTCTGTTTTGACCCTGTTCTGCGGGTCTATTTTGACCCTAAAGCCGTTTTTTTACAAGTTATAAAATCATTTTTGCCAATCAACGCCTAAAATATTACACTTTTACCGGAACGAAATAAAAATAAAATATAACCGTAAATCTAGTAAAAGAAAGGTATTAACCAAATTTTCACCTTTCGTGGTATTTATTTCTTCTTTTATATCGTCCAAATCCTCTTGTCCTTCGATAGCTTTTCGAGCTTCCTGTTCAGTTATATCTTCACCTTCTATTAACTCGTCCAGTCGGCGTTCCGCTAAAAACGGTTCGACGTTCCGATTTTTCTTCTGACATTTTTAATAACACAATTTGTTTGTCCACTTCGGCTTTCTGTTACATACGAGGATACACGTAACGAGCATCAATATTTTCTTATGATATTAAAAACTATGAAAATTACAATATTCCTACCTTCCTGATTAAACTGATATCTTCTTCTCTTCATTTTCCATATACATCTTTCAATTTCTCAAATTTCTCTTCCAAAACTTTATACTTTTCTACAAAAACATAACAGAGAAGTTATATTAGATTGCGATATAAATGTACACGTATGTATGCACCAACCTTCGCTTTCATCAACTTTCGCCATCGTGTCTGCTTTTTGTTTAAGAGAGTCCTGATTTACCTGTTTTTCTTGTTCAATTTCATTGCCCTAAAAAATAAAAACAACTTGTTACATAGACTGTTTTTGTAAACCATAATGTTAATGATTAATTAAAACGTTTTTACGTTAATAAGCGAACCCGATTCAAGTTGCATGACACGACTCTGAAGCTCTTCCGTGATTCGTTGATGATCCATCGGTAGACGATGCGATTCTTGTCTCTGGTGACTATTTTCTTGCTGTAAATGATCGATGGGACTTTCTCTAAAATACATATGTTCGGAACAATTAATAATCTTCTATCGCGTAAGAGTAATAAGCGATCATTTTTCTAATTAGTATTAACATTTTCTATTCGCTCTTTATTTAAGTTTACCTTTCCGCTAAAGATTCTTCTGGTGGCGATACCACCCTCGGCGTCGCGTACGTTCGTAACTCGGATTGTATCAAAAAGTTTGGTGGATTCTTCGATAAACATTATACATGGGGTAAATCGATAAAGAAATTTAACAGCTTTTATGAGCATTTTATGGTAGAAACCATTCCTTCGAATCACTAAATTCTGTTTAAAAATAAATTTAATTCCAAAAATCTTACCTCGGCTTACACGGGTATTCTTTAACGATGCACTAACTGAAATCATTAACGTAACAGTGATACATGAATACATCGAAACACATAATATTATTGGACCGTCTCTCATGCTTGCTCGGGGAAGACCTCCTGCTCCCCCCTTGTCTCTCGAGGCCCCAGGGAGTACCTAGGGACAAATTCCCTATAGCATCCCGGCCTCTCTCAACGGTTGGCATCGGCGCCAATCGCGCCATCTGCGGGAGTAACTAGGAAGTTACTCATGCTCCTGTCGCGTATTTTAGCGGGGAATTTGAGATAAGAACGCGGGTTGGTGCCCGTGGAGCGCAGAACCGCTCTGCTTGTCGGAGTGTGGGAATTTAATAATAAAACTAGACAAGAGAACTCTTTCGTTAGGTAACTTCGTACTTTATTCTACTGGTCCGAAGGCCGGTTAGAGACACAATGACATAAGAAAAATCGTAGCGTTTCGAAGTCACCTCCGAGGTCCTCGCCGAAGTCGTTGGCCAAATCCTCCTAGTCCTCCCATAGATCCTCGTAGTCCAATCAGGGTGAAGGACGCATCAGATCCAAGCGGTAGGCCGTCCTTCCGATGCACGCACGCCCCCGCGAATCGGCGTCTAACTTTCCCTCCGTCTTCGGGTGGTGGTGGTAACTCGGTGGAGTCGCGCTTTTCCGTTACACAGCGGGGTGCCCACGTGGGAAGAGAAAGTAGGCTCTGCTCCGAGGATCGAGAGAACAACCCTTGAAGGAAATTTATGACTTCCTTAGCGTCGCCAACATTTCTGGAGTCGATCGACGCTCCTAAGACTAACAAAAGGACAAGGCCTTTTCAAGAGGTTACGTGACTTACGAGAAACTCGCGATTCGTTTCGGGGTCTGCTAATTGGTGTCCTCTTCCTGTTTTCGAGCTCTACCCAAGATCTTTCCCACGCGTGCCACCAGCATCGCGCATCCTTAACAATATTCTCTCAATCACGCATAACCATCCGCTTTTGAATTTCGCTCCTAATTTACCTATCGATTATTATATTTCTGGGGCTACGTTCGCGTGGTCACGCAACACTCCCTACAATATTAATAACGCATTGGAAGTTTAAAGCAAATTAATCGGCAAGGCTCGCTCGATCGCTTCTGAGAGCGCGACTCCTCTGAACTCCTTTGGTGGCGAGCATGGGAGGCGACGCCACAGGCCTAACAACCTCGGACCTAAATCCCCTAGCCTGAGATGTTGGGTCTTTGGGGGGTTAGATTTTTGGGGGTTACAATTTGTAAAAAAACAAAAGCCACCGTTCTTTATCGAAAATTACTGACATATTATGAGATTAGTTTTCGATCTAAATTAATAGGGGCGCCGTCTAGGGTGCAAAGGGGTGAATTGTTTCTCGACAAACTTGGGCGTTTTGTAGGTAGATGTCGTCTTGACACGTGTATATAGATATACAGTGTTGTACTACGTAGTTTTTATATTAATAATAATAAGCTTTAGACACTGTTTATTAATTAAACTGACGCACGTACAGTCTCCGGTTAATGTGTATTACGTTTTACGTGATGTGAAGCCATGTATTTGCTCAAAGAAACGTAGAAACTAGGAATATGTGTGCAGTGTCAAGAGGGGTTGTTTTGACAGGAATAGGACTGTTTCTGGACAATTTTGGGCCTTTGGCGTTAATTGTGAAGCATTTATAAGTGATCTAAATTACAGAGTACTCGATTGTTGCATTAGTAAATAAATTAAAATTAGTTTTCGATCGTAAATAATTGAGACGCCATCTAGTGTGCAAAGAGGTGAATTATTTCTCGACAAACTTGGCCGTTTTGTGGTAGATGTCGTCTTGATATATATAGATATACAGCGAATCAGGTAGGGTGGTGCCCATTTAAGTGACCGCGAAACGGTGTAAGGGGCATTTATAGGGGATAGCGTGGTCAGTTATGTGGACACTACTCTAGTTATTATAATAATAAGCTTTAGACACTGTTATTAATTAAATTTACGTACATATAGTCTGAACAAGTTAATGTGTATTATGCTTGACACGATGTAAAACCGTGTATTTGCTCAAAGAAACGTAAAAGCTATGAATATGTGTTGCAGTATCAAAGAGGGAGGTTAGCAGGGCCTTCTGACAGGAACAGGACTGTTTCTGGACAAGTTTGGACCTTTGGCGTTAATAGCGAACCATTTATAAGTGATCTTAATTACCGAGTACTCTATTGTTATATTAATAAATAAATTAAAACTAATTAATTCCTTTTTCACACAACCTTCCGCGCGTATGCAGTTGTTCGCGGTTTGCCATTCTGCAGGCGGAACTTTAACCTTTTTAACGAAGCCTCGATCAACAAATTGCTATTCTTTTTCTTTGCTGGGAAAACAACTGATTCTATTAGTTTATTTATGTCGAAGAAAAATAATTTATTAATCGCTATATATCAAGTCATTTAATGTGCTTACATTCTCTTTCGCTTATACATATGTACTTACTTGTATGAATGATTTATTGATTGCGTATGGACTTGGCAATAAAGTTTTGATTATGTTAAATTAAAACCCGTCGACGAGCCGATGAAATGCTGTAGCATTGCTTAAAACTAGAAAAAAATAAAATAGTACATATATGTGCATATAATAGTTAATTGAGATGCGTGTAGATCGATCGAACCTGCCGACTGAGCCGACTGGTCGCCCGAGTTGAATGAGTGTCAGCAAGCGGTGGTAATTTCTGTATGAAAAAAGTATACATGTATAATAAGTATACATATAGAAAATACCATATAAAAAAAAAAAGGAATTTTTTAATGGTGTCAAAATCATTAAGGCTGTGTTTGGAAAAATGTTGAACCCAAATCTAATCTTTCGGATACTAGCCAAGTTTTTCTATAAATTTAGAAACCCTAACGTAGTACACGCTACTCATTGAACGAGGGTTTATGTTTTCAAATCATTTGTAATTACATCTTTTACTCTGAACGATGTGAAATTGTAGGAATCAATGGGGGGAGGGTGGTGGTTTCATGTAGCCAGTTTATTGTAATTTCTTCGACCGAAATCATCGTCACGGTTTCTAGAAAAAGTACAGCAAATTGAAAGAAAATTAATTATGCGATATATCGTTGAGCGTTACTGCCGAGTAGGGCTGTTGTTGCATCAAACTGTATTAATATTACAAAAAATTCTTACACGGATTTAATATATGTTATTTTAAGCTAATAATTTGGTATATCTGAAATATTGCTTATTATAATGCAGTTGTTTTTACAAAAGTTGCGTGGTATAGGGAGAAAAGACAATTGTTATTTTAGCTGTTTCAATCTGTTAAGAAAGTGGAAAATTCGAAATTTCTTTCCTACTTATATTTATGGAAATTTATTATCCATCGTATACTATTTTATGGACATCGAACAACTTTTGTGAAAAGCAACTGTTCACACTTTTCACCATAAAAAATATATGTGAATGCAATGAACGTTCCGTTTTAAGTGAAATTCTATTAATTTATTGCTTGAAAAGAAAAGAAAAAAAAAAATGAAATTCATATTATTGGCTTTTATATAGATTTATATTCTGAACGATAAAAAACAGACATATGTATTTCTAAAATAAATAAAACGAAACATCATTAAAATCTTCGTATAACATACAGCGCATATAATTGATAATATACATCGCATTTCTTGTTAGCAAAAAAAGTTTAAGGAATATCTTGTATAGATGTAAATTTTGTATAGAAAAACTGTCTGAAAATTTTATACGCATCTTACGTTTAAAACAACAAAACGACGATCTCGACAGTTTTCTCTTAAAATCTTAAATATTACAATTTACGTAAAAAATCTTTCTATTTAACTAATATAAATTTGTTATTTCTCGTAAATACAATTAATATTAACGCGCGCCGGAGCTTGTAAACGTTCCTCAAAATCAATATACATATGCAATAAGTAAAGCGTTTTAGAACTCGTTGAGAAAGCGTAGTCGCAAAGATACGTTAAAATCGATCAAGTTACAACACATGTCACTTTTATAATACTATAATACTACTATTATACAAATCGAACACGTAAATAACATTAAAAATAGAAATTTTATAACTGCAACTTAATTATTAGAAACAATCGAGAAAAAAGAAAAAGAATGTCAAGCAAGACGATCGGCGAATACCTACGAAACTAACTTAACGGTAATGAGACAAGTATGCTGATTCGGATATAATATAAAACAATTAAACGCCATTCATATTTCTATCTCATTTCGGTAACAATCTTACAGCTTCGGGGATCATAACACTACCTTACTTAAGCATTTCAAATGCGAACGTTTCTTAGAATATATTGCAGTAAACAAAGACAAATGCATTAATACGTTATAAAAAATTTTGTATGTTATGTCGTACACATAAAGCATTTCAAATGTTGTGATAATACATCGTTGTGGCGTTGGCCAATGTTGTGAGAAATTAACCGCGATGGTCCACTATCTGAAACGAAACGATAACTATTAATAATCTAGCGTTAACAAGGTGTAGCGTACCAGAAAGAGTTGATGTGTAATGAGTTGATATGTATATGTATATGTATATGTATATGTACATATACATATTGGCTATAAGAAATAGAGTGGTGGGGCTACTTACCTACGAAAATATTCCTATGTACCAGTACTTGGTGTTGTCCTCGCCTTCTCGTTTCTAACATCGGTTTCCGTATTTTCTAGCCTCTGCTGTTCTAAAGAATTGTCCGACGGCGCGCCATCCGAATTCTCATTTTCTTCGCTATTCCTTTCGTGTTGGTCGACGTTCTGTTGTTCGAGCAAAGGCATATCTAAAGAATCCGAGGAGATGCGTCTAAAGCTAGCGTGCCCGACCATGTCCGACTGCGCCTCTTTCCCCTCCCGTACATTGTTCAACGAATCGGAACTCAACGAAGGGAAATCCAAGGTGGTCTTCATCTCCAACGAATCGGAACTTCGACACAACGGATGGTGTTTCATGTCCACGTTGTCCTCCAACTCGAGCGAGTCCGTACTCGTCTCCATAATGTTAGTCTCCTTTTGAATATGTACATCCTTCGTTTCCTCCTGCTTGGAAGCAGACTGAACGGCTGGTAGTTGGATTCCCGTTTTCTCCGCGTCCATGATCTCGATCTGCGAAATATCCTCGGTCGTGTCGTCCTGTCGATCGAATCTCTCCACGTTCGATTGTGCTATGCGTATGATCTCGTCGATCTCTTTGATCCTCTTCTCGTAGTCGTCCGATCCCGATGTGCTCGGATTGAACGAGCCCACGTTGTTCGTGTCGACTCGCGTCCTCGTCAGGTTCTCCAATTTGTATCTGTTCTCGGGGCTCTCGTGCTCCAGTAAGTCTTCTTCCTCTCTCGCTCGTAATTCGATTAAATGCGCCTCCCGGCAGGCCTTCTCCAGCCCCTCAAAGTCCTTCAACGAGGACAGCGAGACGTCGTCGCCGTGGCCGGATCGGCTGGCCGTGTACCTTTTTGGAAGACTGCCGTTGTTAACGGAATCGTGGGAACCGCACTGCAACTTCTTTGAATTCTCAGCGGCCACGGCGCTCTCCAAATGCTCAAACTCCTGCAGCGAACTCAACGACACGTTATCGTGCTCCGCCGTCTTAACGAAATACTTTTTACTCGCCAAAACGTCGTAATCCGGCGTGCTACCGAAACTACCACGCATGCTACCCACGCTACCTATCGACTCTTTCTGGCTACCCAGACTTCCGAATCTACTGCTACCGGCCTCGAAATCGGTTACCTCTTCCTCCTTTATATCCTCCAAAGGACCACGATCGTACTCGACACCGCAGACTCGAGCATCCACGTGGAACAGCATCTCCACCCATTTTTTACTCTCCTCGAACTGCTCGTCGTCCGAGTACGACTGAGAGTACTGATCGTCGTTCGAAGCTTGCGGCGGGCTCTCTTGCGACTCGAAATCGAACAGTTCGTTGTTCTTCGACGAATGGCTCGCCGTTTCTTGCAAATCCGTTTTCCTATCGGTCAAAAGGTTCTCGAGATCGCGATCGTAGTTCTTGCTGCTCACGATCGGCACGGAACTGATGCGTATGCTCTTACCTTCCGAATCGAATTCCTTCGCTTCCCGTCCCACCTCCTCGATCACCACAAAGTCGTCGATTATGTCAGGCTTGTCGACGATCTCGAACGAGTCGCTGTCCGGCGAATGACGATCCGATTTCTCTTTACCGATCACCGTCGTCACGGACCCGATCGACGTCGAGGACGTGGACATGCTCGCCTGTTGCATCGTCGATATTTGCGCGGACGTCTCGGAACTCTCGTTCGACGGTCCCGTCGTCGGTCCCGTCGTCGGTCCCGTCGTCGGTCCCGTCGCCGGGTACTTTTCTTCTAAAAAATCACGCTCTGCGATTTCCCCGTCCAACGCCGTCTCGATCCTCTCCGGACTATCCACGGCTTTCCTCTCCATCTCCTTCTCGGCGTCCAACGCTGTTTGCACCGAGCTCACCTGAGTGCACACGCTCTGTATACCGTCTTCGGAAACACGCGACGTCATGATATCTACAGATTTCAAAGCCCCGGAACTCCCCGTCACGGTCGATGTAGCAAAATCGATCCCTTTACCGTCCGTTGGCGATTTTTCCTCCTCGACCTCCTCTTCCTTTTGGGGGAAGATCATTTCCGACGATCTCTTCATGCGATACGGTATGTGACTGTCGATCTTGTCCATCGATTCGTCGATAGGTATGTCGCTGCCCGAAGAGTCCGACTGCTCTGTTCGTTCCTCCTCGAACGAACCCTTCAAGTCGTCTTCGATCTCTTCTTTCTCGTCGCCCTCGCCCTCGCCCTCGCCCTCGGATGGGACCAGAGTCTCGGAGAACTCGCTGGTGCTGTCGATGCTTCCCAGATGGCCCGAACTCAACGAAGTCAACGACTTCATCGATTCCCTGGAGCTCATCGTGGTCGCGGCAGTGTGATACTCTTGGGAGGTTTGCTTGGAGGAGGTCGAGTGCTCGATCGACATCATCGCCGTCTCGTATTCCGAGGCTGTCGCCGACAGTATACAACCGCCGGACTGCAGAGCCTCTATGTCGGACGAACTGGGTCTACTACCACTACCGATCTCGTAATCGCAAGACTGATAATTGCTGCTATCGCCCGAGCTGGATCCAACATCCGCCTCGCTCTCTGACGCGACCCTCTTCGAACCTCTCGCTGATTTATGGCGTCTCCGTAATATCGGGCACGGCAACACCAAAGACGAGCTCTCGTCTTTATAGTCAATGTCGGATCCCGATCTACTGACTGGCACGGGACTCGGATGACCCTCCTCGTCATCCTTCGTATCTTCCTGGACGGTTATAATCGCAGTCTCTATCTCAGACTTTTCGTTTTCGGTTTCGGTTTCGATTTCAGTTTCGGTCTCGGTTTCGATCACAACCGTTTCTCGTCTCGTTACGATTACCGGCGTATCGACCGCTGATTCCTCTGCGTGCGTTTTACTTTCAACGATATATGGCGGCGGCGCCGACTCGCCGATACCAGAATCGCTCTTAGCTATTTCGGTGTCGCGCTCGGGGGACGATGATTTGTATAAAGATGGTAAATCGTTCGGAATGGATTCGGGTTGCAACTTAAACTGAAACTCGGAGGGAGAGTCTTTTATTTGAATCACAGTTTCACTATTCTCGCTTAACTCTTCTATCAAGTCTTGTTTCGCCGCTTCCAGCGACTCCTTCACCTCGGCGATCTCCTTCTTAACTACCTGATCTAAAACAGTTATGGCGTACCGTGCGCTCAGATCGACGCCGGAAAAATCCTCTTTTTTTATTTTCAAGGCACAAGTGTCTGAAGGAACTGTCACGGATCTACCGGGCTTATCGTGTTTCTCCGTACTCTTCTCTATATGCCTTTTGTACTCGTCGCTCGACGGCTTTATCTTCGACAAATAACCCTCCGTCCATTCTTTCAATCCCTCCGACTCTCTTCCCTCTTGCGTTCTTTTCACCTTTTCCAATTTTAATTCGATCTCTGGCCTCGTAACCGTCACGCTCGATTTCTTTGTAACAACCTCCGCACAAACGCTACCACCACGATCCTCGCCAACCTCTTTTTCCACTTTAACTGCTTCCTCTTCGCGTTTCTCCGATTCCACGACCTCTTCCCTACCCACCTTCTCTTCCATACTCTCCACGTATTCTTTGTTCGGCGTTTTCGCGTCGTACTCGCGCTGCAACGTATCGACTAATTCCTGACAACTAACGTCTAATTTATTCTCTACTAATTCACTTTCAAAATCTTGCTCGCTGATCGGTATTACTGTAAATTTCGTGCTCTTCGCGACCGCTGGAACCGCTGGAACCGCTGGAACCGCTGGAACCGCTGGAACCGCTGGAACCGCTGGAACCGATGGAACCGATGGAACCGATGGAACCGATGGAACCGATGGAACCGATGGAACCGATGGAACCGATGGAACCGATGGAACCGATGGAACCGATGATGATCCAACAACAACGTCGGTACAAGTCTCCTTTATCGACTCTATCACGCTTACTTCCTCCGACGATTTCGTCACCGATTCCTGATCGTAATCCGTGGATCCGTCCTGCGAGGATAGACACTCCTTTTTACGCATAGACTCGTACGCTTCCAACTCTTGATTGAATATCTGCGACGGTTGCAACGTCTCGGATATCTCGATCTTCTCCTCGCCGATCATCCAATTCACGGACTTGATCTCGAGGCTCACTTTCGATTTCGGGGACAGTATCGGGGGGCTCTCGTACTCGAAACTGTCCGCCCTTTTTCTACTTATGGCCTCGTGCTCCTTTTGCCCGGCTTCCTGTACCAACGAATAATCTACGTTCGTGTCCTCCGACACGGTGCTCGGGCTGATCGTTATGTCTCGTTCTTGGACTATTCTCTCGAACGAATCCGTGTCTGCACTTTCGTGCAGAGATGGGATCCCTCTGCTGGTCTGCTCGGATATTTTGTGCTCGTCCATCTCCAGAGAAGGCACGTCCACGGAATCCTGTCTCGATTGGCTCTCCACGCCACCCTCGACAACACCCTCTAACACCCTAACGTCCGAAATTTCCGAACCGATCTTGTCTCGCGGAAAGCTCTCCTCGCTCTGCAAATCACGCGATCCCCCCATTTCGCTACCATATTTCTCCGATCGTTGTTTCTCGAATTGCGTGCTCATCACCGATTTTGATATGTCTTCCACCAACTCGTTCGTGTCCACGTCGATCGTCTCTTCGAAATTTATCAGCTCGGATATACTGCTGGGGCTCATCGGAGGAGACGATTCCTCGTCTTTGGTTATATCTTCGCTCACGCTTATGCTGTCTCTCGACGATTCCTCTTGCATCGACGACCTCGATCTCCCTACTAGCTCCGCTGAACTCTGATCCGTTGCAATTTTATCCGCTTCTCTGCTCCCTGATTTCTTCATTATCTTCTCGAATTTACGCGTCAGATCGTCCGCTAATTTCTCGTGATCGAATTCGCTACCTTCACCTTCTCTCGCGATTTCCTCCAAATATCCTTTGCTCGGTAATTCCGTTTTCAGATCAGCGGCTGATTTCGCCTCGATCTCGCTCTCGATCGACTTTATCAACGTTTCCGCTATCGCTCGTGCCTCGATCTCGTTCAATTTTTCTCGTTGCGCCTCCTCCAAGCTTTCGATCCGCGTAATTCTCTCACCTTCCTTCGTCTCGGACTCCTCCTTCGTAATTTTCTCCGTCGGTGTGAATTTCCTAACTTGGAAACTTTCTTTCGTCTCTGCGCGCGACTCCCCGTGGACGATCTTTTCGACGTTATCGAAATCCGTAACAGGTTTGAACACTCTTTCTCCCGAAGCGTCCTCTTCTATTATTTTTATATCGTCTTTGTCGCGAGTCGCCTTTGTCTCGGAAATATCTTTCTTGATTCGAATTGCAACTTCAGCGTCGCTTTCTCTTATTATACTACTTACCGCTTCGTGAGTCGTGATCCCTTTTTCATCCGATAACTTCTCGAACGACACTTCTTTCTTTCTTTCTGCTCTCGATTCCGCTGCAGTCGCGTCTATCACTTCTTCAGTCTCCGTCAGGTTCATCGACATCTTTTGAATCGCTGTTTTCTCCAACTCCTCCATTTTCGACTTCTTTTCCTCCACCGTTTCCGTTGGCGATTCTTTCTTCACCTGCGACTCGCACGACTTCTTCTTCTCCACGCGTTCCTTCTCCTCCAAAGTAATTATTTTATCGGTACCGCTGCAAATCTCCGAAGAGATCACTTCTTTCTTTTCCAATACGCTCGAACTCTTATGGTCGACCATACAAGTAACTGTCGCAAAGTTGTTTTTCATACTGTCCACATCTTCGAACATTTCGAACGCGTCCTGAGGATCCGTGAACGTTTTCGAAAACGTTTGCGTCTCGCTCTTCGTCGTTAAATGCTCCTCCAGTTTCGAAGTGACTTCTTCGCTGAGTTTCTTCTCCGTTATCGTGTACGTTTCGTTTTCTTTCTTCGCCTGACTCTCCTTCTCTCCTTGTTTCTCCGACGTTGCTTTCACGTCCACCACGCGTTTTGGAATTCGAGATTCGAATTCTTTCTTCTTACCAGTCGGTGAAACTGTCTCCAATAATTCGGAGCTCGAATCTTTCGCGAGTTCCGGTTTGCTCGGAATTTTTTTCAATTCCCCTGCTTTCGGTTTCGTTTCCTTTTGAACTTTATCTTTGTCCGCCTTTCCGGTCGAAACCGGAATACGCGACTCCTTTTTCACGTGTTTCGTATCGACTTCCGTTACACCCTCTTCTTTAACGATACTTTCTTCGTCTTCTTTTTTTACTTCCGTTTCTTCTTTCGTAATCGCTCGTTGAACGATAGGTAATTTCGAGACAATTTCGAGACTCGTTCCCTGCTCGATCTCTCCCATCGTTTCAATTTCAACTCTTCTCTTTCCTTCGAGAAATTTCTGTATCTCGTTGCTAACGTCCGCCGAGGAAATAATTTCAGGTTTAAACTTTTCCACCGACCCAGTTTCGTACAACTCGCTCGAAGTGATCGCGTCTCTAGAAACTCCGGACAACAATCCTACGCTGTCGGTCGCTCCTTCTCCTATTTGAACTGATTTTAACACTTGTTCCTGAACCAGTGTACCGTCTTTCTGCACCTTATAAATTATAGTAGTCTCTTCCGTTATAATACGCCTTCCGCCAGACGTTTCTGTAACAGTACTCCCTTTATGGACTCTCGATCCTCCAGCTCTCTCTTTCACTGTACTTAGATCTCTATCAGCCGGTTTCTCTTTTCCCGACCCTTTCACGACTCTACACACTTCATGTTCTATACTTCTTCCTCTAACAATATCATCTACATCTTCTTTGGTTCCTTCGATCCGTTTCCGCATCTCTTCTTTATCCTCTAATAATTCTTTTTCTATTTTTATTTCTGCAACAGGTTCTTTCGCTTCTTCCTTCTTTACATCCTTTACAATTTCTTTCTCTATTTTTATTTCTCCAACAGGTTCTTTCACCTCTTCCTTCTTTACATCCTTTATAATTTCTTTTTCTATTTTTATTTCTCTAACAGGTTCTTTCACTTCTTTCTTCTTTGCTTCTTTGATCATTTCTTTTTCTATCTTAACTTCTGATACAAGTTCTTTCACTTCTTCACCTTTCTTCCAAACATCTTTTATAATTTCTTTTCCTATCTTTACTTCTGTAACTGGTCCTTTCACTTCTTCCTCTTTCTTCTTTACATCCTTTAGAATTTCTTTTTCTATTTTTATTTCTCTAACAGGTTCTGTCACTTCTTCTTTCTTTACATCCTTTATAACTTGTATCTTTTCTATCTTAACCTCTGATACAAGTTCTTTCACTTCTTCCTGCTGCTTCTTCTTTACATCTTCTACAATTTCTTTTTCTATCTTAACCTCTGATACAAGTTCTTTCACTTCTTCCTGCTGCTTCTTCTTTACATCTTTAATCATTTCTTGTCCTATCTTCGCTTCTGTAACATCTCCTTTCCCTTCTTCTTCTCTCTTCTTTGCATCTTTTACAATTTCTTTTTCAACTTTCATTTCTGTAACAATTTCTTTCGCAACTTCTTCAGCTCGTTCAATTTCTTCTTTATCTCCCACAGGCGTTTCTCCTTCCTTTTGCTTTTTAATCGTATCTGACACACCACGCTGTTGCTCCGTAACGTCTTTGACCTTTGATTCGCGCCGTTCATCTTTCACCAATGTACGACTCTCTTCCAATACTTCCCTCCTTTCGAATGATTTCTCTTCTGTACGTATCGACGATTGTTCTTTGTGTTCTACCACCTGTTCTTTACACTTCTGTATCTTTTGTGATTCATCCTTCTCCTTCTTCGCGATCTCTTCCGTCGATTGCACGCGTATCGAATCATCTACCTTTTCGACATCTCCCTTCAATTTTTCCGGCTCGTCCGTTTTCTCCGTCACGATATCTTCGGAAACTATATGCTTCGACGCGTCGCTCTTTGACTTTATACGATCATCGCTCACGTCTTTGTACATTTTCTTCGCCTTATCCTTTTCGTTCTCGTCTTCCAGAACCGATTTCTCCATCTCTTTTCTTTCCTCGACCATCTGATCCTTCGTCTCCGAAATGATTTCATGGGTTTTCTCCGTTTTCTTCGTTTCGTGGGACTCCGTTATGTACCTCTCCTCGTCCTCGTCCTCGTCCTCGTCCTCGTCCTCGTCCTCGTCCTCGTCCTCGTCGTCGCCGTCGTCGTCCCCCATTTCTTTCTCGCCAATTTTACCTTTCGTCGGTTTCTCTTTCTCGGTCTTCAAGGAGACCACCTGTTGTTGATGCAACTTCGGTACGACTTTCGTTATTTCTTTCTGTATTTGCTCCTCGAAGTAATGAGCCTTTTCCGCCACCGAGCATTCCGAAATATCAGGTACGTTCAGATCCTCCATCGTTTCAGATTTCTCCATTTCCATTTCAGACGTTGCTCCCGTGCCCCCTGTGCCAACATTTTGCATATATTGGCTGTCGCTTTCGTTCAACGTCAGCTCCGACGTTCTCGACACATCCGACTCCGATCGCTGATAACTTTCACGTTTCTTCGATATATCCTCCCAGAATTTCCTCTTCTCTTTATACGTCTGCCTCTCGATAGTTGACGACAACTCTTGCTCGTCTCCGACTACTTTACTGGGATAACTAGCATCTACAGATTCTAGGGGACAAGCCGCTTTTTGCGCAAGGGATTCATGAATAGTAACAGCATCTAGAACAACCAAGAATTATTCTCACATTACTTTTTATTAGACAAGTACATGTAATGCATAAAAATGCATTCTATATTGTATATTTACAATCTCATGTATAATTTAACAGATTTATGCGATCAAACTTCTATAATAAACACGTTTAAATACACTGTCATTTCTCTCTGTCTAACCTTCTCTCTTTTCTTTTCTCTCCAACTCGTAAACTCTAGTACGGTGCACATAACAATTTCTCCCTATATGGAATACAATTTCAACAAGTTTAATTACATCGATACATCAACCACATTTTTTTTTTTTTTCCTTTTTTTAACATGTACACGACGTCTACGTAACCGAAATATTTATAATTCTAAAGTTCCTTTACAATTCCTCTACGAAGTATCTTTTATATATATTAATATCCTTGGATACTAGTATATCCTTCGAGATTTAAAATTAATATCCCATACGGTTGTCTATGATAATGTTGAGGACGGCAGTTCTGTCTGCAAGTATAAGTACAGAAAATTGCGTTAATACCAAATAACAATATCAGAGGAAAATTAACGGAAATTCGTTTATCAACAAATCCTGGTTACACATAACCACGTATACTTTTCACTGCATAATCATGACTTGTTAATGACTCGGTGACGTTTCTCCAGTAAGAATTCACTCCAGACACGATCCTATTCAGAATTATTTTTAATCGAGTATGAAGGGAAATAGTGTCCGGTTATACATACATGTATGTATGTAAAGTAAAATGAATACATGCCCACCACTATCTCTGTCTCTTTAGCCTCGATAGTCGATAGCTGTGAGAATTAAAGTCCAGCTTCTCCAATTTAATTAACAATCATTAATGGAAACTGAAAACTTTCGTATCTTCGTATTATTAATGGGTCCGAACATTAATGGCCCGAACAAAGTCGTGTTTCGACTTATTTTCGTCGAAAAGATCTTACCAACCCACTAATAATGTACTTAGGAAGATACAATAAGTGATGTAAATGTTTTTAGCTTGCATTATTGACTCTAACGTATTTGTGAATTCGTGCCCTTACCGCACTCAAAACACACATATTTAATTAAAAACTATTTTATTCGTTCTGATCGACTTCTTCGGTATCGGTATGGCAATCGCTGATCGCATCGTCGCTGATATCTCGAACGATCAACATATTTTCCGGCTTGTTAATGTGTCTCATCACGATTTGAGAGGCTACGAGGACGTCAAAGTCCTCGAGGATCTCCTTTTGGCAGCAACAGACCTCCTGCTGCGTGTCTTCTTCGTCCGATATGGCCATGTCTTCTTCGTCGGTGTTTGACATCAGCACGATATCCGGCGCGTTGGTGCACGAATCGGATTCCCGTGCATCCTCCACGTACATTTTGTTTCGTATCTCGACGGAGAACGGACCGTCGCTTTCTTTGGTGATTATCGTTTCCCCGCCATATTCGCAAAACACGTCGGATCTCGGTTTCACGTAAATCGTTGTCTGAACTTCCTCGCCGCCTTCGATGTCCTCGAGATCGGTTTCGTCCGGCCAGCAATTCTCGCTCACTTTTAGGCTACTTCTTTCGTTTTCCTTTTGATCGTTCTCCGTTTCGCTTGGATAGATTTCGTCAACGTCCGTAAGACTTTCGAGGAAATTGTTGCATCGAAGCATCTCTTTGTCGGCCGACAATACCGTGTTTTCGTTCGATCCGTTCGTGGTCTCCACATTATCGGATGTCACGGATATCGTCGGTGCCTGTTGAATATCCAGGGACTGACTCGATCGTGTTTGGGGTTTAATGGTCGTCAGTTCACCCTCGGAATCCGTATCGGAGAAATGCAGAGACGTATTGCTGACCAACGCGTTCAGTTTCCTGCGCGTCGATCTCGATTTTCTCTTCACTTTCGTACCCGTGACCGTCGTCGTCGTCGTCGTCGTCGTCGTCGTCGTCGTCGTCGTCGTCGTCTCTTTCGCCTTCGATGGACACAAATCGGTAACAGCGTTCGACAACTGACATTTATTCTCCTCTATTTTTAAATTAGCTATCCCCGAGGGATCTACATCTACATCAATTGTGGATTTATTCTCCTTTTCTCTTTCTACCTTACACTCCATTTCTACCTTATCCTCTCTTGTTCGCGCACTTCTCAAAATTTAATCGTTCGCTTCTCTGTCTAGGTGGTTTACCATGCAGACCTTAATCGCAAATTACTAGCAGAACTTAAATAATCCTGAAACTGAACATTATAAAAGGATGGAAATTAATATTAAAAACGAGTGCGAATTAAATGAAAATAGAAACCCGACGTGAAGATGGAAACTTGAAAACTGCAAATAAACTTACATTTACAGAATTGTACGGAAACGTTGTTGAAAAACATGTAAATTTTAGAAGCGAACGTTTTCCGTCGGTGGTTCGAGACAAACTGGACACGTTCGCCGCGGTCAGTTCGACCGTTTCTTGTTGATACTATTATGAATAATTAAATTAAAGAAGCCTCGCGCGATCCTTCAGCCATCATAAGCTGAATTACTGTTTCCTCTTAAACGGAAATCGTATTACAATTCTGTTACCACATTTTAAATAAAATTCCTTCCATCGATTAATTCTCATTCGTTGTATCATAATGTCACGACGAGATTATCGATGTTATTGATATTCGATAAATGCGTACAATGTTTCTATGTACACGATCGATTCGTTTTTGCACCCCGTACTTAACAATTCGCATAACATTGCATACGTAAAAAGGCTCGAAACCTTTTCAGCAATTTCATCATTCATACGAGGTAATAATTGCAAACTTTCAATTACATACCTGTTCGTTCTTTTTGCAGGGTGTCCTTGATGAATTTATTTTCCGACGGCGATATCTCCTTCAGCTCGTCCTTTTTCTCTTTACCTTCCATCTCGTATTTCGATTTGTAAGAATCGATTTTCTGATTAATGATATTCGAGTCCTCGTACTCTGCAACAACGAGACAATTAAACGGGTATTGTCTTCGAAGATTGAGAAACGAAAAGCAAAAAAGCTGTTTCTCACCTTTTAATTTCTTTGGAGGTTCGATCTTGGCCGAGATTTCTGGAAGAACAATGTTTAATACACAAATTGGTTGCTGTGGCGGTTCTCCTTTGGCAACCTTTGGCTCTCGCATGAAGAGCATTCTAGCTACAGGGTCCAACAACGGATCTTTCACTTTCACGTGGAAAGACAGTCGATTTTGACGAAAAGCTTTGAATGTGAACTTCAACTGTATTCCCGACTTCGTCACAGGCACCAAATTACCGCTGAACTCGATGTAAAGATCTTTTCCATCGAGAGCCTGTAACGGGCAGAATTTTTATCTCTGTCAAACTGTCCTCTGAATAGAGAATTTCATTTTCAACAAATTGTACAGCACGAGTCGCTGAAGACAAGCAATTTCAAATATCTCATTGAATAATTTCATAAGAGAAATTGTAGCGATACGAAAAACAAATATACAGTCTGTTTCATAAGAGCGTTGGAGCTATATCTAAACAACAAGTAAATATTTTGTAAAAATTCATAGAGGGCATCAAAGTTTATTTGTAATACTACGTCGCAAATACCTAATATTGTGTGAAATCTCCTTTATTTTGTAGTATAGCCTCACAGCGTTTTTGCATACTTTTGACGCGGTTTTCAGCGTATTCTATTGGTAATGATCTCCATAAAATTCTTATTCGGCGGCATAATTGTTTCAGGGTGTATACTTGTTTTCCCTGAAGCCTTATCTTAAGAATTGCCCATACATTTTCAATGGGGTTCGCGTCCGGTGACTGTGAGGGCCAGCTTAAAACATTGATACCGTTTTCTTTTTTCCACTGGGTGCAAAGACGGCTGCGGTGTTCGGATCATTGTCCTCTTGTAACACCCACGAAGCATTATTGTCACCAAACCACACTCTAGCTGATTTCAACAAGCATTTTTCATAAATTTTTACCATTCTTTCAGCATTCAAATTTTCGGTGAAGAGAAACAAATTTCCATATCTAAGGGAACAAAGGCATCCCCAAACGTGGACCTTGACTGGATGTTTAACAGTTCGTTGTAGCATTGGATTATGTTTGCTGGTCCAGGCTTTCTTTTTAGGTACCCACGCCCAAAACGAGGATTCGTCAGAAAAGATTACATTGTCCCAGTTGCAATCAATATTTTTCTGGGCCCAAGCGTATCGCATACTGACGTGTTTCGCGGAGAGCAAGGGCTTTCGCAGCGTGCTTCTATATTTTACGTTGGAATCTTCTAATCGCCTTTTTATTGTTGAAACGGCAAGCTTGATTCCTTTTTTTCAAGCTGTTTTTGAGCTTGTCGTAATGACAGCGACGGATTTTTTTCGAACAGTCTTAGAATCACTTTATCCTGTCGCTCTGTTGTTCCACCTTTCTTCCCTCTTCCTTCAAAGTCATCAACGTTTTTCACTAATTTATAACGATTCACCCACTTTCTAACAAACTCTGTCGATTTCCTCATATAACGAGCCGTCGCAGAAAAGCTTAATTTTGGAACTTTCGGATGCGTACAAAGAAATACAGCTTCGTATCGCCTAGCGTACGCCGCACTCATTTTTAAGCATTCGATCGCTCGGGCTGTCAAACGAATACTGCTTGAGTATGGGACGCGAGTCGAGTAACGCGATACTCTTTATAAACATCTGAAGTAGATCTGATAAATGTTACCGCTCTTCTAGCTCCGTCATTCGAAAAATCGCTCCAACGCTCTTATAAAACAGACTGTACACGTGTAAGTCGTTACGTCCGAGTTAAATTAAAATTAAAATTCCGTAATAAAATGTATTTACTTCGACGTCGCGGCTTTTTACAATTTCGACAAATTCCTCTTGCCTTTCCAAAGTGTGCATTCCTTCTTTTCCATCTGTCATGCACAATATTCGTAGCGTTGCTTCGAGAGCATCCATTCGTTTCGAATAGATTACAAAACTGTAGGGGAAAGAAATTATGTTTATTCGCAGAGAAAATTATCGGTAAGAAATTACGCATAATTTTAGTACTCACTTTATAATGTATGGAACGTACAAGGACTCTTCGTACAACTCTGTGGCCATTCTTGATACCGCGCCTATATTCCGACAATCCATTAGCCAAAATCTTGCAGAGACTGTCGTAGTAAAGGATACTTTGTCGTTCATAAATGTTAATGGTGTCGAGCCAGTCACGTCCTCCCACTGCGATTCGCTTGTCCCACCTACATTGTATATTTAAAATCTAAATAAACCGATATGTAATACGCAAACGTATCGTCTCATTTTAGTTAGCTCTCCGGGCCAGACAATTTCCAAACTAGATTTCCAAATAAATTTATTATACGGAGACAACCGAACACGAACCCAACATAATACGAATACAAATAAAATCTACCACGAATATAATTATTTATTTACCTGCAATGCTACATAATAAACGCAACGTAGGCGTTTCGCCCCCGTATTGATTGATCATTCCTTTGTTCGCAGCTTGTGGCACCGGTATAGTGAGTGTAATCGGTTTATGAAATTTTCTTCTTCTCGGTTCGATCGTTATTATAGGCGAAACGGCAACGCAGTTGCCAAGCAATTTAGCTGTAAGTTCGGCTGGAATCACGTGAGCCTGCAACAAAACGACACACTCGCCTTTAACCAAAAACTTTGCTTTTACGAAATTCGTATGCTCTTGGAAAAATGTTCAAACTCGCCTGCAGTCCAACTTTAATTTTTTTTGTCAATGCTCCTGGCGGGAAAACTGCTTGAACGTGATTGGCCACGCTCGATATTAAAATGCCACCCTCCGCTCCGATCACGTGAACTTCCTGTTTGATTCTTGTCACGGTGGCAAAATATTGCGGGAAATCTGTCGTTATTATACGAGTGATTCTGCCAGAATGAGTAGCGCTCATTTGAGGATCTATAAAATAGCGTGATCGAAGCCTTCTTATTCAACAATGCTCCAAACTTTTACGAAATTTCATTTAGAAATAAAATCAAAGAAATCGTATTTTCGAAATACCATATGGCGTATTTAACAGAGTGTCGTCGTTGTCCACAGAGTTGTCGTGTTCTTTCCAGGTTTCCCCGTTTTCGCTTCTAAGGATGATAATCTCCCTCTCTTTGCCTCGAATGGACGCAAAGTGTGGTATATCGATTAATACGGGTCTAAAATCAAATTTATCAATCGACTATTGAAAATGGATTTATTTAATAAAGGAATTTCATTTATTTACCCAAGGAATGTTGCACCAATTGGTCCCATCTCAATAATACGAGTTGCTAAAGCCTCTCCCTCCATTAAAGGAGGAAGATTTGCTACTTTGTTTGGTTTTATCAATCTACAGGTGACCCGAATCGGCATCGTTGCTCTACGAGGTGGTACGATGATACGCACACCACTATGCCTACATCCTTTCATAGCACCACCGCGCGCATCTACCAAGAAACTTACTAAAAATCTAAAAAATTAAAAAAGATACAATTTCTTGAAATCATTCATCATCAATTTCAAGGTTCGAAATAATCGAATGAAAATAATATTTAGATGAACTTGGAGTTTAATAAATATTTTTATCCTCTTTTCCTTACCATACATTTCCATCATTTTTTATATCGTTAAAACTAAATGTATAGTAAACAGTGTAGTTTTCATAAAAAGAATCCATAGAAAAAAGCATAATGAAAATTCCAACCGATCATTAAATTAAAAATACGTAATCTTAATTTACCGACACGAGTTATTCGTTTGAAAATGTTTTACTTACGATCGGAAATGAAGTCGGCTAGAAATAGAAATATTTACGTATCGATTAATTGCAATTTCTGGCACAAAGTTTTATATTGCCAAGCAATGTTTGAAATTAAGTAACATTAAGTTTACATACCCCAAATTAAATCCATCGGTATCAAAGTTCTCTGCTAAACAGTAATTATTGCTTTGTGTGAACTCCTCAAGACCTTCTTTAGTAACTAACCGAGAACAATTTATTCAAGTAAAATTAATCACGACGCTTGACCAAATTAACGAGGAATCAGATCTTACCTTGTCTGTGTACTGGATCGTCTCTGGTAACGTCGATAGGAAGAGAATCGTCCCTTAAACTTTTCATTAAGTCTGCTGTAAGATAGAGGTATGGTTGCTCGCTAATCAACGCATCCGAGCCTGCAAACCAAATCCTCTATCGAAATTATGCTTATCGAATAAACGTAATTTAAAATTAAACGAACGCTCGAAACATTTCCGACTTGGAGACTCTATCGTATTTACAATCTATTTACGATTTTCTAATATTTATCATCTGTGAATGTGGCTTTGACAATAGCGTTTTAGTTAATTCGATTAATCGATCGCTTATCAGCGGCAACTATTAATCGCAACTATCAATAATATTCAGTTGACGACTATCCAGTGACGATATTATAGCAACTTTAAAGAGTAATTTGAAAAATATACGAAAATACTTATTGTATTACAAGGAGGCACTTGTGTCGACATTTTTATTTATAAACAGTTATTAGGAATAAATTTTTTTATGTAAATACCTCCTTCGTCGTCCGAATCAGACATGAAGTTTGTTTCTTGTAGACTTTCGGGTGCGATCACTTTATATTTCTCGTCCCAATTTTTATTATCCGGGCTTAACGTATCGTACGACAGTCCCTTTAACACTTCCGTTACGGATATGTATCCCAATTTTTGTGCAATGTTTAACGCAGTTAGACCATCCTGAAATAATTTGTACAAACACGATTTCACCAAATTATTTACACGTATGCTTTACTGCTTTAGTACGCAAACAGGGTAATAACTGTTTAAACTCGAAGAAATTACGGAGTTTTTATCGTTACTCACGTTGGTCCTTGCTTTGTGAGAAGCATTTCCTTCTAACAAAGCTGTAACAATATGGGCATGACCTTGCTGAGCAGCTTGATGAAGTGCTGTGTAATTTTGATTATTTTTTACGTTTATGTCCGCATTGTGTTTCAAAAGGAATCGTATCATCGAAAGATGCCCGAAATGAGCGGCAACGTGTATAGGCCGATAACCAGTTTCGGTTTCGGTTTCGACATTCGCGCCATTTTTTACAAGAATGGAAGCCACTCTGATGAAATCTTCTTGGGCGCACAAGTGCAACGCGGAAAGACCATTCTAAGCAAACGACGTAAAATCCATTTAAAAAATTATCTAATTTTTTGTACGGATAAGAAAAGGTTTCACCATCCGATAGGAATTATTTTACCTTTGATTTGTGATTTGGATCGGCTCCGTGTTCGATTAATAAATTCGTCATGTCGTAGTGTCCTTTTTGTGCACTCAAATGCAATGGCGTAAATCCTGCTTTGGATTCAGCGTTTGCGTTTGCCCCACTTTCCAGAAGAGTAGAAGCAATCTCCATCTGTGAATTTTATCTTTTATTTCTACAAGTTACTTTATTTATAGTTTATCTTTCGCACGACAGCGAAACGGCATTAAATTCCAATGAACGAACGTCGCCCCGAAATTAACAACATAGTACATATTTATCTGGTTAAAAAATGTCCGGGGAACTCAGTGCGTACATTTAATGTGTTCATAGAACCGTATTTCATACAGTTTACAAGCGACTATCGAAAGAATCATTAAATTTGATTTTTTAAACGAATGATAGGGAGGCTTGTCTCGAGCCTCTGAAAAAACTTCTTCAGGTACACAATGTAAGAGTAAATTACAAAATAAACATGGAAGACGACATAAATAATAATACTTGATATAGTCATCGGATAGAGGATGAAATGCCCTTTAAAATGAGCGTTCGAACGAGTGGATAGCTTTATTAGTTCCGGAGATACATACATAGCGATTTTAGTTTCAAGTCGATGCGGTGGCTAGTTTCGAAGATACTCGAGGGTCCGAAGCCTTTGTTTACGTTTCGTTGATTATCAATGAACTCGCGCGCGTGAAAATAGTAAACAGTGCGTAGTAAATTCTTGGAAATACATACTACGCTTCCGCGTCACGTGACTGCCACGACTCACGTGCGACAAGGAGGTCCGGCGCGACGCGTCAGACGGAGACAGAGATAGTAAAATTAAGAAAAATACCCTTTTACATAAATTACGATATCTCGAAAACGGTAAGTCCGATCGACAAAAACGAAAAACCGTTTTAAAGGGGAGGCCTTACCGCCTCTAACAGTGGCCCATTTATGGATAAAACACTAGTAGTTTCAAAACTGCACGCGTCCAAAGTTTCAGTATTTTTAATGCGCGTTAATAGACCGTTCATTAATATGTTAGAACCAGTAAGCGAATTGTTCTAAGCTCGATAGAAATTTTACCAACATTCTGTGGTAAGCAAAACATAGTTACAACGCGGAAAATGCTCTCTAACGTATATCTTCCATTCTACATATATGTATTTCTACTTATGATACATCGTAAACACGTTTACCTGATTTTTGCGAGCAGCAATATGCAGAGGTGTATGTCCATTTTGTGAAACAAGATGGGGAGATGCTCCCTTCTCTAATAACAAATTCGCAACATTTGGATGATCATAATGACATGCCAAATGCAAAGGAGATATATCGTTCTGTAATAAATAAGACTTGCTGTAACGAGTATCCTATAAATTACACAAATAATATAAAAAGCATTAGGGGAAACAAGACTGGTCAACTAATACCGTCTGGGGCTGATTCACTAATAAATTGATCCTGATAATATTAGTTTATATTTTTTTGTTTACCGAGTCAGTTAATAATAAAACATGATTTTTTATATTGAATTATTCTATTGGCAGTAAAATAAGTTCTCTCTATCTATTTAAATAAATATTTATCGTATATTATTTTCTACCAACCTTTCCTTGTGCATCTAACTTGCTGGATCTTTGCAGAAGAATTTTTGCAACGCTCATGTTGCCGTATTTAGCTGCTATGTGTAAAGGAGTAAATCCATTTTTGGTTGTGGCTTTAAGGGAAGCGTTATTATCCACAAGAATAGATGTCACCTGTACGTAAGAAAATTCATCTTAAATAAAAATAAATTTACTCTACCAAGTATACAGAGTGTTGATCGAATACCATCGGTTTCATTGAAAAACATAAGTGACGTGATGAATTCACGAACACGATCTCGCGGAATTAGCCTTCCAGAAGACTTTGCAGCTTTTAAGGATCTTGGTGACCAAGAAGAAGCGTACCAACCAAAATCAAAGATTAGGTCTTGTCCTGTACATGTATAACCCAGTTTAACCCAGCTCTGGTTATTCTCTTTGAGAAATGTTGCCTCCGTAAATACACGTACCAGGTAAACAGTATTTTTCATTTAAAAATAACTACCTACAAATATCTGGTCATCTGGCCCTGCTCTGAAATATTCAGATCGACAGGTAAGATCATAAATCTTGACGACGAGTCGAGAGAAATTCTCCATCGAAACTGGAAGATTCTCCAAGTCCAAATTTCGTTAACAACACCCACGCCTCTTGTCCCTACCCAAGGCGAGGATAACAGCCAAGAGAATTCTAAAAATTTTCCTGCTTTCCAACCACTCTGCCAATCACATTTAAATTCGATCCATTATATTATATTATATTCGATCTAATTGTAAGTGGGGTCATTTGTGTTGGGGAAATTTTTACAAGTCGTTATTTGAAACAACAATTGAAGAATGAAGTACGATTAGGAATTGGTTAAATACTAGTATGTAAAACCATAAGAGAGTAGAAAGTTGAAAGAATACATCGAAATTGATCTTATCGAGTATATTGGCAATGTTGAGTTAATGATAGTTTAGAGAGTTAGTGATAGTTATTATCGAAACATTTGTTAACTAAAAGAAATTGGTTAAATTTTAATCTGCTTAGCCTACCTGAAGTTCCTACAACGAACAAATACATATGTATAATTCCTTACCCAACATATTCATAATAATGAATTTTTAAATCCAGTTAATAATAAAACTAAATATCGTAAACTTGCTACCTTACATTCTAATTATGTACAATATAAAGATAGATTTAGAACGAAAGTGTTAATAAGACAGTGTTACTAATTTCTACGTTAGCTGTGCGTGCATGCATGCAAAATTCATAACATCGAAATAAGGCAACGTAAAAAATAATCAACATGAAGAAAGATTTTATTAAAATTTGATACATAGAAATAACTTAACGTAAAGTATATAATAAACATAAATAAAACCGTGATAAGAAAATACGAAATAAAATGTAAACGACGAATGAAAACGGGTAACAAGAAAATAACGAATCGTCACGTTTCCACGTGCTATATAAGATATTCACGACGTCTCGTCCAAAACAAGTATATTCTATTCTGTGTCTTGATATAATCTGCTATCTTTGAAATTTCTTTGTACATTACCTCCTCCTGGCCCTCCTTGGCTGCGATATGCAACGCTGTGTACATATTTTTCGTGGTAGTGTCAACTGCTGCACCATGTTGCAGAAGTAACATAACAATGACAATATTCCCTAATCGCGATGCAATATGTAACGGTGTTTGCTGTTCCTAAAACATACAATACAATACTGCATCTTACACGACATGCAGTACACATACGCAATAAACATAATAATTATCGTGTAAAAAATCAAGAAATTAATACGCATTTGTTTCGATATACATATGTATGTATGTATTGTAAGCGACAGCCATCGTAAAGTATGAGATTTGGGACAGAAGGAATAGTCGATGGTGTGGATTGATTGCTCAAAGTAGTGAAATTCTGGTAAATCTTATCGGTAAATTACTTTTCTCAACAGAGATGGCACAAAGCATGTTTTAATGATCCTGAAATCGTGGAAGATGATGCTCGTTCTGGAAAACCATGCACCTCAAAAATTGAAGAGAATATCGAAAAAATAAAGATTCCTATTTACATCGTTAGTGAACTAAATTTAAATTATCGATCTGTTTACGACCTACTCCAAAGAATCTCACCGAGGAGCAGAAATCTGTACAAAGACCTCCTTCAAAGGGTAGAATATTAATGAAATTTCTTTAATCGAGCGATGAGATCTCGAAAATGAGTTCACCTCGACCAAAAAAGGCAAATACATACGAGCAAATAAAAATTGAAATCAATGCTCATTTGCTTTCTCGTCAACGAGGGCATTATTCTCGTAAAGTACGTATTATTCAATTATTATTACATATGAAATATAGTTAATTATATTCAGCATGGGGTTCGATCATATCATGGGGTTGATAATATCAAATACGAATTCCTTTATTTACTTACCCGTGCACGAGCATCGACTTTGGCTCCGTTTCTTAACAAAATTCGGATAATGTCTGTTTGATTAGCTCTAGCTGCCAAATGCAACGGTGTTTCGCCCCTAACAGTTGGCACGTCAGGATTGGCCTCGTGTTGCAGCAGAAATATTACGATATTCATGCATCCCATAAAACTGGCCACGTGCAACGGAGTCAGTCCAGACTGCAAAATAGACATGTTTTTCATTAATTTCTTTCAACCCACAACTCCACGATTTTCTAAACAATGCTTTTGACACGTAATAATATTTATGCGCATATGAATTATAAAGAAATAATCATGTTATTTCCCGTACCAGTCTTCTCAAAATAAAAAGGAATTGCGTAATTCCTATAATTGCGAAGAAATTCAATACATATATTTTTATAATCGTTGATAATTTTATTATCGATGAAGTGCACCACCAGTCTACTGGATGAATCGCATTTAAAAGAAAATATTGTATTTTATCGGAAACAAAAAAGGACACCGTAATAAAGTGAACATTCTCTAATGTCTGATAATTATTAACTCGCTTCTGTCGCTGTTGGAATATGCCATATAAATAAAAGCACGCAGTTTTGACCGCAGTTCGTGACGCGTCACTATGTAAAAGTCAGGCGTGATGACATTCATTGTTTGGACTTAACGTCAGGCGAGCACGCACATTCGCAACGAGGAAATAAATGTTACGGCGAGGGGGGAAAGGCATATATTGGGAAGGGGAACGCTGTCGGAAGTTGAAACGCGGCCATGTCGCCAGAAGATGAACGAGGCCAGCCGCGATACCGCAAAATAAAAAATAAAAACGGTCTGAGCGTGGAGGGGGGGAGGGGGGGAGGGCGAGCGCCCCTGACCGGACAATACGGTCGACTTTTGTTTCATAGGGGCCACCGACGTAACAATTTATGATTCGATGGGTTGTACACCGACCTCCAAACCACTTGTCCACACTATCACCACCACCACCACTACCACCACTACCACCACCACCACACCACTACGGATGCACGAACGCTAGGGGAAGCAATTCCTTCCGGAGCACGCGATATGCACGGAAAATATGCAGATTCGCATAACGTTGCCACGCCATTGGAAAAACAAACGCGAAAAAGCTAGCCAAAATTCTATTTTGTCAAATTAACGGTTTAAAATGTTAAAATGAATAATAAGTGGATGAAGAAATTGTTAAACCGTGGCTCTGGCTTCACTTTGATCGATTCAGATTTGCTTTTGCACTTCCAGCTACTTAAAATAGATGATTTCCACTGTCCCAAGCCTCACAACTCGATATGGCTGCCGCTTACTAGACTAATATTAAAGTTCTTTCTATGAAATATCTTGAAAAATTCACTATTTTAAGCACATACTATTATATTTCATACACTATTATAGATTGTATAAAATAAACAATTGCCAATTTGTTCATCTCGAAATGCTATTGGGCATAATTTTCAACCTAGGCAATGGTCCCTACCCCTTAAAGAGATTAAAACGGTATTTAAAATGAATTTAAATTGTACCTCGGTCGTGGACTCGATTGATGCTCCGTGTTTTAATAAAAGCTCGACAACTTTTATCCGATTCTTCTTGCAAGCAATGTGCAACGGCGTGAAGCCATTCAGAGCCCGTGCATTTGGATCAGCTTTTCGATCGAGAAGTAGTTTTGCAACCCTAACGTGCCCGCAGTGTGCAGCAACGTGAAGAGAGGTTAAATAATCGATCGTAACTTCGTCGACCGGGGCTCGATGATACAATAATACTCTCGCTGCATCCACATGATCCCCCTGCGACGCCATATGCAACGGCGCGAGTCCATTCTAAAAAAATATACAATCAAATATTACGTCAGACACGTCTGTTAATTGGAATCCAGTGACACGATAATGTATAATTAATCCTCTGTTATCGCTACCGATACCTACTCTTACAATTACTTTCTTTACAAATTTCTTACGTACTTTCGTTCGTGCACTGATAGGTGCAGAATGTTCAAGTAGTGTAGTAATCACTTGTTCGTGCCCCGACCTTGCTGCACAATGAAGCGGCGTTAAACCATCCCTAGTTTTAGCATCGATTTGTGCAGAATTTTCTAATAATACCTTAACCATATTGTTTTTACCCCATTTTGCCGCGACGTGCAAGGGGCTTATATTATGCTGATAAGAGAAATTTCAAATATCAATACGATCCTCTACGGATAATCGAGCGTAGAAATTTGTTCTATTACCTTTGCGATATAATTCACGTCTGCGCCCCTCTTTATTAATAAACGCGCTATTTCTTCGTTTCCGTAATGGGCGGCAATATGCAACGGTGTAAAACCACTTTTCGAAGTGACGTCGGGTTTATGATCGTTCTGAGATTAACAGAAAAGAAAATTACTTGTTAGTGTACTTTAATACATGGACGTATAAGAAATTTCAGTAAATGTGTTTTATTTTTCATTCTTATTTACTTGTAATAATAGATCAGCCGCCTTGCAATCGTCTTTTTTCGCCGCGATATGAAGCGCTGGTAACCTGACTTTACCCTTCGAATCATTTTCTAAGAGCACGCTAACAACTTTGTCGTGTCCTTGTTGCATTGCCACTGCAAGAGGTGTAAATCCATCCTAAAATATTTTTATAATTCCAGTGTTAATAGAAGTACGATTCGTTTTAACCGGTATTAAAATTAACAAATTTCAAGATTCACCTCTGTTGCAAGACTCTGATTAGCCCCATTGCTGAGCAACAATTTTACGACTTGATCGTGATTTTCTTGAGCAGCCATGTATAAAGGTGTAAAACCATTTTGCGATTGGATATTAACCGCAGCTCCATACTGAATAAGTATATTTACTATTTCTGCTTGTCCAGCTGGAAAATGTCAATACGATGTCAGAAATCTTGTTCTGGGCTACCAATCTACATATAATAATTGGTCCAAGGATGTTTCTGTATTTATGGGAAATTTTAATTCTCAACAAAACTACGCAATCCACTTAATATGCAAAGATATAAAAAATAGTTCGAGTAAGATACGAATCAATATAATCAACGGGTCGAAACAATTCTCTAGGAAACCCACGTTTCATTAATTCTATTAATAAAAATATAAATTTCCATAAAGATCATAAAGATAATAATAGAATATTTACCCAACGAAGCTATGTGCAACGCAGTGTTTCCCTTTTTCGTGGATGCATCGACTTTAGCAGACCTTTTTAACAATTCCGTTACTATTTCGACGTGGCCATCTTTCGATGCTAAATGTAAAGCATTTAAACCATTCTGAAATGAATATGCGGTATCGATCGATCAAATTTGATAAAATCCAGACGATATTAAAGGGTATATTAAGGGGTTGGTACTTACCGAATTGGCTGTATTAATATCTAAATCGGTATCGAGGAATTCGATCACTTTCTCGAGGTTTCCAGACCGAGCAGCGCGAAGAAATGCTGTCGTGTCGTCAGCCTAACATTAAACAAACAAAATCGGTATTAAATATAAGTACTGTGTAGAATTTATCAATGAATAATTCCTACTCTCTTTCTTTCAGTTTACATTATGCGGTGCGTTCGATCATTTATATGTATATTATCCAAATACATTCGAAGATTTTTAAAAAGAATGTGACAATGATCGGTTCCGATGAAATAAAAATTATTACAATAATTACAAGACTTGCTCTATTTCCCTGACCGACATCTTCAAAAAAAACCGTCTTTAGCGCGTGTGTTTTTTTTTTTACCCCTACAATTGCATTACTACCCTTTCGAAACTCTCGCAGCGTAACACGACGGATACGTTCTTTCATCACTTTCACTTGAAATTCTTGAATGAAGCTGAACACCACTCATACAACTCCAATATGACATTGAACGAAAGTTTCTGTTTAGACTAGCATATATGTATGTACCTACATATGTATACCGACCCGTTACATCTACACACCGTTCTGTTTTATTCTTTGAATTCACAGCTTCGTCGACTGCACTATTTTCAAATTGACTCGATGGTTTCGAGAAATTGGATACACCGAAAGACCAAAAAAAAAAAGGTTTCGATTAAACGATCTCCATTTCTGAGGCTTTCACCCTAACAGAGTAAACTGAAATTTAGAAGATATTGCGTGGATAAAAATTTATACGGAATAATTTTGTTTCTAGAAATTATTCAACACTGCATTTCCTTTTCAATTTCTTATCCCTGTTCCCTGTTGGCGACACTAGAATAACTAAAACCCTTCAGCCCTCGTACAACGTTTCCCTTCCATTCTACAATTAACAAACCATTCCTGATGTAAAAGATCGTAAGAAACCACGTTCGACAGCCGGAAATGCAGTCGATTTAAACCATGGTTAATTCGGCCTGGTCGACCTCATCGATACTTGTAATTCTTTTCGCGTTCACGCGAACACATTTCGTTCTTTTGCCCCCTGCGTCATGAATCTTTCATCTCCTACTGTCGTAGCAACGATACGCGTAATATCGCGCGTAGCATTCGCACGGCATCCAACTTGCGAAACCTCTTTTCCTACGCGTATCTCGTAATCGTGTAATTATCTCATCCCATAACTTCTTCTTACTTTGTCGATAATTAACCGGGGAACGGATTTCGATGGCTCTGATTTTCCGTGGTTACCAGAAACAAATTCACACGATCGAGAAACACCGACTAAAGATCGTTTCGGATGTTATTTTCAGCGAAATAAAAGAACGGATTGTTTCGTCCAAGTTCACACCCTTCGATCGTTCGAGAGAGGAAAAGTGTACCGGCAACATTCCGGCAGTCCCCGTTCGCGGAAAATACCAAGAACCGTACCTGGCTAGTATTGTCCGTAACCATTGTGCTCAACGAGAGATTAGACACTATCCTCCCTAATTCTTTCACCTGTCCAGCGACCGCCGAACGCGAAACTTCTTTTTTTCGGCACACGTTAAATCACCATTCATGCGCTTCTGGGGTAACGCTAAAAGCAAACAGGAATATAGGAGTCGCCCCCGTACGGTGACTAAGGCGCAGAATCGAGCGGCAACGATTACGGGAAAAACAGGGGTTGCATCGTTGCCTTTCTCACCCTCTATATACCTGTCCTTGTTTCCACCGTGCCAACGTTTATACGGTTTATCATTCTTTGCCGTCTACCGCGGCGCAAGCGCCTATCACACCAGACGATGATAATACATTCTTCTTCAATTCCGCCTCTGTCTCCCTCTTTCGCAACACGACAACAGTATGCATGAAGATATACCGGGTTTTACCATGTGCGAATCGAGGGCAACAACGAATAATTCTATTATATTATCTATCAAACATTTCTACATATATCAATAGAATAGAATTCCATACAATTATTCTACCTTTTTTAATTTAACAAATTCCTCATTTCCGGAAATTCAACTGTTACTATTCCACTCCGTTTATTGTTACAATTGCCCCGGACTCCGTTTTATTAATCATATTAACTAAAATACTACTCTACAACCAAATATTAACGATTCGGATGAATTCAGTGGCCATGGTCACGCAAGATTTATCAAGATCGCGGATAAGGCATGTAACTCTCGTAAACTCGAGTCGTTTGAAAAGTTCACGGCCTCCTGAACAAGTAGCATTTGAATCGCAAATAGGACGCCATTGTTAACATTTACCTGTTTTACGGAATTAAATTAATTTCGAAAACGATCCGTTAGCTGATCTGAGCGAAGCAACGAATATTTCGTCATGATAATTCACTGGCTCACGCGTCACTAGCTACAGCCAAAATTTAGGAAATTAGTCATCGTTTGCTTTCACACTCCTGATGATTCCCTGGGCTAAAAGAATTGTTGGCATGATTCATTTTTCAACGATCAAACAGCTTTTGCGATACAAATTCACCATCTTGTAGATCTCTAATGTAGCGCAAACGGATTTAAATGGCAAAAGCTAGAAGAAAACAAGTAATTGTTTCTTCTATGCGAGATCGTAAAGTTTTCAAACGTCCCGCGTTTACGCGATATTTTCAAGTCAACAATTTTGTAATCTCTGCTACGTATATTAACGCATACATATATCTTATGTAAACATCTATATTTATAAAACTATGCAAAGATCTTTCCCAATACAATCTTATATCGAGTATAACATATATTGTTATAATTTGTCCAATTATTATTTAACCATTATTTTATCAGATAAATTGTTTAACATCTTTCAAAAAAATACTGTCGATGTTTTATATATAACGTGTAAAAAATATGTATGGACCGGTTCGGACTCTGCTATTTTAGGAGTTAAACTTTATCGAGAAATAATGTATTAATATTATTATTTATTAGCGTTATTACTGTGTAAATGTACTTTGTCTCGAGAACAATTATTTCATGGGACACGCAATGGAAGCAGAAAATAAATGTTTCGAACGCATTACGATATTTAAATCCAAACGTGAACGTGCGATACATTGTTTGATGGTGTTATTTGCACACATTTTTTACCTGGAGCCTAATGATCGGTGCAAATGCTTCCTCTGTCGTCATTCCCAAGTAATAAACTGTGTATTTCGTTTGACAGACTTTACGTATACGTATATTTTCTACGCTTCATACTGAAAACGTAGGTCAGATGTTATTTATAGCATTATGTTTTATTCTCATGCACGCTTTTGTAATGCATCCGTTTTAGTGATTTGCATATACACGTGTTTTATTTAAATTCGTCGTCGGGCGTACTTGAAAATATATTTATTTTTTTACATTAAATATTTAACGTATAGAAATGTTATTCTCTGCATAATAAATGAAAACGAATAACAAATAACCAATTTACAAGGCAAAGACAAACCAATTTACTTCGCTGTCCTTGCTATTTTTCATTGATATTTTTATAATATTACAAGTTTTAGTTACTAGTTCGGTATCTTTCGTAATATTATTATAATTACCGACAAAATTCAATTTATAATAAAACTTCAACTTTTACCTTCGCTGTTTTTCTACAGAAAAGTTATTGAAACTTTTTATTTATTTTTCCTGTAATAATAGTCAAAGAGGACTGTATCGTGAAATTAACATACATATTTCGATATCCTTTGGGAGTATATTTTATTTGTAAAATTAGAAACTCGTTATTTGATATTATTACAAGCACAGCCATCTAAAATTCATGATATGTATGTATTATTTTTTAACGTACAGTTAATAATTAATATTAACATTTCGTATCCTATGTTTTTTATAAATATTTATTTAGCGTATTTACATATTTAACAGTTTCCTAAATAAATGTTTATATTATGCTCAATCCCACCAAAAACTGATTGAGAAACTTGGAGTTAATGATGTTACATGGTGCCACCATTTTGGAGGAATATAAAGCATTTCTCCTGGCTTCAAATAACCCACCAACCCTTTAGCTTTGATAAAATCCGGCCACTTTTCATCATTCGGATTTAAAGGATCTACTTGTGCAGTGTTATTGAGTAACCTTGTACCATATGGATACAAATTAGGTGAATCTTTTGGGTGATATAAAATAACTCTTTTATACCCAAATACCTAAAAATCGATAGAAAGCAATAATGTTAAATGATTAACGTTAAATAAACGAAACATACACATACTTGGCACAAAAAATTATTCTTTGGATCAAAGTGCAAAGGTGAAACAGTTCCACTAGGTCCAAACCAAGCATTTATGTCTGGAGTTTCCACTTCGTTGTTATCTGTAAAACTGCAGTAATCGGGTATCGTAAAATCATCTTTTAGTTCAGGTACCTGAAATTGTTATTCTATATTTAATATTTTAATTCTTTTTAAATGCATTCTAAATTTAATCGAGCAAATGAAAGATAAGAAATAAGAAAGAAAACCTGCTCAAAAAGCTGATGTTGTGCCAAATATCCAACTCCATTATCTTTTTCTAATATATGTTTTTGTAAAAATTCCGAAAAACTAACAAGTTGCTGTGTCCAATCTTCATTGGTATAACGAGATCCAATTTCAATTGGTACTGTTCTATTCCCTGCTACTTTGCTTAAATAATTTAAGTCTTGCCATCGTTCTAAAGCTTTCCAATGTTTAATACAACCTATGGTTACAAATCGTATACATTCGAATATCAGATTAAAATAGAATATAATATAATAACAATTACATGAAACATCATTCTTAAATACACCCCAGCAATAATCAGAGAATTTCACCTTTTAACAGTGCTGGAATTTTTGGCAGAAATATTTCTTTGTAAAATAACTCCATTGATGGTTCATTGTGATAAGCAATTTCGGTGAAACCGGGCAGTGTAAAATCTAGTAAATTTTTAGGATCGATGGTAAATTCTTTGAAAATCGATGATTCCAACGGCTCTGCTAGAAAAGTAGCATTAAAATGACAACGTAAACGTACAATGCGATATCATTTTACGAATAAATTTATTATATTCGTTACCTCGCTCTACCACCACACTTACATGCACAATGTTTATTTAATTTTTCGGCGATTGTTGGCAATAAAGAAGGCATGTCGGGAAGTGGTGCTCCCAACAAAATACCTTTATCAATTTGTTGGACAATAGTTTTTAATAAAGTCGTATTCTTAACGACATCGTCATCGTCATCGTCATCGTCATCGTCATCGTCATATTGAAACTCTAGTAGTACCGCCTATAATTTATACAAATTTCAATAAATATGTTACAAGATATATTTTTTCAAATAATTAGTGTGCAATACCTTTAAAATAGCACAGAGCGAATAACAATATCTATAATCAATTGGAACCGACTGCCAATAACCCGAATTTAGTATTTCCCATGTTTTGTCTAGACAAGCTTCGATTCGAATTAATGAATTTTCTACCCACTTTCTTGAAACATCCCTTACACGAAAAAATCGGCAATTATTAGATTATTACAATTCACGATCTTAAATAACAATAACTTTTTATGTCTAACGTTAAATTGTTAATTCTTTTTATTGAAATAAACTGAAATAATTTCATGTTCAAAAAATGCATATTTTATCGAGAATCAAATGTATAAAATATAAATACATAATCGTAGAAAAACCAAGGCCGGTTTTTCGGTCGACCCCATCGATTAAAAATTTTCAAAAATATGCCGTTTATTCTGTATCAAGTACTTTCAAAAAATTTTTTACTGTCGCATGTGTACTTGGAATTCAATGTTTATGTTGTTATAATTTTTTTTATACGAATTAGCAACAATATTATTTCCATTCAATTACCAATCCCCTATAAAGTATGCATTTCCTGAATTGTTAATTGGCTTAGATATATTTTGGCAAAAACGGTATATGTATAATTTAGTCTTTTCTGCTTTTATTTTACATTTAATAATAAAATCAGGAATATAAGTAACTAGAAACAGAACACTTAAATAAATATCTTCAAAATGATTCTGGAAAAACGAGAATGTTGAATATTTTATGGTTACAACGTATTAGTTAAATAAGTTTTGCATATAAAATTCGTGAAGGTCTGGGTTAGAATCAGTGCCGAGCAAATTTTATATGTTTATTGTTTTGCTTTGATCCAGCTGCTGCCCTCTATCTTCGAATCGAAGAAAGATATTAAAATGTTCTGTTTATAATGATTTTATCATTTTAATCATTTATACATATACAATACTAGAGAGAAATCTGTATTTTTAAATCATAGAATAGAATAAATCCCTATAACATACAGAAACTTATATTTACATTTTATTTTCATCAAAGCTTTTTAATCTGATTATCGTCGTTGTTAAATGTATTTTCATTTCCACGGGTAAACAATTCTGTGAATTTTCTATCAAGTCCCATGGAATTAGTTTTGTAACCAGCATGTGATTATGCATTTTCTAAAAATGATCTAGGTATTATCATTAGAAAAATAAATTAAAAGTAAGTATGTAATAAAATTATTTTACTCGTGTATAAATTGTTCTTGTGTACATCGGTTTGCTTAAATATGGCCACTGTACGAATAGATAGTCGACTATATAATACAAAATTTTTCCACTCAAAGATAATGTTTTAACTCTGCAGAAACTTTCGACAAATATTATAGTAGTTTGCTTGGCAAAGAACACTTTGTACAGAAACATTACGACGCATAAAGGAACACAAGTGCCCGGACCATTGCACAAAAGTAAATCTGGGCATTCTCTCCATAAAAGTGGAATTGATTCCAAAGTTGCAGAAATAGTGGAATAAACGGATGTATAATATGACTGATGAATATCTCTGCTTCTACGAATTTTAATTATTTTATAATCTCTGTTATTCTTTTCCAAGTCCTTTGCTTTGTCTACGCTCATTGTATCTGTGCCGGCATGTACATAGATTCTTGGTGAATAATTTTTAAAATCTAAACATTGCAGAATTCTTATCATTTCTGCTGTGTGCCCACCGGATCCTAATATTATTAACGTTTTAACGGGATGATCTCGACCTGTTTTTCGTTTCCTCTTACGTGTACAAAATATTATAAAATATATTCTTGCAAGTATTACGAGGCAAGCGATTATAAAAATGTAAATAAAATATACTGTACACATATTCTTGCCCTAACCTGTAAACATTACAGTAAAAAACAAAAACTTACTTATGTAAAAAATTACTTTGTTTATTTAAATGCTCGTAAAAATTTAATCTACATTCACGTTTTCTTTCTACAAACAAATTCTTCGCTTAGAAATATAATTGTTTATAATATACTATTACTTTTTTACCTGATATATTACTTGAAGAATACTTCGGTGTAATTATAAAACAGTAATTAATAGACTGTGAATATACATTGTTTGATACTAAACTATGATCGAATTAACTGAAATTAACGAGTTATTTTTCAATTCCAATTTCGTACGAGTGAATTGAGGGATATACATACATAGATATTATCTCGCTAGATTTTAGTTGACCAGTGACCCTCCAGAGTGCCAAAAAGATGAATTTAGGCGCCAAATTAGTTTAGCCAACTACTACATACTACCAGATTATTTGAAATAATCTCAAGAATATTATTCTACTCCAGCGTACGCTTTTTATTTATTGTAATTTATATTGTTTGAAAATAAATTTAACACAAATATTTTATAAATTTGTATTGTGTCAATTTTATATATATATATATATATATATATGTATATATATATATATATATATATAACACAATGTTATACAAAATCGAGCTTTTTAAAATTAGTAGTACATTATGATAATTAAATAAATAATATTATAATTTATTTGTATAAACTACTACCTATCTTTTATACATACCATATTATTACCCCAGAGTTGGGCAAATTTTATTTACGAACGAAAGGTAAACGAAAGTATCAAAATTTTTATTCGTTATTTGTCAATAAAATTTACCGTACTTTGGATAATACAATAGATACAGAACATTAGTTTTTAATCTAGAAATAAGGTATTCTGAAAAAATATAAATTACTTGATGGAACTGAACATACAAACTTTAAGGGACAAAATAAAATCTTAATTAATTTTTTCTTTTATTAGTGTAACCATAAATACTAAAATGTTTTTGTAATCATTTCGTTATTTTATTTTGCAAATTTATTAAAAAAAGAGTCATTCGTCATAAAGTGTGATTAAAAACGAGTTGCTATATTCTCTTCTGTAGTGTAAATATAAATTTTATTTGGAAAAACAACAATGAAGTTCCTATTAAATTTACATCCTATTTACGAATTCGATCAAGACACGCTCATTTTTACTTCACTCTACTACACAGTTTCCCGAAAATTTCCATCCCGTGATTTATACAAATTATTTAAATTTTCAATGTTTTCGGTACGTTTGTTCATTTTGTTCGTTAAGGTCACTTTAATTTACAATGATGATAGATACATCTAACAAAAATTTGATCAAATAATTAGGGGAACGATGATACACGGTAGTGGTGGTGGTGGTGGTGGTGTGCTTTGCAAATAGAATTAGAAACGCGGAAATAAATAAAGAAAATGCAACTATGAATAAACAGAATGTTCCATAAAGTCTGTAAACATAGTTTTTAATATTATATGAATTATTAAGTATTATATTTGAAATTTAATACTGTCAGTCTCCAGAGAATGGGAATAACATGTTTAACTCAAGACTGATCTACACCATTCTCTCTCCAATATATCGTATTTATACATTTTCACTTATTTTGAAGATTAATTGTCTGTATAAGAGAAGGAGGACTGTGCTGTAATTAATATCTGGTCGGTATTTAATTTGTAAAATTTTTTTCGTTATCGTGTATTTTTCTTTCGCTATATTGTAATATGACATCTTCCAGAGTGTTTCCATATTTGTTAGATTGCAGAATAGATGAAATTATTTTTTTTACTACCCAAAGATATATCTCAAATGATATGTGAATCTTAATTTTATGCTCTAGTGCTTGAAAACTGTATTTAAATTCTATATTACACAATAAACATATTTTATCGTGACATTTCAAATGATGAATTTTATAAAGCTCGACGTTAGTGAATTCCTTTGAACATGTTACACAATTAAAACATTTATTTTCTGTAATACCATCGAACCGTTGATATTCATAAAGAGATATTAAGCGTTTCAGTCCAAGAAATCCCACTGTACTGTTCTGTGAATCTTCCAATTTTTGTCCATTAATTAATTTTAAATCCAACTCGTCAAATACTATATGACGATATATTAAATGTTTTGTTAATTCATCCATAGTACATAGACCATTACAAAGTCTGCATACCTCTACTTTAATACTATGCAAGTTTTCCAAGTGAAATTTCATTTGTACATTTGTAATACATGCCACGTTACAAAATTTACATTTCAACATATTATCATCATTGCATACTAAAGATACACCAGTAAAATCAATCTCTGTTTCCAAGGACGAGTCAACTGCTTCATTTAATACATTTAAATTTTTTATACTTTCGTTCAAGAATGTAATAATTTTTTCATTAAACATTGAAGTTTTTTCTTTGGGGATTACAACAGTGCCGGAAGTGCTTGTTGTATCGGTTACACTACAAAGTAAATTACGTTCTACCGATGTGCCTGTAGATAAATAATCTACGGAATTGTTCGCATTGCCGTAATTACCGGTTATCGAATGTATACGTTTGTGTTTGTCCAGCATGTATCTTGTAAGAAAACTTAATTTGCACAAATCACATATATGTGGACCTACGCTCTCTAAATGATAATTTATATTGTGCTGTGTTAAGGATACGCTATTGATGAATTTCAGATTACATCTGTTACAATTCCAAGAGGTAACATTGATACACATATGAATATTCACCATTGCCACGGAAGTAAGAACTTTGTTGCAATTATCGCAAATATGCACTACAGATTTGTCATTATGACAATAATATTTGTGACGCAGGTAGTTCCTGATCAGCGCAAAATTTTCTTTGCAAGGATTACAACGCCACTTTCTATGCTTTTTATTTAGATCGCATTTGCTAACCATTTCACATAATCTATTATACGAAATATTATATTTCGTCCTGTACAAATTAATATCTTCTATGGACACATTTTCCTCTTTGTAATATTCATTAAAGTATGGCGTAAATAAATTTGATAACTCGCGACCTTTAAAAACGGAATCATGTAAGAAAAACATATGCTCCTTTAGTATTCTTTCAGAATTAAATTTCCTATCGCATATATTGCAGTATATCTTTTTTGGCAGATGGATTATAACGTCGCCTTTGTATCTATTGAACGTAAAATTAGTGTTCGTTGCACAATTTAGTATAAATTTATCTTCGATCTCGTTACCTATTATTTCTTGTCCAGTGTTATCCATTTTATATTTCTTTGCTATATTTATGTGAAATTTAATCAATTTTTGTTTTTTTATACCTTGTCTTACTTTCTGTGTAAAGTTAACGTATAATATGTAATTATAATTAAATACACTACCCGTTTCAAGCATAATATTTTCTTCTTCGATCGCGTGTTCGGCATTTTCGTTAATTACTTTAGCAATAGAATTTAATACATTACAGTCTCTGTTGTAACTGTTAAAATAATCTTGCGAATCTCTTGCATATATATTTGATAAAAGTGTGTTGTCTTTAAGCTTAATTATATTACTAGCTTTCACAATTTCTTCTACCTTTTCTTCTTCGTTCGCACCAGTATTAATATTTAAATTTGTTATATTTGGTAAAAGTATGTCGTCTTTAAGCTTAATCGTATTACTATCTTCGAAAATGTTCTCCATCTTTTCTTCTTCGCTCTCGCCAGTATTGGTATTCATACTTGTTTTATGTTCCGTCATGTGCGTTAAAAATGCGCGTTTTTTCTTATAACTTTTCGAACAAATATTACAGGCATATGGAGAAGTTCCATGAACCGGTTTTGATCGTGTATCCTTTTTGTTTATTTGAATATTGGTCAAATTTGTAAATTCGGAAGTAGCGATCAGTGAAATATTTTCAAGATTGCTAAAGTCTGAATTTATTTCTTCGTTATTTAAATTTTTTATCTCGTTTTCCAATTTAGAGGTTCTGGTAATTTTAGTAATATTCGAATGCTTCATCTCGCTCATCTTTCTTTTCACACCCACCCTTACCATTGAACTATTATTATTCTGTAAATTTATTTCTTCCGTATTATAGCAATATTCATGTACGCGATTATGTGTTTTTATAACATTTGTTTCTTGTTGATTAGAAATCTCAGTTAAATTATTTGTAATGTCAGCGATGGGATTTTTATTTAAAGTATACGTTTTATCGACTACTTGTTCAGTTTTATGTTTCCTATACATTTCGGAACTTTCAATGAATTCTTTCCCTTGATAGTTTTCTGTGTTAGTCGCGGAATTCCATTTCGATTTATCCAAATTGGGATGCACGTTTTCAATATGTTTCTTAAACCATTTCATACGTTTATATACTTTCGAACAACAACAACATTCGAAAATACGTTGATCATTACTTACGTTACTGCTACAGCTGTCGTTATTATTATTACAACTACTATTCAATTGTTCGTCAAGATTAACAATTTCAACTGCAAATGAGTTTTTCGTAGTTTGTGAATTTCTTTCACATGGAAAATGTATATCCATAACGTGTTGTTGAAAATCAGACAGCAAATTAATTTCTACGTTACAAAGTGTACATTCGATGCACAATTTTTCATCTTTTAGAAAATTTATTTTATCTGAAAATTGTTGCAAAAGATTGAAAACTTGCTTACATTTAATACACATTGCAACACTTTTTCTCGTGTCGTTATTTTGAAAAGTTTTTGAATCGTTAGCTTTCGAGTTCCTTTTTCTCCCATTCTTTACTATATTTGATTTATGTCTTAGAAAGAATTTTAAAATGTTTCCTTTCAGTTCCATACTATTAACTTCTCTATCAATCTCTTCTATGTAATTTTCATTAGAATTTATGCGTTTCTCTATAAATTCTGATTCATCGTCTGAACCGAGCGGACCATTATTTTGTTGGTCTGAAATCGAAATCGAAAAATCATTTGCTTCGTCCAGAGACATATTCATCGTATGTTCGATGTCATTTACTTGAGAACACATCGATTCGGTTATAGAATTTATCTTAGGCAAATTCAAAATCTCACGTTCAAACGATTTTTTTTCTGTTTTATTTCTTTTCAATTTTTGTTTAATCAATTGACTCGTCGAAGCAAACTCGACAGCTTTCAAATTTGTATTAACCTCCTCTTCGGTTAGACGTGTATTCTTTATTTCTTTTTCAAATACATGGCTCGAATGTGTCTTTTGGTCTTTAAATTTTTTCAAATTTTCGTTCTCTATATTCAGTTTTTTATTCTCTTTTATGTCGATTCTTCTGTACCGTTTGCTTACGGAACTTCGCAATCGCATAGTGTCCTTTCTTAAATGATAATGTGGCCTTTTTACTTCCTGATATTCTCTTTCATTTTCAATACGATTACAAGTTTTTGTAAGCAGTAATCTATCGTGTAATGCATGATCTTCTATTCTAACTAAAGGTATTATCAATTTTTTACAATCTATAAAATTTCTGGATGTTATTAGGCCTCTATTTATTTCGTCATCATTTTTCCTTGTTTGTACTACGCTATGGGACAAATTTTTCAACTTCCTTTTTCTTACAGTTTTCTTAAAATATGTTTTTCTCACTGTTCTAATGCTATGATCCGATCGTATAATCTTTCTTTTTCTTAGTATTCTGTTAGTACTATTTTGTAGTATTCTGTTAGTATTATTTCTTGACTTTTTTATAACAGGTTTACTAATTCCGCATACACCGTCCTTTTCAAAGTTCATCAAAATATTACAATCGTCTTGAAATTTTGAATCGACCAAATTTTGAAAATTTGATTGTGAAATAGTCTGTGTAACGTTCTCGTTATTTTGTAATTCTAGAAACTTTTTTCTCGGATGTTTTTTAACAATATCGTATAAGTTTCTTTGGCATTGCGTTACATTTAATATAGTGCAATCTTCGTTCTGATGTTTCTTTAATACTTCGGTAGACGAACAAGTACTATGATTAGAATACATCTTTGAATTACGATGAATACGTGTAGCCATTCTTAAATTACTTTCAATTATTGTTTTTTGCTTAACTTGAATCATATCTGAAATTTTAGTGTTATCACAGTTTTCGAACCTAAATTTAGATATATTTCGATTTGAAGTTCGTTTGCCAATATACACAGACCTTATAGCTTCCATTTTTTCAACATCGAAAGTTAAATTAGTCAAATCGTTCAATGTTTTATCATTATTTGTTTGATTTTCTCGTAGACCTTGTTCCTACACATTGTTGTTTCAATAAATCCATTAAGTTTCTATTTCTTAATTTAATTTAATATCTACTTTAAAAATATGAACAGGTGTATATTTACCAACGCAGTATATTAACTGTATACAACTCAGTCGCACGTGCTATAGAAGTAACCACCAATTCTGGCATCCGAGTTCTAATTGTTCTCATTATAATTGTCTGTTAATTCATAAAATAAGTATTATTCGCTGTTTTTTTTGCTTCTATCGAACCGCGACGGCTGCCAAATATACATATAATTAACTTTCGTTAACGACTCGTAGACCCGTACCGTGATGAACGTGCGGACACAAACTTTACCCTGTTTACCCTTGTTCTTTACGGCGAGTTTCTAGTTGTCGGTCGCGCGCGACTTATGAATCTTACGATCAACCGGATCAACGATCAACGATCAACGATCAACGAATATATTGTCCTATCGTCCTTCCACGAGAACTAGGCACAGACTGCACAGGCCACAGAGTATTTAAGTACATCCTCACTCACTCTTGCTGCAGGCTCTTGCCGCTGATTGACCGTCACCGATCTTCGTCACTGTTTTCGACCAATGCCTGTGAGTCAGCGGACTGTAACAGGAGTGGGTGGGGATTTAAACACGCTGTGCCTTCTTCTCGATTCATGATATCTCCTGATCATTTTTTATTAACGAGAGAACATAAATCTTCCTTGCATGTGTCGTTAAAATCGTTAGTTTAAATGCAAATACACTCTGAAGTTGTACATTCTATACATGTATAGTAAAAGTTCATTAGAAACTCACGGGTTGGATGTTAACCGGAAGTGAGCGTTGCTTGCTTCTAGGGTTAATACATATACATACTCTTTAAATACGACATTTTCTAAAGAAAAAATACATTGGAAAACATTTAAAAGTACGGGAAATAAGTAGCATTTGCAATTTCAAATTTCACCAAAGTTTCCCGATCTTTGTCGAATGATTTAAATTGGCTCTGTCATAGCCGACTTTAGTACATATGTACTTACTATGCTGAACGAGAAACAGTAAAACCGCGAGAGTCCGATTTTCCTCTCTGTCTATCCAGTAGAAAATCGGACTCTCATGGTGTATAAGTACCTACCTACTTAAATACTAGAGGCAGTGTAGCTGCGTTCTATCATTGCATCTCTCTTTAAACTGACAAGGGTGGCAGGTACATACCTACTTACTTACTTGACGCCCTCTAGACCCTCTGCTGGTCGAGCATTTCGTAAAAAGTTGAAATTATACAGAAGGAAATAATAAAATAAAGATAATCGACAAATCTTGCTTGGATTGATAAAACAATTTACATACTCATGATTTAAGGGTTAAACTTACATGAACAGGAGGAATTTCAACATTTACTTTTCCCTTTTTACTTCAAAATAATCGGTAATATCATAATTAATGCTTTTTAATAAAATAACATTTATCATTATCTGTTTCATGATGTGTGTCGTTTTACATTCTAGTTAATTGTTTTTCTATTGGAACGGTTTAAAAAATTAAACATAGCCTTTGCATTGTTTGTTCATATTTTAAAATCACAACAAATAAATAACCTTCTACGACTATTTATTTATTTTCTTTTCTCATGAAAAAGTGAACATCGTGTGTTAATTAAATGTTGCTATTTCTTTTAATAATAAATTTGTCGACACAAGTATATCTTTATTCTATGTTTATTGTATCTGTTTTATGTAGGCATTCTGCGTTGAAAAGAGCTGCAACGATATACGCCTCGATTAATGGGAAATTTATGGGAAGAATTGTTTCCGTTGTTAAAAATGTTCCATAGAATAATGTGAAAACATAAATAATATTTCCAAGTATGCAAAAGTAACATAAACAGATGTTACGAAATACTTTTAGGTGGATGACAAGTACTTTAGGAATGGATATGAATAATAAAACAGAAGAATTAAGTAACATTTCAGATAATGTCGAAGAAACTGAAAATTCTGATTCAATAGAGGTTGTTATAAAATGAAATTTTTTATGTTTTAATTTTTCTAGTAGAAATAAATATATTGTCATCTTTGTTTAGATCGATAATTCACATTCGGTCCTATTGAAGATAGCAACGCTATATGCCGAACGTCTTATGAATGACATTTGCCTTGTTGTCGATGGCATAGAATATCCAGCACATCGCCTTATCCTTTGTGCTTCTAGCGATGTTTTCCAAGTAAGTCGGTTTTCTTTTAAATTTCTATAGCTGCAAAATGTATTTAACAAAAACCAATGAAACGACATCATTCGTTCTTGTTTGCATACAATTTTAAACAAAATATAAATTAAAATTTGATAACGTTACTATTAGATTGGCAATATACAGTAGTGCCCGCTTAAGTGACCACGCTCGAAACCGGCCGCGGTCATTTCGAGCGGGGTCCGTTTGGCTTCCAAGAATTGGTGGGCAAAAATGCGGTCACCTAACTGGGCGCTACTGTACCCAGTTTTAAACATCTACTTCTACGAATGATCTTTTTTTCGACGAAATTTTCTGTAAACGCTTGATCGTTTTTTTCTTGACACAGGTAATGCTAATGAGCCCGCAATGGAGCGAATCCCAAGAAAGTAGAGTAACCCTTCAGGAAACGCCACAATGCGCACCTATATTTAGTGAATTTTTGCGGTACTTTTACACGGGCCAAATAAGAATTAATTATGGAGTTGTTTTACCAATATTATCTTTAGCGGATAAGTATAACGTAAAAGATTTAATATCATTGTGCCTTGATTATATGCAAAATCATATTGCATTAGCCGCGATTCACGGCACTTTAGTATCATGGTTACAGTATACTTCTAATTGTGGTCATCAGAATATTACTCAGGCATGTCAGAATTTTATCAAATGGAATTTAGAATTGGTGGCCAAGACTGCAGACTTTGGTAACTTCGATATAGATATTTTAGTATCGTTATTACATCAAAGTAATTTAGTGATAAAAGATGAAATGACATTGTACAAGTGCCTGGAAACTTGGTTGGATCATCAGTCGCATCGTTTGAAACCTCAATTGTCAAACGATGAATTGGAAGCTACACTGAAACAATTGGTGATAGCCGTAATGTCTCCCGTCAGATTTCCAATGATGTCGCCTCGACAATTAGCGGAATTGTTATTATTTCCTTTGACAAAAATGTATAAAGAATTCTTTGTAGAACGTATGTCCATCGGAATGTCGTTTCATTCAGGCCAGTTGGATAGAGTCAGAGAAGTGAGTTTAAACGAGGAGGATGGCGCGTTACTGTTTGAACCGAGATTGTACACTGTAGATACTTGTAGCTCGTTACTTACAATAGAAAATTTTCATAGTTTACCGTTTTATCATACTAGAACTCTTGTGTTTTCGAGTCATTCGTGTTTAGCAGAATATGCGGGCGATCGCGCGTGTGAATGGGTTGTAGACATATATCCGAAAGGTGTATGGTTTAAAAAATTTTTTTTAATAGTTTGGCAGGGCACGGTAGAGATGCCCGAACATGTAAAACGATCGGTTAGATTGTCGCTCACGTGTAAGGAGCCTCCTGTAAATAGCGATACCGACATGCGTGTCAAAATAGGTGTTTTAATTTATGGATTGCAAGACGGTGTCGAGCATATTGCAAGAGTAACAGAGATTATTCATAGATTTAGTAAAAAAGAACGAGTCCTTAATTTGGATGATCTTTTACCATTTGAAGAACTTAATCCACAACAGGGTTCTGTGCCAGAAAATACATCTCCATTTTTAGTAGGTCCAAATAAAGATATGCTTAAATTACATATTGTTATATCACCTGCCAATTAGAAGGTAGTTTCTTCGCTTTGTTCCAAAACGTTTCATTACAACATTTTAGTTATACTTGATTTCTATAAAAACTACAAAACATACCTCATGATATTATGTATTATCTCTTAGAAGTTTAACGTTTTGGACGTTTCATTTTTCACTCAAAATTATACTAATATTAGATCAAGAGAAAATTTTCTATCCGGAATGTTATACATATATGGAGGATACGATGTAATAAAATACGAGTGTATTGGAATACACAGCGTGCATTGACCATGTTAATCGATATTAATGAAAATAATAGAGTATAATATTTAAAATGATCGTTTTTACGAAGTGTGTTGTGGACGAACGCAGTGTGTAATAGAATATTTTATTTGTATAATATATTAAATCAAGAGGTAAAAGACAGCGGTGTAAAGTCATTTTTACCCCCATTTCAAGAAACGGAAGGTTTTACCGGACTTTGAATAATAAATTGCACATCCATATTTTTCTCACTGTATTTCTGTAGATTGTTGCTATGAAATCCTATTGTAAGTAATGGACATTTTAAAGAGACTTGTATTCTATAGTTGTTTAACGTTTCTAGAGTTACAACAACTTTAAATAGTTAAGCGGGGAAAGAATTTTCATTGTACGCCGATTGCTATTTGGGGGAATGATATTCCACGACCAACCGATGTACGATATATTAAAAAATTGTTATACTATTTTATAATGTTTTTACTTACTACCCCCAAGATTGATACCGCTCGGTCTGTCACAGGTACTGGATACACCTGATTGGAAAAAGACAAAATAGGCATTAAATAAATTGAATTAGTTGGCAATGAAATTCGTTGAGGAAAAATTTGGCGCGCAAGATATTTGTTTAGTGAGCTATTCGCGACTCGCGACTCGCGACACGGCACAAGCAACCAAATGCAAATCGTATGCACTCTAGCGTGTTTAAGCTGTACTACGTGACAATGATTTATCTGCAACTGTCGATAATACCGATTTCGTGCTTAACCATAATACATTCAATGTTTATACCGTCATTTTTCTTTATAGGTTAATACACGTGTGCGTGTTAAACAAATCTTGTGAACATTGAACGTTTAAAAATATATATATATATATATATATATATATATATAATCACTAAAACGTAAGTGAAACATTTCTTTCCCTTATTTAAATATATGTATATGTTGTTCGAGAGGCAAGAAATTAATACGAAAGTAACAAAAATTCATCAAATTTGTATACATAGGTTACCATACAGTATTTTATAGTATTACAATTGCAGTTAAATAATGAAAATAAAAAATACGAAAACTGTGACGAAGAAAGGTAAAGAACCTACTATGAAGAAAAAGAAACGTTTAAGTAAAAAAATTGCAAACAATATGGTAAATAAGGATTTTGAACACGACGTGAACAGTGGCTGCTATAAGGATAAAGGTAAGCGAATTCAAGTGACTTGGGCAAGTACAAAGCAAAAATTTCAAGAGAAGAGTGTGTTTTTTTTGGTTTTTACTTAGAAGTTATCCTTTTATTGTCTAATAGATGAAAATGTTTATGAAGATGATGCAGGTAGCGGCGAAGATGATATAGATCCAAGAGAACACAAGAAATCCTTAATGAAATTAAAGCAGACAGATCCTGAATTTTATACATATTTAAAAGAAAATGATAAAAACCTTTTAGAATTTAACATATCTGACGATGAAAACAATGACATTGATGGTGATGATGATGATGATGATGATGATAAATCCTCGTTAAATGAATTGGATACAAGACATGTACCTAATACTCATTTAGAGGTATGAAAATAAAATAATAAAAAACAACAAATAAATTAAATAAGAAAAGATAAGTATCTCTAATTTTGATTTACATTCTAGGTTGCTAGCGATGAAAGTGATTATGAAGTAGATGAAGATAGTGGTACAACAAAGGATAAAAGAAAAATTACATTGCAATTATTAAAATTGTGGCAAGAAGAAATTCAGAAGGACAGGTAATATTTTATTATACAAGGTGACTGTTATTGGTGCTCGGAAGTGCTTGTTTTAATTAAACAAAATTTCTTTGCTTAAATTTAAATGGATCACATCCCTACTATGCCCTTGAATGTTAGTCTTGCTTGAATTTGAATAAGTAAGTCAATATTATTATGTGCTCTGGTATAATTTAGGTTTTTATATTACCAATAATGGACCACCCTGTATTTATAAAGTAATATTTACATCCGTTTACAATTTTACAGGTCGTTAAAAACTGTTAAACGTGCTGTAGAAGCATTTCATGCTGCATTGCAAACAGTAGCAGAGTCTTCTGATAAAGATTCACTACGATATAAAGTAGAGGGGGGTGTAGGTTAGTCTCCTCATTTCATCGCTGTGAATCATTTTCATTGGCAAAATATGTTCATTGATTTCTAAATATTTTACGATATTTTTAGTGTTTAACGGAGTTGTGCAATTGTGTATATTGTATTTACCCGATGCGTTAAAACGGTTTTTAAAACTGGGCACAGACACCCACTTTCAAGCTCATAAGTGTAAAAAATTTGGCAAAGCGAAGGGTATTTTAAAATCATACCTAAGCGATTTAATTAAAGTATGTACTTGTATTAAAATTTGATGCATTCAGATTAATTCCAAGTATCTGATAACGAATTCTTTTTTTTCTTTCTTTCTTTTTATAGATTTTACAGAATGTAACATCATCTAATATACTTACAGTGCTTTTAAAGCATCTACATCAAATGTTACCTTATACGCAATCATTTGCATCGTTAACTAAACCATTGTTAAAGATCTTATTAAATTTATGGTCGACCGGAGAAGAAACCGTTCGCGTTGTTTCTTTTTTAAGTATATTACGTGTAGCAACTACTAATCGAGAATCGGTTTTAGAAACATTGTTCAAGGTAAAATTGAAACGACGATATTCGTATTAAACGTCAACTTTCAAATTTCTATAATTAATTTCTTTAATTTATATGTCTCAGGCGATGTATGTAAAATATGTTGAAAATTCGAAATTTGTATCTTTTACAACTCTACCCGGAATAAACTTTACGAGACATTCTTTGGCGGAGATATATTTGCTTGATAATAATTTAGCATATAATCACGCCTTTTTATATATAAGGCAATTAGCCATTCATTTAAGAAATGCTATGACATTAAAAAAGAAGGTAACGCATAAAATAAATATAGCATACTTGAAGTTTTATCATTTACCAACAACTAATATCAATAACGTTTAATATTAACATTTTTCTAGGAAAATTTTCAAGCTGTATACAATTGGCAATACATCAACTCGTTACGCTTTTGGACAGAATTAATCACTTTATCAAATAGCGATTCTATGTTACGCGCACTTTTGTACCCTCTTGTACAAGTATGTGTTCATATTTTTAATAATCTATTAAAATCGTGAAATTTTTCAAATTAAAATTTTATTTTTTATTCGCAGATTATTATAGGAACAATAAAATTAATACCAACTCCACAATATTACCCTCTAAGATTTCATTGTTTACAAATGTTAATAGATATTTCGAAAGAAACGGATGTATTTATACCTGTATTGCCATTTTTATTAGAGGTATGATATTTTAAATCTATTTTTAACTCTTTCGCTACTAGAATCGATTTTAGTATTACACACGTTTAAAATATTTAACCGTTAAATATTATAAATTGCATTCTTTTTTTTTTTTGGTGTCTATAGATATTAAATTCTTACGACTTTAATAAGAAACACAAGGCAGTCTCGATGAAACCAATACCGTTTACTTGTGTATTAAGAATGTCGAAGGTGCAGCTACAAGAGAATGGGTTCAAAGATAATGTTATTGATTCCTTGTACCAACTTATTTTAGAAAATGCAGCAAAGGATAGTCATACGATATACTTTCCAGATTTATATATACCGTGTATAATTCAGGTAAGTCGATACACATTAACTCAATTATAAATAAAGATAATTAAAAATTTGAATGTTTCTTATGCACATTCTACTTGCACATTTTCAAACAATCGAAAACACATACCGATAAAAGGCTAATAAAAAAAAAATTAATTTCATTTAAGATCATTTTTCTCTCTCTATATTTTCGTTTTTATTATTTCTAGTTAAAGGCATTTCTAAAGAAATGTCATGTTGGAAATTACAGTAGAAAAGTGAAACGGTTGTTGGAGAAAATTGAAGAGAACAGAAAGTATATTGAAACGGCACGTAGTAAATCCGTAATTGCCTTAAGTAACATGGCAGAGATTAAAACCTGGGAAAACAAGATCAGAACACAGGGGACATCATTGTCGAAGTTTTGTGAATCTTGGAAAAAGATTCATCAATCGCAAAAACTGAAATTACTCACAGGAAACGAAGATATAGCCGAATATAATTTACCAACTATAAGAAAATCGGCGAGAAGAAACTTGAACGAAGAAAATATAGAAACAAGTGACGAGGATAGTGATTCGGAACTGTTTACTAAGAAATCTGATCAAGAAAAAGCTAAATTACCTATCAAAAGGAAAAAGAAGAAACAAGAAATTAAGAAAAATAACAACGACGATTTACCTAGGGAAATGACCGATATTGTACAAGATATAAATACCGACGACTGGGATTAAATATTATTTAATTCAATGATGTATACGAAAAAAAAACATGTAACGTTAATACAAGAAACCAATACATTTTCGGTAATTGAATAATATTTTTATTATAAGAAAAATAAAGAACGTTCTTTTTTCTTTGAATTTATTGAAATGTTATCATTATAGAGTAATATTCTAGTTCGTTAAATACCGTTAGCAATGGTGAATTTAATATTCGATCGTTTCAATCGCGGAATGAAGGATCGTACGATTTGCCTGGGACTTATAATTCAAGTTTGTCCATTTTTACGGGCAGTTATTTTTATGACAACGAAATAAGAAATTGCACCAACAAGTTGTGACAGAATTGAACGAGTGTGATAAGTTTTGTCGTGTAAGGCAGGAGCCACCGATTACCGAGGTGTCGCTTTCTGATGGTCTATTTTTACCGAAGACGATTCAAGGCAGTCGGGAAGTTGGTATAGCAACGGTTGGGCGCTATTATAAAGCACCGTGTGCTGACCATACAGTAATTCATCTGATTTAAGTGAACGTTTTTTAGAGAGGAGAACGGATTTAGATGTAAAAAAAAAAGAAAAAAAAAAATAACGGTGTAACGTTCGATCGAAAGTATAGTAGCAGTGGTGAGGAAAGCTTACGCCGGGCGACAAGCTTTTCTTTCAAGCGATTGAACGTTTGGACGACTCTCCCTTCGGAAGACGATTCGGTTACGTATGTAGGTGAAACGTGAAAAACTTGAAAATTCGTATTAAACCTAGGTAGCCGGTTGGAAAGGGATTCTTTAAAAATTGCGACGAATTTATTGCCGCCTGCTCGATGTAAAAATAAACATTTCTCATTCTGTTCTCTCGGCGGCGTAAATCGTTGATCTCGGTCATGAATAAGCTGCTACCGGGCCGATACTGGTGACTGCTGGCCACTAAGTGCCGCGCTGCCGGAGTTACCGTGGTTGCGTGCGTGCGTGCGTGCGTGCGTGCGTGTACCTCCTAACCGGCCACGATCGTGCGTGCCAGCAAACATATTGTAAGATGCGATTTTGTCTCTTATGGCGAGGGAGCCTTCGTCGTGAGATTCGTCGACTTCCCGTACGGAGCACTTCGTTCGGAGTATAGTACGGTCGCGGGTTACGTAAATTCGTAAAAAAAAAAAAAAAAAAAAAGAAAGAAAGGAACGAAAGAAAGAAAAACGCAATAAAGTAGAAAAGGGAGGAACGAGCGAACCGTGCGTTAAACGTCGAAATGAGGAGAGCACCGTTTGATAAGTAAACTTTCATTTTCTTCGTTTTGAAAGAAAATTAGCCGGAATGAGAAAACTAGTGAAACCCCGGGTCTCTCGACGAGATTAACGATCAGTGACATTTTACGAAAGTCTCGCGTTACGTATCGCCACAAAAAATATAACTCCGCTTTAAACTTTGCTTAAATATACGTTTTAACGGTTAAAAAGCGACTTTGTTAAATGGAATTTTAAGCTTGATCTTATACACTGACAAAATTGTGAATAACGTTAAATGTTACGGACTCTGTCGGGAAATTCTAGTGTTATTGTCGAGATTGGGCAATTTCTGATCGTACAGTGGTTGACAGTATGTAATCGAACAAATTTTAGAAACGTTCCTTTGGCGTTGATTGCGCTAAATTTCGCTTGTAAAGTTCAAGTCGTCTGTTATAATCAGTAGTAAAGAGTTTCTTTGAGTACAAGCTCGATTCGATCGTCCTTGGCATATTCATAAATTCTTCCGATACGATATACATACTTAAAACCGCGAAATCGTGAAATATTATTTAAAAAATTTGCCGAATCGGTAGCTTTCTTTCAGGAAACAAAAATACCATTTCCATCAGTTTTCTTTTTTCTACCGACACTCGCGATTCGATTTACACCTTCGTTCCTAGTAAATAGTGCATTGGTCGTACCAATGTACCCTGTACGCAACCGTTTAAACTGTTACTGCGTATTACGTTACAACAGATAAATTTAGCATTTCTTTTGCACAGAACCTCATTGTACCGCTGCCAATACCGCAACGCGGAATTAATTGCCAGTTTGGAGGAGGACCAATTTCTTTCGATAGAAACTAATTTACTAACGTTCCAACTGTTATCGATATTTCTTTTTCTACTTGAATAACAAATGAAGAAATTTCTATTCTTGATTTTCCTCTTATTTTGCCCTCTAGAATACCCCATTAAAATTTTTCCCAGGGCTGGCCGAACATAAACTCAATATTCCCATTATAGTATGTCATTCGATTGTTATCAAGCTGCTGCAATGCTAATAAAAAATATGTAATATTGCACGAAATAAAAAAAATTATTCACTGTGTTCGTAACAGTTAGTTGTTGCATAAAACAACCGTAATTTATATTTAAGATAACAATTTAATGATTCGGTAAGATCCAGTTCTCCGCTTTCTACACATAAAATTACAGTTTTCAGTTTAATCGGTGAAACATCTTAGTGAAATAACGTTTCATTTCAAAAAGTATTGTACACACTTTAAATATACATGTATGCGTAAATGCAACGAAAATTGTCTTCATTTACCTTTCTTCGATTATGAAGAAATTACCCATTACATTCTCTGCTTTTCGTGTATCGTTACAGCTTTCGATAATAATTCCAAACAATTATTTCAATTTTTACACGGCACTCGGCGTGAAAGAATAAATGTGAAAAGACACGGAGAACAATTTTAGGACCGTACAAGCTATCCTCTTGTTCACTATTGTTTTTTGCCAAGTTATCCTAACAAACGAAAAGAATTCTTGGATCGTTTACGAGATGATGTAGACTAAACAATTTCCAATTTCAACAGACACAATAACGCAAAGCGAAACGTTTTAAGCAAAACGTACAATTCGTATGGGTTTGCGGCAGAGAGTTCGAAGGAAGCCGATTACAAGTACAGCGTGAATTATAGCAATACCAAAGAGAAGAATTATCTGCAACGAAGCATTTCCGCTGATAATGTTGTAATACGTTCCCGCGGTTTTAAACCCTCTGATAGGCACGATCCGGTCAAAAGGAATTTCCTTGAGCATCTGACTTCGAAAATACTGCATTTCGATATGGTGAGTGTGTGTGTGTGTGTGTGTGTGTGTGTGTGTGTGTGTGTGTGTACTCTAACTGCAAATTCATTTATATTAACGTATTTTTTAAAACTATATTCTTGTACTTCGATATACGAATTAGACGTTCGGAATAATTATGTGTAATAAGTCCGTTCCCCTCGAACCTAAATTACTCTATAGAATAATTGTACAAACAACAATCTATGTATATGGTTTTTTTAACTTTTAATTGAAATTTTTCCTACTTGCGATTTCAGTCTTCGTAAGGACAATATTATTAAATTCACGATTTTTATGTTCGTGAAACTAGTATTCATTTTCAAATTGAAAAGCATTATTTCGAAATGTGAAAATACCTTCCACTATAATTTTTCCACGAATTCTAACAAACCCCTTAGTGCACCCTCCCTCTATTCTATTTATTTGAATGCAACGCGACATATTTATTTTCCGATACATTCTCGAGAATAACAATACCTGCCGCGGTGAATTACGATATTGTAATCGCGATATAATTAGTTCCAACGAGACGTTAGACATCTTTGATAATTATTTTAATGTTATCGCCACGTGGTCCACTTGTTGTCTATCAAAATTATGAAATGTTCTATAAAAAGCTCTTTAGCTGGTTTATTTTTGTTGTATAGGAGAGCAATGAAAGTACACCGGTCAACTTGCAGAAACTGCTTACGCCTGCTTCGGACACGGAGGGGATTTTGCAGTCGAAAAATAGTAAGTTAGTTGAAAATCATAAAGTTTCAACGATAAACAAGTTCAATGTATCGAGCAAAAATAATTCTTGTCATTGGAATCCTCGTAATTCACAGAGAACAGATATTTAATAAATTCAATATGTATCGCGGTAAATATTTGAAAACTGTGACAATTAATTTAGATTAGGGGAGAATGCCCGTAGAGCCTTGACCTTCGTATACTATGTATGTTGCCAACAACACCATTTTGAACAATTGTTTCTTCGAAAACAATTACCACTACTTTTTCCTTCGATAATACTACAATTTCCAAACATTTTTTTACCGTAATCGGTTTATTCTGTTTATGGTAATCGCGTAAATATTCCAGTGAAACAGACTAGCTCCAGAATCTCAGTTCCGCTGCATCAAACACAATTGCACCGTGCACGAAAATATTTAGATAAGACTAGCATTATCGGAGACTCGCGCTAGAACAATACAGTTTCGGTAGATTTACAGAACAAAGTGCGAGAAGCTATCTACAGCGATAATGGTATTCCGTAAACTATTTTCGTCCAATATTCTTTTTGCAAACGATTCGAACCGCGAGAAATAAAAGTCGTTGAGTAAAAATTAACAGGCAGTAAATAAAATTTGGTGCGGTAATAATTTTGAAGAATCGATAAATCATTTTATTTGACCAATAATTATTTCAATACGGGTGGAACTTTGAACGTTAATAACTTTTTAACGAAGCCTCCATCATCAAATTGGTATTGTTGATTTTCGTGTTATTTCGGCCTCCAGAATCCCCCATTAAAATGTTTCCCAGGACTGGCCGAACAGAACACCCTCTATAAAAAGAGGGAATATTTAGTTTTCGAAAATTCCGTGTATGTACGTTTAATAGAAAGTATTCGTAATTTCCAATAGAAAATAGTTTTGCAAGCTATACTCGAAAATTATTTGACAAACGTTCGCGCATGCATCCATGATCCACAGCCGAAGAACATCCACATGAAATATCGCGTATCTGTATATGTACTACGGTCTTTAAATAACCCCACATCGAAAAGTCTAATCTAAGAGATTCAAGTTCGGAGATCGGGCAGCCTATTCGTTTGGTCCTCCGCAGCCAATCTATCTATTCGCGTTTCATTTAAACGTTTAGTCGTCCTAATACTAAAACGATCACCAAAATATCTTTTAGCAACTGTTTCGAACAAGTTGGTACAAGTTTGCAATTCGACTAAACGGATTGTTTCTTTTCAGGGAAGATGTTCGCGTCTTCGTATTTTTATGCGCCAACACATCCAACCGTCGAGGATCAGGTTGAACTCGCGCGACGAATTTCGCATTCGTTGAGCGACGTGAAAAACATGAAAAGTAAAGGTCAATCTATGTACGTAAATAGGAAGAAACGATCCGTGAAATGGATCCATGATGGCAACGGTACGTACTTACTACACACGATGCTCACTCCACTCTACACTCGTTCGATAATACAATTACAAACATAAGACAGATACGAATGTTTATTTTGATTAAGCATGCTTTTGATATTGTATGTTTTCATTACGATCGAATATACTAAAATTTATTCAAATTATTCTCTCCAACGATTGCATGAATTAATATATTATAGGTATGGAAGACATAGAAGAGCCCTCCACACCTGTTCATAGTGTAAGTAGTACATATTTCATTTAAACGTACAATACAAAATACTGATGTTAAGTATTATTTCACGATTATATGTAGATACATTTGTCTGAAATGTCTATTTATCGATCTTCTTGCAAGAATATTCTAAACAAGATTTATCAGCTACAATTTAATACGTTATTATATGTATATTCGAAAATGTTTTATTAGGATAAAATTCCACTGAAATGCATGATGAACCCACATGGAAAAGTGTTGGATATACGTGGAATTCAAGCTTTGGGCGAAGAAGTAAACATAGAACCGATGCCAAAGAATCCTGAGAAACTCTTCAACATTGTTCGTGACTTAAACAATCATAGAGGCCGTGGTGAGTAAAGTACTTGATCTCTATCGACAATTTCTACATATAATTAACTCTATATGATTACAGATTATTCAAAGAAATACGATAATTAATTAGAACGAGATTCGAATTTAATAGAAGCTCGATTATTCGAGCACCGTTAAATATTATTATATGTATAAATCGAGATTTGACTGTTTCGTTCAAGTATGTAAATTTCTTTGAAATTGAAATGTAAACGTAATTCATAGGTGCGGAGATATTCGCGAAACGCAGGAAAAGGTCCGAAAAATGGGTCGTGGATCAAGATCAGTCGCAAACACCCAACACACCAGGGATGCAAAAAATGCCAATGTACCCAAGAAAACAGGTAAAATGATCGTAAAATGATCGTAAAATGATCGTAAAATAACATAGATTGCTCGAATCAATCTATCGAACAAGTTGATGAAAAGATATTAAGATTCGTGTTTGACCATGTTTAGGAAATGAATGGCAACTCAAAGTATATGAATATGTCTCCGTATTCGCCTCATGTACCTGACTCTGTCGCCGGGAAACCGTCATTTTACAATCCCTTTACCGTCGACTTGTCTTTAAACGACACACATGTACCCACGACAGGTACGTAAAGCAGAAAATCCTCCACTGTACAGAATTTAGTTGGCACGTTCGTCTGGCAATGATCCATATTATATTTCTGTTTGTTCGAATTGTTTTCGATTCGTAAGCGGATACCTGTAACAGTTTCCCAGGATTCGAATATCAAGCTCGATTCTGAGTTCACGCTTATTTCTACAGAGGCTGATTTATCTCCTCTGATCCGCTTGCTTCTAGGTATTCGCGACGTAGGTGCAGGTCCGTTTCTAACGTTGCTCTAACCTCGACTCGAAATTCAACGAACGGAAACGTATCTCGTCTCTTCTAAAACGTATCGACGTTCACGGATCGATGTTAAATTTGCCCGTTCAAGTTTCGCGGAGAGTGCAACGACCTACGACGCGACGGGACGGGACGGTTTCAATTGGCAAACACTATCGATGTTATTCAATCGATGCGAGAACAACGCCACCGCATTCTTTTTTTCTTCTATATCTAAAATAAACAACGACCTGCACCTCGTTGCCAAACTGATATCTGTGCAGTGATATTAGACCGATCGAAGCAGACGAAAAACATCGATAGCTAATCTTATCGATCCTTTGATTAATCAAAGGTTATTATTAATTAATATACATATATAATATAAATTCGATTGGAAGTGTGCGAGGTTGAAAGTAGATTTAATGTATCAACCATTATATGTACATACGTTCCTATAAACATTCCAGACAGAAATCAATATCATTGCAACGGTAAAGAGTGCAACCGCTTGACCGAGGTGAAAAAGATTTATCTTAGAGAAGTGGCCGTTGGTACTGATAACGATTTTCCTCTCGATAAATCTCGATCGTCTGTCGTGAAAAAGTCACGACGTATCACTTTGGAACCAGATATCGAACGTCATAACATCTATCACACCAGAAACAACAATAACGAAAATGCTGCGATAACATCAACTAACACTAACAGGCGCAATTACAATTATAACATGGCTTCGCTGAACAGATCTAATTTTTCTAATACACAGAATGCTACTAACAAAGAGGGCAAGTGTTATGTCAAGGAACAATACGTAACGGATTGTGTAGAAAGCGCGATCAACGAGAAAGAGAAATATCGAAATAATCAACGAGAAACCGATGGTATACGTATCGATAGCGAAGGGAACGAATACACGCCGGTACCGGTCAAACAATTGATACAAGAGTTTGAAAAATCATGTAGACCGGTACTGCAATACAAACAGATCAGTCCAAAGGTTATTCCGATTGTGCAGCACTGTTCTCTCGATAACGATATAGCACGATTCTTTGAAACGCGCAATTCCGTCAAGTACAACAACAACAACAACAACAACAACAACAACAACAACGACGAGGCGGAGCACAGGAGGTGAGACAGAATGAAAATTACCATCCTGAATTATCGAATGCCTTATTAAATGAAATTCTATGCTCGATCGACGCCATCTTTACCATTTATTTAACTACTAGTCGTTGAACCTCCTGAAGGGAATTTTAATAATTTTTTTTCTTTTTTTTTTTACTTGATCTTTGTTCGAAACACTTTTACGACGATTTTCCTTTCCGTGTAGTAGATATAACTATTACCCACTTATCCGATCGAAACTGACTGGCAGTTATCCGAGCAATGCCACGTATCGCGTTTCATTAGAAAACTATGATTCCTTTCAAATTTTACACACACACACACACACACAACGGTACAACGATACAACGATACAGAGCTATTAAAGGGTAGAATTTCATTTACTAAATGACAATTGAAATTTCATCGAGAGGTCCGAGAGTGTCGCGAGATCGGAGGTTTATTGTAATCGATTATAATACAGAGCAACCGGGAAGCAAGTGTACAAAGAGCCTGTAAAGCTTGTGAAGCAAAATCAAGATCATTGTAACAACGGTTACGTGTCCACCGACGATACGGATTACACGAGCGACGAAACCGATTCCCAGACGAACGATTACGGTAGCGAGGAGATCATTTATCGCGAGAAATCGGAAACGTCGAGCATGATGAACGGCGATCAGGAATACTCGTCGATTTACCGCGAGGAGTATTCAAATCGGCGCAGATCGGTCACCTCCGAGGAAGTGGAAACCTTCTGCAACAACGGGGACGCGAGATATATGAACACGGAATCGGAAGTGCCCGCGGAGAGCAAATCATTCTTATTATCGATGTTAGCTTCTCAAGAAGACATTTTGGAGACTATTAAGCATTTGCGTAACACACCCGTTCTGGACAATCTATTGCACAGTGTATCGCCAGATTTTCAATACACTGACGTCAGTCCAGATGTAGGCAAGTTGAGCACCCCACGTGTTCTTCTCCTTCCTTTAACACGTCTTTTTCTCTCAATTGCTAAGCTTTACTTACGCTTGCTTATCGAAGCTTTGGTCGTTCTTGCCAGGGTGTTATGCATGTTCGATTTCATCTTACGGTTCAAATAATACAAACAAAATACATTCTTCAACTTTTAGCCCCGAATTTACGTAATTCTCCGATCGTTATACAACTACATACTATTACCGGTTTAGCGTTTGTTAAAACGTGTTCATTGTTGCAGGTAAAAAGCTTTACGAGGATAATACCTACACGGGGCCGAAACTCGCTAGCGTCAATAATCTAACCAACTATAATACTGCGCCTCGTGGTTGGGATCAGTCTTTGACTTATTATCGACCAATAAAATTCGAAAAACCACAAGAAATCGTTTATTCTGACTTTTAGGCATAATGTATTTATTTAAACCACGCTCTTTACGCGGGTATGTTTCGAGCAGTGTAAATACTTTTTTTCTTGTTCGATTTTAATCTAATTTAAAAAATGTTATTTAAAAATTGAGATACCATTGAGATATTAAATGTGGAAACTATGGAACAGGATAGAGGGAAAGTAACTTTTTCAAAATACGAACATGTATGTACATTAGTTATGGCTCCGTCTCTTGGGCATCACAGATTACTTTGCTTTTGTCCTTTGTTAAACTTATTTTTGTCTCGATTTGATCAAACAACGGTAACGATCGATTACGTTAATTATATCCAACATATATGTACGTATATTTTAAAGCTTCGTTTTGCTTCATGTATCTACCTCTCCCATTATTAAAATGTTGATCTTTATTTATGCTTCTGACAGTGTTATTGCATTTTACTTTATAAAGTACCAATATTATAATATTATATGAATAAATGTTGTTTTCATAATGCCTGGTGTACTTTTAAATCTCACATTTACTTTAATACGCGAAACACAATTTCGCACGATTAATTATGTTACACGCGCATGATTTTAATCAAGTAAGTACTTGATCGATAAGAACGCAGAGGAAAATTAAATTAAAACAAATCGCTCGATACGATTTTATTCGATCGTTTCTTTATCTATGAGAAGATAGATCTCCAAGAGCTTTAAAACGTTCTTTTAGAATGTTTACAAATAACGAATATACTACGTGGGTCACTCGATAAGTAAACAGTCTAACAGGATATTTGTATAAGAGATACGCTATTTCCAGAATCATAAGTTACTCTGTAATCAATTTAAACCATCTGTTTGATCATTATTCCAATATATCCAGAAATAAATCGAAACAAGAGAAACGTTATAGTTTGTGACGAGAGTAGGTAAGTAAGTAAGTACTTGAGCATTCTTTTTGCAAATTCTCTTCGTAAAAACCGGCAAATCTTTCGACAATACAGGAGAACGTTTCAGCTGTTTAAAGAGCGAGAAGGAAAGGCTTATGTTCGCCTTCTTTTTTCATTCCATCAAGTGATCCGAAGCGCCAGCAGAGCTCACGTAGTGCATGTAAGTGGAGGGGCAATTGGTCAAGGTACCGGTCTGGTCGGTGGTCAACACACACTCCACCGACTCTATCTGCATAAGTACTTGGTAGGAAGAGTCTGATTATTTCATTAGTGTGGCTGAAAGCATTCAGCAGGATAGGATTGTGATGTGGTCTCTGTTTTCAATTCCACTGGTTTCCCTCTTGCTGCTGTTTACTCGTGCGGAAGCAGCGAGCATACCCATCGCAACTAGCAAAACATCATGTGGATACGAGGTACATACCGAATAACATTACTATTTTCTATCAAACCCGTCTAACATTAGGCTGTCCAAGAAATTTAAACTTGTAATATCGATATTACATATTATTATACATATATTTACATCGTATGCATTCTGCGTACATCGTGTGTATGTACTACTTACGTCAGACACGGCCGACGCGACGCCGCGACGCCGCGACGCGACGGTTGCTTTTCTTATAACGGGTGGTGATCGCGTCATCCATTCGTTCCCTGATTCTAACACTGACTGTTATAACTGATACAGGTTTCTATAATATTCCAACAATATTTAAAAAATAGACAAATTGAACAAGAAAAGATCAAGAAATTTCGAACAACTAAAATTTTATGCACAATATTTCCAATATGCTGATCCTTATTGTATTTATTATAGGCATGCCCGACGGTAGATCCACAGAAATTAAATATTCATATAGTGGCTCACACTCACGATGATGTTGGCTGGTTAAAAACAGTCGATCAATATTATTTTGGAAGTATGTTTAGAAATATTATTTAAACAATTTTAAATAATCGAATTGCATTTATTAACTTGTTTGTTTTTCTACTCGTTTCTCTGAACAAAGGTCGGACAACTATTCAACGCGCGGGGGTGCAATATATTCTAGACAGTGTTATTAAGGCATTACTAGATAATCCCGAAAGAAGGTAATTCCAAATAAAATTAATTAGAATTTAAAGTTATATTTTTATTTATAGATTAAAAATCTTTTAACTTATTTTCCAACTAAACATTTCGGATTGGAGAAAAATAGTAAAAGTTATAGGGAAATTACTTTAAATTGTTTGTATCGATAATAGTACATATTTTGTATCTTTTTTTCTCAGATTTATCTACGTAGAAACTGCCTTCTTACGGAAATGGTGGTTGCGTCAAAACGAAAATACGAAACAAGATGTTAGATATCTGATAAACGAAGGTAGACTGGAAATTATTAGTGGCGGATGGAGCATGAACGATGAGGCGGTTACTCATTATCATTCTCTCGTCGACCAATTCACTTGGGGATTCAGGTACCGATAGAAATGTTATCAAGTCCTGAACCGACCCATTGAAAAGTCCGTCAATTAATTAATTTCATTCTAATTACAGTTGAACATACTTAACATTATTCTTTTATTTTAATTCCAAGTTATACCCATACCCGATATACAAATGTTTTAAATTATCAAACGATAGATTTTTATCGGGTTTCAAAGTGCAAAATTATTTTATCGATTATACGATGATAATTTCGGGATTATTCTCTGTCTTATGATTTACGTATCTTTTTTATCTTTTCCAGATGGCTTAACGATACTTTTGGAAGTTGCGCACGACCACGTATAGGATGGCAAATCGATCCCTTTGGTCATTCCAGAGAACAAGCATCGATATTCGCACAATTAGGATTCGATGGCATGTTTCTAGGTCGACTCGATTATCAGGACAAGGAAAATAGAGTGAAAAACAAAAGTATGGAATTCATCTGGAAAGGAAGTCCAAGTTTAGGTAAATTCTAAATCGATTCAAAAGGGGGAACATTATCGATATTATGCCATATCCATGCATTTACCGGTTGAATCGCAAAACATTTCGCGATATTATAATTTGGTTAATTTGAATATTTCCCCTTACAGGGTCTCGTGCAGATTTATTTACAGTTGCATTATACAATACGTATTCCCCACCGCCTGGTTTCTGTTTCGATGTTTTGTGCACCGACGAGCCGATAATCGATGACCCCGATAGTCCCGATTACAACGTTAAACAAAGGGTAAATAGTGTATTAGGTATAGTAGAAGTTTCTCTTAAATCATATTTAGCAAATTAATTGTGTTTAACAAAAATTCATTCGATCAAAGTCGAATTTTACATTAAGTAATATTGTTAGAAATATCAATATGATAAAACGATGTTAAGATTTAATAACAATTCGTGGTAATTTAAGTTACAGAACACGGACAAATAATTTGCAAAATATGATTTTAACTTTCGAATATTTGAACAAAGCGTACAATTTAAATGAACCTTTCCAACGAATTAAAAGGTTTCGTTGATCGTCTACGATATTAGTAAATCGGTGGTAAATGGATGGAGGGGGCAATTTCTCAGCCAAATACTTGACATTCGATAACAATTTATTGGGTTTTCAATATGAATTTGAGTAATCGACGACTGATAGCGATATTTCTTGCCAAACAGATCAATGCATTTATGAAATACGTGGTTCAGCAAGCTGAAGCTTACCGTACAAATAACGTCGTATTAACAATGGGAGGAGATTTCACTTATCAGCATGCAGAAATGTACTTCGTTAATCTGGATAAACTGATGAGGTATTGATTACAATAAACGTCGCTTTATTTAGTAAAAGTACCATTGTTTGACGATGCATTGATAATGTTGGCGAAAGGAAGGGAAAGATCTTAAAATTATAAGGCAGTTAGTTTGCACACACACACACACCGGGCGGCTAGGGGCTAAATCGGACCCAACTTTGGTTCAATCTTCGAACAACAACATTAAATGGAGTCTTGTATGTGTGCAAACGGCCTAATAGCGTGTTTACGTGTAGCAATGGTAAGTAAAAGTACCAAAATCGCCTACAGATCGGAGAGTTTCTCTCCTATGCCCAACGCCAAGCAACATCTTACCAGACTAACAATGTTATTCTTACGATGGGCGAGGATTTTAATTATCAAGACGCTGAAATGTGGTTCATTAATTTGGATAGGTTGCTCAGGTAAAGCATAATTGTTCAGTATCTCCGTGCTAACGATTTCATTTATAAACATTCGTTTATAAAAGGTCTACATAAAAGTTTTACGAATTGCCTTTACCTCTTCGGGGCAAAGTACACGATGATCAGGTGAAACTGATTTTTAACCAAAGATTGCAATTTTATTATGTATCGTTTCCGGCGCGATACATAGTCGATATCGCGACAAGTTCAAATAATAATATTTTTAATTAATTATTTGATATTTGATATTTGATATTTGATATTTGATATTTGATATAGGTACGCGAGGGAACATTCTTCGAACGTAAATATATTTTACTCGACACCGTCGTGTTATTTGAAAGCGGTTCACGATGCAGCAAATCTACAGTGGTCAACAAAGGCTGATGACTTTTTCCCTTACGCGAGCGATCCTCACTCTTATTGGACCGGTTTCTTTTCCTCCAGACCAACGATCAAATTCTTCGAGAGGATGGGAAATAATATTTTACAGGTACGTAACGCACGCTTGGATATTTGTGTTAGTAAAATGAGACAAATTACAGATGCTCCGTCCGTTTCGTACTTACGTTGTACTTCCTTCTAATAAATTCATAAAAGTGTTCAAAATGGATAACGCGTAAACTATAATTTTAGATCGTGAAACAATTGTCTGTACTGACTGATCTGAAGGGGCACGAGAAACAATTGGAATATTTCCGCGAAGCAATGGGTATAATGCAACATCACGATGCGGTAACCGGGACCGAAAAGCAATTAGTTGCCAGCGATTATGTCCGTATATTACACAGTGGTATGCAGCAAGGAAAAGATATTATTACCGAAGCTATAAGGTAATAAAAAACTTTTTGCCGAATAAAATAATTCATCAAATTGTTTTTCTTGATCGAAATTCGAACAGACGAAACTCTATCCGAGAGACTAGCGATATAAATCACATTAAATACGTACATATATTCTTCGAAAATCAACCTCCTCTCTATTCTTACAAGAAAATTTATTTCTTTTTTTTTTATCTTTAATAACCTTCTGTCTTTGTTTTATCGTATAGCAAATGGGGATTGAGCGAAAGTGAAGGTTTAACGCAACCGAACGATATGAATTCTTGCCTGCAATTGAACATCAGTTCTTGTCCGTATACAGAAAATACAAACTTTCTGCTTACGGTTTATAATCCACTAAGTTTCGAAATTCGAACACCTATTCGTATTCCTATCGAAAAAGGCACATACACGGTTCAAGATTTACCAGGTATATGCTCTATCGCGATTATAATAACATGTCATTTGACAAATATGTATTTACTTTATTCGTCATTTCATTATTAATGAAATCTGTTATTAAAATTTTTCCCAGGGGTGGCCGAACGAACACCCTCTATAGATATCAAAGGCATTTAAGTAATAGTTTTTTTTTTAATAAAAGATTGAATATTTTTCAAGATGGCGGCAACACTATTTCGCAACTGGTGCCTATTCCCGATTCCGTATTAAAAATACCGGGAAGAATAAGCAATGCTAGTCACGAACTTGTATTTATTGCATCAGTTCCACCTTTGGGCTATAAATCTTACAAGGTGGAACAAAAATCAAGGGATGTCGTCCATTATGTAGTTAACGAAGCAAGTTTCATCGAGAACGAGGTATTTAATATTTAAGGAAGAAAAAGATGATTGACAAGAAATGAGAAATGAATGAACTTCATTTTTCAGTATAACAGTATATCCATCGACAACGAAGGCCAAGTTATAGTGGAATGGAAGAAAGAGAACAACATGAGTTTGGTACAGTCGTTCCATTATTACGAAGGAGTGGCGGGAAATAATAAAGTATTTAAAAACAGATCCTCGGGAGCATATATTTTCAGACCGAAAACTGTATCCACTAAGGATTTCCTCGCATCCGGATCTTACAAAATTTACAAAGGTATTGTACGAATAAAAATTATTTAAAGAGAAGTTGTTACCAGATTGATCATTTCCTTGGTGCTAAACAGTAATTAGTACTTGTAAAGATATCCACGTTTCTCCGTGTTTATTATTACATACCGTATCGAATCAACTATGAAATCTTTTTTCGTCGCAGGTCCGCTGGTACAAGAAATCCATCAAACTATTAACGATTGGGTTAGTCAAGTGATTCGACTGTATAAGAAAAAAGAATATATTGAATACGATTGGCTCATTGGACCTATACCCGTTAAGTAAGTCTTTCTTTACATATTTAATTAAATACACGCGATTTGGAAGGAAAAATAAACGTTAAGAAACACCGAGTAATAGTAATTCTTTTCGCGTTTATATTTTGAAAAACTACGTTTAATTCAATTTCAGGGACGACATTGGCAAAGAAATTGTAACAAAGTACTCGAGCAACTTAGATTCGAACGGAGAATTTTCTACGGACAGTAACGGTCGCGAAATGCTAAAACGGAAACGAAATTATCGTCCAACTTGGAATCTAGAATTGGAAGAAAAAGTATCTGGTAACTATTATCCGGTTGCTACTAAAATCTCCTTGAAGGACGAAGAAAAATTGCTTAAACTCAGCGTGCTAACGGACAGGACAGAAGGCGGGACTAGTATGAAGGATGGTGAAATCGAATTAATGGTAACTTTTTATACACACGGCCAGTAACTAAATATTCTTTCTAGCCATTGTAGCTCGTTTCGATATGTTACAGCTTCATAGAAGACTTTTAAAAGACGATGCATTCGGTGTAGGAGAAGCTCTGAATGAAACCGCATATGGCGAAGGTTTAGTTGTCAGAGGTTCACACTACGTGCTTGGAGGTAGTACAACAAATTTGGACAAATTCGTAATGAAAGAGAAATCATTAGCTCTCGAAACATCGCTTCGTCCATGGATCTTATTCACGTCGCTAACGCCAAACTCTACAATTGACAATTATTCATCTGCATGGAAAGTATGTATTTTTATGTTTAAAGAATAATAAGTACTTTAAAGGGTTAATATTTTATTCCAAGACATGTACTTTTACCTCCTTTTTGGTCATTTTCTTAATGAAAATTGAATTGAATACAGTAACTAAAACAAAAGCAATTTTAAAAACAACTCTACTCCTAGCATTAGCTGACGTTCAAAAATCGCTACCAATAGAATATTTATGTATACCTGTACATATACAGAGTGTTCGCCCACCTGACTATGATTTTTTAAACATACGAACATTTCTGGCTACACGGTATATTTTCGGTAAGGAATTTTTTTCTAGAAAATGCGTAAGAATTCGTGGGTGTGTCTATTAACCAAAAATGATTGTAATTGACCCTCGCAACTGAAAATAATTTTTTCAGAACGATTTGAAATTTCTTAATTTTGTTGAAAAATTTCACACATTCTCGAATTTTTTTCTAGAAAATTGGTAGGATTACGGGGGTATGTGTAATGACCAAAAATAATTGTAATTGACCCCTGCAAACGAAAATATTTTTTTCGGAACGATTTGAAACTTTTCGATTTCGTCGAAAAATATAGTTTTTCATTTTTAATCATTTTGTTTGACACCCTACGGAAAAGTTGTTTAATACTTTTTTGTAGGTACCCATAGGCTCTATTTCAGAAAAAAGTTTCATTCAAATATATTCACTATTATAGGAGTTATGGCGGTTTGAAAATTGGACCTTTTTTATGGGGTTTTTGTCACTTTACGGGGTCAAGGATCAACTTTTCGAATATTTTTGTCATTTCTACATATTCTTCGCTAAAATACGCGTAGTTTGTTTTTTTAAACATTAAAATCGTCCAATCCGTTCAGGAGTTATGACGTTTTAAAGATACGCATGAAATTTCGGGGAAACATTTCTTTCTGGCCTCGCGTTAGATTTTCGGGAAGGAATTTTTTTCTCGAAAATCGTTAGGATTTCGAGGGTATATCTATTCACAAAAAATGATTGTAATCGACCCCTGCAACCGAAAAGAATTTTCTTAGAACGATTTGAAATTTTTTTATTTCGTCGAAAAATTTTATCAACTTTTATTTTTCAGAAATCAGGCCTTGCCAAAACGATACCACCAAATGTCCACATTCTAACTTTGGAGCCATGGAAAGATGGTACAGTCTTATTGAGGCTAGAACACATTTTCGAAGTGGGTGAAACCGAGAATTTGTCTAAACCTGTGGAAATTAACATTCAGGTACTTTTATTTAGCTTATTTAATGATATAAGAGATCTGTTCCTATTACGATACTCTGTATTAATTCTATAATTTTTTGTTACACCAGGACCTGTTTTCGACTTTCACGATTCTGTCTGTGAAGGAAACTACATTGGGTGGCAATCAATGGATACAAAGTATGAATCGTTTCAAATGGGAATCTGAAACGAACGATGTCCTTCGGGCAAAAGAAAATCTTATTCGGCCAATAAAACTTGAAGATGGCGTTATGAATATTCTTTTAAAACCGATGGAAATACGAACATTTATTCTTCAGACAGCGCCTAAAAACGTTTAATTTATAATTAATCATTTATTTACATTATACGTTTGTTCAATTTCGTGATATTTTCTATACAAATAAGTACACATAGTTATTACAGTACATAGGTGTCCGATATTCTTCACCTTTCCTCTTAATAAAACATCATATCAATAGACGGTACTGAATTTTTTTAATTCTAATTGTTATAGTCATCTTTGATCAAGTTAACGATAACTACTTAAAATATTAAACAATTTGATGAAACGATTAAATACTTTGTTACTTTCAGTGTCGAGGTAAAAGACAATGTACATAAATATGCAAGCAGTATTTAGTAATTAATTCTCGAAAAAAAATAATTGCATACGCATACATACATACATACATACATACGTACGTACGTATAATCAAATGTCAATATTTTTGACAGAACAGACAAGTTCTAACCTTTTAGCATGTGAAATTTTCATTGTAAAATTTATGAACATTTTTTTAAAACGTCCGAAATCTACTATAGAATGTTTGAAATGAGATCGCGTGACAATAAAAGTGTTTTTTCATTGTTACGAAATCGCACCGAGGTTTGGAGATTGCATGCAATAATTTGGATTTAATTCTTAATCGAAGTAAGCATTCCAAATAAATCATAAGGTGTTTATGAAACGAAAGAATATTGCTTAGAAAAATATTTCATTTACTTTAATGGTACTTGAAAGAAAAAATCAAACAATGCAAGCAAAATTCATTGAAAACTAAGAGAGAAAGGGGGGCTTGGCTTCGTATTGTTTCTCGCGTTAGATGAGATCGGAAGACGAGGCTTGGGCTCAAACCGTTATCACGGTAACTCCCGAGGAAGATGCAACGCTTAGAGAAATTTTAGACACAGCGATCCTATCCGCACCAGCAGACATACCGTTGGATCTCGATGAGAAAATTGTGTACAGAAGATCGTTTACTCACAGGCAATTTCTAGATTCGAACGAATCGGAACAGGAGGCTATAGACTGGGAAGTAGAAATAACAGAGGAAGAGGATGGGCCAAGATCGCAACAGGATGCAGAAAATCAAACGTATTTACAAGGAACACCGATCGTTCGTATCTCTGTCGAATATCGCGATGAAGGTTCCCAAACGATGTACATGAGTCCGCCATGCCCACCCCTAACGTATTACAAAGATATCATGAGTACGTAAAATGCAACCTTTTCTCCATCTTTTTTCTAATATTGAATATTTCTACTTAGCATCCATGAATCAAGTTCCCATGCCTACGATAAAGAGCAGCAATGCTGCAACAACTATTATCACTTTCCATCCAAAAACATTGCAACTGTACACTGTAACGGCTCAACTGACCACGAACATCGCGGAAGAAGAACTTGAGGAATTCGTAGCGACAGTTACGAGCGAGGAAGAAGCAGAAATGGAAGTCACAGAGATATTATACTTTTTAATAGCTCGTGCATTTTGGATAATTGAGCCAACAAGTCAGAGAGAGATAGAGACGGAGGATAAAGAGACGGAGACTTTAATAAAATTCGATTATCATAGAAACACTCTTGTCATCGACAGTGAAACGCAAACCGAGTTAACTTGCGAACCGAAAAAATCTAATACGACGCTTTTGTCGGAATATTGCGAAACAAAGAATATAATGCTGAGTTACTTGGAGGACTGTATTTCTAAAGGAATCGACAGTAGGATTGCAATAGACGATATAATAGACGAAATTATCAATAAATGTACCGATAGAATCAGGTATCCCATGTTGGATCAAACAACGCAAACTATAGTGACGTATAAATTACGCGGGGAGAAAGAGGAAGATGTGTTACGAAAACTGAAACTCGAGGTCGTTGTGGATCCTTTCGAGGCAACGATCGTAGTCGTACCGTTAATGGACAATTTGTTGCAAATCGTTTCCGATACTGTCTCGAGAAATGCTCCTAAGATAGTGAACAATATTTTAGGAAAGATTCTACGGCGAACAATGACCATAGTCAACAAACTCATACAACTTGAACAGGAATTACAACGTTAGTACACAATCTTTTAATATAAATTTCTTCGCCGAGTCTATGTATATGTACTTCGTTATAAAGTTATTGAAAAATGAATACGTGTAGTAAGATATTGTCAATAAGATTCCATACTCTTGTTTGTAATGCAGCTACGGAAATAAGTGAAATATTGGAACAACGGAGAAAGAAAATCCTTGAGTCGATGTTGAAAACAGAAACAGAAGCAAATTCTACTCAGACAAGTATAGCTGCAGTTTCGGAAGTACAGAAAATCAAGGACGATAAGGAGGACGTTATTGTATGTTCCGTGTGCAGAAGACCATCGGAATGTCGGTGGTGTTTAGGCGATTACGAAAACGAAACTGTTCCGCGGCCAGAAATCAACATACTACGCACACAAGATATATTACTAGCGTACAAGCCTTGCTATATTATGACTACAGTTTCCGATAAAGAAACGAGCCTTCAATCTTCGTATCGTCCCGTAAACAAACTTCCGGCTCCTCAGACGCCTTACGTACCTATTTCAAAACAATCGTCTGAAAAATCTGATGGAACGATCAATATATTCTTGCAACCGAAAATCGTATCACAAAGTAAATATACTAGATCAATTAGGATATTTATAAACTGTCTAGAAATAATTATTCGTGTAATAACGATTTGCAAAACTATTCAACTGATTATCATCATTTTCTAGAGTCCATTAACGAATGGTCTTACGTTGTTGATACTACTTTGATGAAGCCATGTTCGATGAAAGGTAAAATTTTAATTTAATTCGTATCTACTACCGTCCATTCGTAATGGAAGTATCGATTCTGTTTCTACCAGTGACGCACTGTCCTGAGAAGGGCAGGCAGGTTCACGAAACATGCTTCTTATCCGATATACGATACGTTATACATATTTTACAGATTCCTCGAGCAGTACGAACCAAACGATAACATCGTCGGAAAAATTAATTTCAAAGTCGTGCGAAGGTTCATGTTACCTTCGAGGAGCTTTATCTTCCCAAGCAGCGAATGCTTTGCGAATACTCAAAGATACATTCTGTAGTCAAGAAAACTGCTTTGCTTCTTCGTCGCAAAGCTTGAATAAAAGTAATTTATCAAAAGAATTTGAAGATATATGCGATAAGTCGACTTGTAACGCATGTTCGAGTAAAAGCAGCAGCATCGATAAAACATTTGTACAAGATACCTTTTATACGCGCCAAACCTGTAAAACCTTTTTACGAACCAAGAATATTTGTAAAAAAGGCAACTCGCGTGTTCCTACAAAATCACATAGAAATGGTTTCAAAATTATTCCTATATGTCTATTGGAAAATTCTGATGCTCAAAGTATATAAAAATAAAGTTTTTGCTTTTGAATATTTAATAATTAACAAACATAAATGCGTATACATTCTTTTTGTGTATTTAAGAAACAATCTTTACACGTATCGGTGTAAATGTAACGTAATGCATTCAACAATTATAAAGTTTTCTTCGCAACTTTGGATAAAGCAAGGTTTACGACAATTATCGAGCTACATATTTGGAAAATAAGTTTTATTTTTAACACATTTTCAAAGGGTTGTTCGCTATGATCGATGCACTCGTATAAGTTCATCAAACACCAAGAAACTTTTTCAAACATTTTTGCTATTAAAACGGCGCACGGAGTAATAATACGGTTGTCCATATATGTATGTAGTTTCCATCCAAACCACACTAGCATATTTGCACCGTAAAGTCTTTGAAAACCGGATTGCTACTTTCGATTCGTATGTCTTTTCCAAAGCACTGATCAACTTCTTCATACTTGTATGTTTATACGCAAAATTTATTTAAAAAAAAAAAAAAAATAGTATCGTGATTTAAATATAAAGTTATTGTCAATAAAGACAAAATAAATAAATTATAATACACACGCTCGCACAAAAACGTAAAAGAAAACACTGAATATTTTGTAAACGTCCTCTGATCGCGCTATCCATGTCCGATCCAGCGGTTGGGAAAAGATCTGTTTTATTTCTGCCACGAACACTGACCACAATGTACAGAATAGCCATTATGCTATCACATTGTCAAACATATTAAAAACGGCACGTTTTTAGATGGAAAAATAGAGTATTTTTGACCTGTTATCCACTGATAATGTCCAATGATGATTTCAGCCACACCAAACATTCAAAGTCCTTCGATGTCGAGGTTCTATTCCACGAAGCTAATATGGATTTTCCGTTGTCCGATAGTGCATATTTGTTAAATTTACTTCTCCGCGAACCGTGTATAAAGTTTCGTCAATGAATATTACAGTATTGTCTCTCTATAGCCGCGCGTGTCGGGACCGGGCGCACGCAACTTGAGAGACGAGTAGTCTGTCTATTCGGCTTTCTTTGATTTCACGCTCGAGCGTTCAAGGGGGATGGGGCTCGTCGACTTTTCTTCGGCTTTCTCTTTGATATCCGATACCCGATGTCGCGGCACGGTGATTACAAACGAAGTAGTGGGGATAGCTTCGCGTCTATAGAGAATCCGAAAACGCGCGGCTATAGAGAGACAATACTGTATTTAGAAATGTACCATATGTATATCTTGTCTATATGATGCAACAACCACTCGCGAACAATTCTGCGCACAGCCACATGCAGAATTCTTTTCAAGTCCTAACCACCATAAAACTCCCGATGCACCGATGGATGATATGGATTAACATTTTAGGATGAAGAATACGCACAGTATTGTACCGAACAATGTAGAAATTGCGTGCAATTTGTTATACGATTATATTATATGTTGGCGTGGACAGCAAATGGCGTTACTATACCAAACTCTCGACGGTTGAACCACTACTTAGCGGGCCGCATCTACCGCTTACGCGGAGCCCCCACCATACTACCTTCTCCCACTCCTCCCAATTAAGGATTTACCTACCATCCACCTATGTAAGTACAAAGAATCTAGTAACATTAGAATATTGTGCCTCTTTCGAAACCATTCAACTAAATTAAACACTTTTCGCTACTTGTAATAATAATAATAATAATAATAATAATAATGGAAATCGAGGTGGTAATATCTCTTTAGTATACATATTAAAAAAAGACACACACACGCGCGCGCGCGCACACAAACAAAGAAACTGTGGTCGCATACTGGAAATGGTAGAAGTGTTGATTCAGACACAACACCAAGTCGTTCGCATGAAATGTATGCGCAACGAATGGGCTATGAAGAAAAGAATTTAAAGAATGTTCGAAAAGAAATTTATCTCATCTTATTTTTAAATTAATGAATTCGCTCATGAACATCGAAACGATGCACGTTTTATAAGAAAAAATTGAAAAATCGTATTATTATGTATTTTGTATGCAGTTACAAGTGAATCATGACAAAATTTACATACGAAATGTATAAATCTAACAGTTTTGTACATAACTTAGGAAATTGAGTTCCTGCATCATATTTTATGTTGCGATAAACAAGTAGAAAAATTGGTCAGTAAATAAAAAAAAAAAAAAAAAAAAAAAATGCAATTCCTTAGTAGTAAATTATTTGTATTCAATATCTACTATGATTTATAAATTATAGCTACATACATAATTACAGGCGCTCGTTTTCTCCTTCTTCTTCCGACTGTGATGATTCCTTCGTAGACACCGCTGTCATCTGTTTACCTTCATCCGCGAGTTCCATTTCTTTCTTTTGGTCGAAATTATTCCACGGTTGAATGTCTGCCGAACCAAAGAACCAGAACAATATCGTTGCAGACGTAAATACCGCTGCAGAAATCCAAAACATGATACGCCATTCTTCCACACCGTTCTATAAAAATGATGATAAATTATATAATATTTTGCTCGGAACTTAATATAGGTACTATTAAGCTGATTCTATATTGTCGCAACAAATGGAGCTGCGCTTGGCTGAAATATCGTGAACATTTCGATTATTACATATAACTTGTTGAAAAATGTTGTACTCTGAACCTACCATGAGTAGACTGAACCTGATTTTGTACGTACCCTTTTGTTTGTTAGAGCACCAATAATTGCCGGAATAATAAAGCCAGGAAAACTGCCAAACGTATTCATGATTCCGTATAAAGAACCAGCGAAGTTTGGTGCAAGATCTTGGTGATTTTGTAAACTAGTCTGGCACGAAGCTCCGTTGAAAGTTAATGCCAATATTAACATAATGATTGCGGTTACTGCGTCGCAGCCAGCATATGTCATTATAATTAGGGCAACTGCTGGCCCGATATGAGCTATTGAAAATTATTTCTATTTATTATTGTAGAAAATAATGGTACTTGTTTAACATTGTCTACATAAATTTTACGTTTCTCTGGTTATTCGTTATTACTGTTTGCTTACAGAAGAGCATAAATAGTTTTCGAATCCACGACAATGTTAACATCTTCTTCCTTCGGACGTAATCGCCAGCCGCAGCAAACAGTACTCCAGCGCCAAGTCTAGCTATGTAAGGTAATCCTGTAATCGACCCTCCCTAAATACGATTTAACAAATTTCATTTCTATCAAAATTGTTTAGAACGTATAGAAATAGAACAGTACCTACCGATTTCATGTTAAAACCAAGAACTTCTAAAGTATATTTCGGTCCGTTCGTAGCTATGAAATAAATACCCCACATATTGGCAAAGTGTGCCCATAACAAAACTAAGAATGGTACCGAGGTAAGGACGGCTTTTACTGGCAGTTTCACCTACAATTTTAAAATGCCATCCGAGTCAAAAATTGATCTGCGGAGTAAGTGTAGCATACATATTTGGAATACCAGTTTCTTTGAGACGAACTAAAAAATCACGACCGGGAATAGGACTTTCTAAAATTATTTTCTCCCGAGGTCTCATCAGGTACTCATAAACATCACAACACAGGAAGAATAATCTTAAATGATTATCGATTGCTGTAGTCGCGGATGCAACTTCCGGAGTTTAAATACTTCGGTATTCCAATTATAACGCACTTCCTCTACATATTTAATTTAATTTAAAAGTTATCTTACTTACTTTTTCTTTCGAAACAGTTGTACCTATTTGTTCTTTGATATAAGCTTTTTCTTTTTCTGTAATCGCTGGGTGTCGATCGGGTGTATCGTATACAAGATAAACCCATAAGGCATAGAAAATCAGTATAAGCACAGTTGTAACATAGTACGCGGCTTTCCAACCATAAGCACTGATTATTTGACCACATAAAGTAAATGTTACTACCGTACCGAAAGGACCACCTTCGAAACAATATTGTATTATTTTTTCTTCAATATGGTGTTTTCTACTTGCGAAATTTTTTAGATACCTTGCATTGTCCATACAAACATGCCCTTCTCGCTAGGAGGTACCCATCTAGCGATCATTGCATGAAGAGCAGGATAAACAGCTGCCTAAAAACGCGTACTTTCTTTTAAGAAATTACTTAAAGTTCAAACATCTGTTTCTGGACACCCATATACATACGTATATACATATGTACGTTATAGGTTTTGCACTTCAAATTCATCTTATGGGTGACTAAACAGAAAACTAATACAATGTCATTTTGATTTCGTTCGTATTATCACTGAAAAGGCGACCAATTACTTTATTTACAAAACGGTGAATATGATCTGTAAAAGGATTTATTTGGAATGCAAAACCAACCACTTGTACATGCATATATTTTTGCAAAAATATTTCAGTTTAGACAGAATGAAATAAAAATAATTTATGAAAAATGAAACTAAGCTAAACTTACACCAAAGAAACCCATCAGAAAACGCAGTGCAAACACCACACCATAATGGAGACCAGCTGCCCAAGGCATCAAAAGGTTTAATACTGCAGGTATTAGTGTCGCAAATCTACATTAGCATATCGTTCAAGAGAGAGTTAGAATACACATCAATGGACGACGAACGTAATTTAGGGGGGAAAAAAAAAAAAAAAAAAAAAAAAAAGGAACAAAATGTGTATCGTAATTCTATAATTGCTAACTATGTATAATAAAATTCCACTTACGCTACTACTTTCGAACCCCCATACTTTTCAGCTAAAAGACCAGCGGGCACGCTTGATGGAAGAACCCCCCAAAAATAGGCAGAAAGTAACAGACCTTGTATATGTTGGTTCCATTCGTACCTTTCGCCGTACTAAAAAGTATACATACATATACAGAAACAATCTTATAAAGTATTAATCTAAAGAATAAATAAAACTATAATATAATGAACCGCTTCTTGTTTGGTTCGATCAAGTGGTTTCTGGCTTTGGTCAAGCTACTAAATTCAAATGTCTTACGAAAAATAAACAATTGTCAATATTTATCGTACGTAAAAATAGAAAGTGATCGGAAAAAAGGCTCACGTCGTTGATCACTGTAGTTCTGTTAACGGTACTATTTATCGGTAGAGCATTACATGCTGGACCAGTAGTCCCTCCATGTTTACTAGTTGTATTTACCATAGCGACAATAGTAATGGATAAATTTGTACGTATCATGTATGAAAACATACAAGCTAAAAACATCATTGCTCCTAAAACTCCTCTCCTAGGTATTCTCTCTGAAATGAAGTTCGTATAAACATGTGTTCTATTCGACCTCGCATCCAAATTAGAACGAGTTCTATCTTATTGTTATAAATAATACGGGACATTCTGTACTTTTTTAACACGAACGACGAAAATATGGAACGCCTATAACAAGAATACAAGGGCCAGGCCAATGCCATATCTAGTAACGATAAAGCATCATTATTTGTCAAGTGCACGTCTACTAACGAGCAATATATCATCTCAACTACTACAAGTCGTGATAAGGATCTCAAAATATTCTTATCATATGAAGAAATCAGAAGCGTAAAAGTAAAACGTTGGGACGAAAGTTCTATTATCGAATCCGAACTTTGTGCGTTTGTGCAACTGCGTTTATCAACGATTGATCGTAAGTGACAGACTTGGACTGGATTAATTTATAAACTAACTTCTGTGTACATTTCATTTGTAAATTAATTCGTGAGTGGATGTTTTAAATCGATACCCAGGTGAACGAATCGAAAAGCGAAAGCTACTTTAGGAATATATAAATCCTAAAATTTTTCTTCGTTATTCGTGAGTAAATTTTACCTAACTTTTTCAAAAAGAAACCGGTAATCTGAAGAAAATGTTAATTGGAACGAATAACGCAGACGCGAAAGTGAAACGTGTACTAAATTTTATAATAAATAAAAATATTATCAATATTATTGTATTTATTGTCCCATTGTGAAAGTGTTATAAATAAAGTGCCATCGACAGACAACAGTGCGACTTTATATCATGAATTATCATGAAATCTTCAGTCTTGGATCAAGTGTTTAGAGTGCTTGTTAAGCTATGCAATCCTCTTGTTGCTTATTATCGTATATCACCTTTCTGTATCAGTGTTGTCGTTCTGTTACATCGTTGGGTTCCAAAATTTGATACAAAGATAAACAACGAATTCGATCGATCATTCATCAGCTCTTCAACGTCACATCGAATATAATTTAAATTTTATGCGTACTGATTTCGTGACTTGTACAGAGTACACCCACTTATTTAAATTTCGAACAAACATAAGTAACACGAACAAATATTTTTCAGTCATTATGTGTGTGTTTAAATTTGAAAGCACATACCTTTGAATTTGCGGAAGGAAGACATGTTGGTACCGTGGAGACACAATTAGCGCTATAGGTGTCAGCGTGAAAGTGGTCTACAGTCCTTAGTAATTTTCCAACAGCTAACACAAACCCTATATTTGAAATCGATGTCGATAATAATCGTTAACCAACGACAGTTTGGTTTGGACTGCTGGAAGGTTAGTAAATTCAGTTCGGTATTTAATCAACTCTATAAGCTATTGGTCCACTTGTATTACGTCATGGTTTTCTAAGTGGTTGATATTCCAATCGTTACGGTCTCATTTTAGTTTCGGTCTCGTCACTGCTGACGTCCTCGTCTTCGAAATCGTAAAGCACCGCGAGGAACGCTGAAAAAGACACGTGTTTGCCGCTACATTCAAATTCTATATTTAATCTGCCACGGTGTGTTAACGTTACTCGAGCTGACGCAACATTACGCTACAAGAAACGTACGATTGTCCGTTCCAAAAAAAAAAAATTTTTACCGACGTACAAATCCTTTGAACGCGTTGTACATAATATGCACGAATACGATAATAATCGATAATGTCGTAAAGATAACCGGTACTGTGCAACTTACGCAAAGAGTATCGTCGTATCGATGAATCGATAATATCAACGTCGTATTCTCGGATTTACCGAACGATAAACATGCTTCCGATATTTTGCACAACTGCGTTCGTTCCTTCTTTACACTTTGCAACGAGCATTTACATTTTTATTTAATCTATACTACGAAATAATCGATACAAATTACATTGGTTGATTAAATTATGGCAAAAGGATTTTGTACTCGCTTCATTTTCTCTGTACAATTTACCATTTCAAATGTTATTTTTCACGATTGCATAAAACATAGAGAGAAACTTTATCAGATGTAATTACGAATTGTTGGATCAAACAAATAAAATTAACGACTGATCAAGAATCCATTTAGAATGTTCTACCTTAATTTCAATTCGAATATTCTATTGAAAAAGGAACGTTCCGTAGAGAAGAAAAAACGATTATTTATCTTATCTTATTATCCCTAATAACGAATTGGCGGAACAAGAGTAAATAGTTTCTGTTGCATAAGGCAGATTATTAAAAAATTACATCAGCACATAATTGCCACTTCTGTTGATCGATCGAAGGAATATTGTTCTTGAAATATGCAGTAAGTAATTACGTAATGAATCGACTTTGTTCGAACTATCAAAAAATCAGCCGAGTTTCCCATTTTCGTGTGAAAAATTAAAATTAACTTCTTTTTTTAAATCTTGGGTCCAAGTACAATATGTACAACGAAGGTAAACAATGAAGTGATAAATCTCACGTGTCGATAATAACGCGTATATTGACGAACATTGTATAACAGCGTGTGGAAAGATCATCAACCAACTAATTTAGTAACTATATAACGCCAAATGCTAATGTTTACAAACGTTGTGTTATACATATGTCTCGCCATATATGTATTAATCAAATTGCGCAAGAAAGTTATAAAGTTCCATGAAAATAGAAAGTCTTTTCGAAAGATTGCTTTGACTTTATCTAGTCAAAAGTCAACGGTGAATTACATAATTACTAATTATCATGTGTGATATAACCTCCTGAGGCGTCCAAAATGTGGAAGGCCACGCATAAGATCGGCAAGAGTCAACCAAAATTATGAAACAGAGAGAGAAATTATGATTGCTAAATTCCTAATGCAGAATACAATCTACGTTATCTTTTGTACAGGGTGCTTTTTATTTTATACCTATACAGTAGGGGACCAAACGAAGAACATTCACCCATTTTCGATATATGTATCTAAATGATTGAAATGTGCGATGAAGCAAGAATCCCATCAAATATTAAATATACGTATAAACGTTAATTAGAAATGGACGATAAATTGTAAACTTCGTAATGTATTCGAATAATTTTCAAACGCGACAATTGTGCACGACCTCATTTCATTTTTAATATGTTATAATTAACTAAGATATAGCGCATCAAAGTCGAGCGTCTGAATACTTTTCTAGCTGTGATAGCGGTCGAATGCTCGAATTAACGCTGTAAATCCATTTATCACTCTACATATAATGACTATATTCCAAGAAAAATTTACTTCATGTACATTATCCAATATTTCGAAATATTCCTTCAAAATTTAATATAACAAATACAGTTATCAGCCATGAATTAAATAAATAAAGCCTACATTACTACACAAGAATATATGTTTAAAAATTAATAATAATAAAAAAGAATGGAAAAATGTCAGTTAATATTCGATCGAACATAAATTCGGAATTTAAAGTTTGCGATATCAGTGATGTTAGAATACGCGTGGTCGAGGTCAACATTATGCATAAATGTTTCCTAGACACATATGTCTGATCATCGCTCGGCCTTAGTTTCCGAGATATACGTAAAAGCTTTTTAAGTGTTATTTATTTAATACTTGATATTTTGTTCATTTAGATTTGGATCATACAGTGACAGCGTGTTAAAAGAGTCGTGGGAAACATTTATAGACACGGTAAACAACTCGGCGCTACACCACACTCGGCCGTATTAATTTGTTTCCGCTTGAAGGGAAGGTCGATAACGTTGCTTACCGCCAGGTTTATTACCGAAGGGTTTCCCCTTCTCGTTCACAGAACATTTTGAATTGTCGAACACTAGTTAAGTACTTTCCTTGAACCGGAAACGAATTAATGTAGACGGGCGTTCAACCGGCGACACAGATTCCTGCCATACGAGTGGAAAATCACCAGCTTTGACACCAACCAAGGTTCCTTTTCGTTGGGCAAGCATCTTAAATACGTTTACCAAGTTATATCATCGATGTATATTGATTCCAAGTCTGTTGGAAAATAGTCTTGGAATTACTAAATCGGTTTTAAAAGGACGTTTGCCTCTTAAATGACGAATTTATGTCATCATATGTAGTAAGTATTACTATGAGAGAGGAAAGTCGCTAGTAAGTATGTACCTACTTACCAGTAACAACCACACAACATCTGCTCTTAATTGATAGTGGACCCAGTGACTTTCCCCTCTCACTGCACAAATCATTCTTCCCGAATGTACAACCAGTTGAATATAATTTCAAAATTATCTTACTCTCCTTTCCACGACGTCGAAATTAAATAGACCTTTTTTATTTTCATCGGCGAAAATTTTACTAATTCATTTCGAACATTTTTATATAATTATCGTAAAAATTAAGAAAATTGTTACTTCGGAATTGCAATTTAAATCCAGCCAAGTCATGTTGGCATTATATGTATGTTGCGCTACACCCATCTGTATTCCGCCTAATACGCGGTGAACGGAATGCCCAGATCCATTAATGAAAATGAAAATTTAAATACTATCGGTACATCCCTATGAAAGTATTACTGATCAATAGCAAGGCTTCCTTGACGAAGATAACCGCAAACGCGATCTTATCGGGACTATTTTTAAATATACGCCATTCAAATTACTGTTTAGATTCTGGATATACATATGTACAAACACCAACAAGCATCTACGGTTAAAGAAAATGCCAATGGAAATCGTGTTCGGACACACGTGTGTAAAAAAAATTCACTTGTCCATTGATAATACTCTCACGGCGATATAATGAGAAACATAAAAGATTGCATTAATCAGTGATAAAAGTAATGAATTACTGCTTTGTGCATAGTGAATAGATCCATAAAAGAACACAGACAGCATTAAGCGATATACACGTATTTTTTATACACGTATCACATCGTATTATATGTATGTATATCGTGTTATATTATAATAGAAGTTTTTTAAATTAAAAATTGCATCGATAACGTTTATTTTAATTGAAACGATCGAATGAATAAAATGAAACAATCAGTGCTTGTATCATAGATGGGAAAAATTCCTGTCTAGATAACAATTTCGAATAACGAATAGATGATCAACCGTTGATTCGTTAACCTGTTCAATGAAAATTACAATTTGAAATGTAAATTGAAATTGTATTGCACATTAAATAAATGAAGGCTTATCTGAAAAACATTAATGAAATAAATATTACACTGCACGGTGTTTTCATTAATGGTCTATCGTTTAAATAAAATTCAGCCCATCATTGGCTTATATCAATAAATTTGATTAATTATATGATTCATAATCGGACTAACCTCTTCTAAACGTTCCTTCGATAATGTGACAGGAATGATTTGCGCGCCAATTTATCGTATCGGTCAATATTCGGAAGAATAAGTCGTCCAACCTTCGATGTTAAAACGGAAAGCTGAACACGTTTCGTTTCCTTCTAGATATGATAGTATTTAAGTTATAAAAATAATTTTTACATTCCCACCGTTATTGCATCACATGATTAAATACAACACACTGTGCACACAAAATACTCAATTACACACACGCCACGCACTAACGTGACTGATTCAGACACTCAATGCCGCTGACTTTTTTTTAGTCTCCACTCTCCACCCACCGGTCACAACTCGTATTTCTTCCCCTACCACCGTTCACCTGTTGACTGTATATGTACGTATATGTACGAATTTAACACGACTATGCTCAAACTTCTTTATTCGTAAATTTTAATTTACATATATATATATATATATATATATATATTTATATGTATTATATATGTTACGTATTTACTATTATTCAATGCCATTCGATAAATACTATTCCGATATACTATAATACAACAAATATAAAATTAATATTAACAGGAAACCTATCGTTTATTGATCTTAAAGATAGAGTGGATGTAAATAGTAATCAGAAAACCCTACTGGTTCGTTTCATCAGCACCATCGAATCTACCAGGAATGTTTTATACAATAGCCTCAAAAAACTTGTACATACACAATATACAAATGCACTCGAGTCATCATCGATTAACGTGTGCATCCAAACAAGATCTAAACACGTTGTACATCGTGTAACATGGATAAGTGTTTCTCTCAAGCCAGTCACATCCACGCATTTACAACAGAAATTTATCCACGACTTCTGATTGGTAGAATGCGATTGAATGCACGATGATTCCAGCGCGCTTACGGTAATACGAGCAAGCTTTTTAACCTAACCGTAATATTCTTCGTAGAAGTTCAACGGTTGAGCTCGATTCAACTCGAAGAGAAATACTAGACTAGTTTAACACTTTACTAGTATTATGTACTAGTAAAGAAAAAGCTCGTCATTGCGATAGGATCGTGTTAGCTATTGTTGGGCAAAATCTAATTTGACTATTTATGATGATTATTTCTAGAAAGTAATTACACCGTAATTACATTGTATGTATATTGGATTTGTAATACACATCTAGGTATTTCGAACAACAAACACAGTTAGGCTTGAATGAATGTACTTGGACAAAAATAAATAATAACTTGTTACGATACGAGTGACTTCCCGCCAATTTACGATTACTATTACTATTACTATTACTATGCCCACGCAGATAATGCTTTGTTCCACCAATTATGTTCGTAACTAGTAGCTTAATGTGATATATTCATGGGATGACAATAACGACCGTTAATTTACGTAAAACCGATAAATGTAACTACTATGGCCTTAACATGTGTAATTACTATTTCTTTGTCACGTTTGTTCGACACATTAGTCCAGAGTCTATGTAACTTTTTGATAGTATAGTATTCCGATGACAATTCATGCCCGATGAATGTTTTTTCATAATAATAAATACCATAATACTACAATTCCTTACGAATAAAACAAACTAACCTAGCCCATTGTCTAGTAAAACAAAGAAGAAAATAGCCGAGAGGTTTACTTTTATTGACGTAAATATTGTTAGCAAGGACAATAAATGCATAAAATTTTACCAACTTTCACACAGCGATCCTACTTACTCGCGATTCAAAGACTAATTAAAATCTGGATTTGGGCCTCTCATAACAGGCCCAAATTAATCTAAATGATATTACCCCTGTTCTTCTATACACTTACAATTAGTAATAATAATAAAATTAATCTAGTATTCTTGTAATTTACGATAATTAACCTTGCATCGACTATGTATTACACAAACAACATTTATTTCGAATACATATACCTTTCATGCATGTTAATTGTAATCTTTCTCTTACGGATACATAGTTTTCATAATTAATAATTAATGATTTATTCGTATTATCCATACATACACTTATACATATTATAAATCATACATGAAAATTTAGTCTTACAATTGTCATGTTAAATTTGTAATACTTACCCCGGAAACGAATGCAATGGACTACTTTGAAAAATGAATTTTATATAAAAATTATAACCGCAAAATAATAAACAAATTCTATACAAAATAATATTTATCATGCAGGAATAATTTTATTTGTTTTTTCATTGTTATAAATTAATTTTATAACCAATTAAGTTCATTGTGGCATAATACATACGAGTATTATAAAGTCGCTAAAAAAATTGCAATTATTAATAACATTACGACATGAAAATTTTTATAGATATATGTACACTACATAAAACAATATTTTTTACATACAATTACATTGAACGTAAACTATTTTGTAAAATTACTTCCAAGTGTACAAGAACAAAATTGTATAATTATTTTAATACACAAAATGTGTATTATAATTAGTTTATACTTAATTTTCGGAATGTCATGCATGTGTAAATGTCTTTCATTATTATATGATTTCTTAGAAAAGAGTAAAAGTAATATTATCTTACCGCAAGACACACGAAATAAAAATTTCAATTATGAAGATGTTACATAAGAAATATCAGATTTAAAATAATAAATAGGTTTAGCAGGTTCGGTATATGAAATATAACTGAGCTTGTAATGGTCACCTATAAGTTACGTAAGTGAAATATTCACATACTGTGCATTCTATTTTTAAAGTTCAAGGTGAAAACACAGACTATTTTTGTAATACATATATTAATAGTTCTTTAATTTACGAAAATATATATCCAAATTAATAAATTAATAAATAGTTCCAATTTATAGACGGAATAAATTGATGCTATAAAAAATAAGATATTACTTATGTAACTATCTGATACTAAAATATTTTTTAAGTATTTCACCCTTATACATGTATGTATATGTATAACAGTTGTAAAATATAAAATATATATTTCAATTTAAAAAGTATTGGAAGACTTTCTTATTTCCATTATAGTAAGTACGTATATGTATAATATGTTTTGGTTCAGAATAACTTTGCTTTTGCAAATATGAAATGGTTTGAATTGTTTCTGATACACAGGTGTGTATAGTTCCGATTTCAACTAAGATTTCAACTAATGGTAATTTTTTGATGAATACAAGTAGAAAAGTTGCAATAGTATCTATAAATAACATTCATAACGAAATACCGAGTTTGTCTTACAAAATATAGAAACGTAAATTTCGAAAGTAGTGATGTACATACAATAATGCCATAGAAATATATCCATAGAATTATACTTTGTTATTATTCATAGCAAACAGCACCCAGTTCAATATAAAAACTTTGGTCAGACTTTCCAATATCTCGTAAAGCAATATCTAGTATGGGCAATCTTACCGGTTTATCCGTTTTATACGATAGTACTGTCTTTCCCCATCCATCTGGTCGTAACTATAAAAAATGATAAATTAAGATTGAAAAATGATAGATTAAAGTAGCCGTGAATGTCCGATTATTATTAATATGTTAAAATTTACTAATCGTAAACATACCTTACAATCATCCGTTATCATTTCGTATCTGAGGCGTTGATTTCCACGCGGTGTTAATTCAACATCATTCCATGCTAACAGTTTCATACCTTTTCTATATGTTTTTCGTTCAGAATCGAAATATGCTACACTATTTTTACAGTGATACGTTATATTTTGATAAGCATATTTCGATAATAATTGTAGGAAACTAACTTGATTACTGTCCGCTTTATATGTAATCTAAAGAAAGAAAAAAATAATATATGTAATAGAAACGGAACTATTGACACAGCCAACAAGGTTTTTCTTAATATTCCATAATAAATTTTCATTTATAATAATTATAAGCGTGATATTTATGCGTAGCAGCGTAATATTTCCATTATACAGACCTTAATTCCATCTTCTATTTCACTTAACCAGGTTTCTTGTTGCTCGGTAATGTATGTAATTTCTGGTGAACGGACAGGATTTGGCAACAGACACGTTGCTCGTGTCTTAGCTTCGCAGTGCACCAAAATGGCGTCCCTGGGATCCCCTTCGTTCGGATCCACCCAGTATTCTCCTAGAGTAGTAATATTTTCACAAAATGAGAACAATTGACAACGAGCTTGACGTTTCTTTTTTCTTGAACACATTAATATAAATAAGCTCTTGGTAGATAAACTAACCAGAAAGTTTATTTGGATATGCTACGTAAAGATCCCGACAAGTTTTAGCAGGCGATTGTTTTTCACCGTCTGGTTTTATAAACTTTTGGAAAGATGATTTTAATTGTTTGTACGCTTTCAAAATTACTTCTCGTCTTTCTTCTTCTGTCATGTCCGGACTGAATATTCTAGGTGGCTCGTCGCCGATTAATGGATCAGGTCCTTTAGTTTGGCCTTGCCCTAAACGCTCAATTTAATTAATTGGTACAGTGTTAAGGATAGAATAAGGCTAGAATTAGTTAAAACGTAATAAATAGGCACCTAAGAAAGCAGCCAAAGACGCAGCATCGTATCCCAATCCAAGTTCACCCGGTGGACCTGGAGGACCTGGTAAACCAGGAGGTCCTGGAGGTCCATAACGACCTTCGTCACCAGGAGGGCCTTTCGGTCCTGGATTTCCCATTAATCCAATTGGTCCGGGACTACCATCTTTGCCTGGACTGCCTCTAGGCCCAGGTTCTCCATCTTTACCAGGTATTCCAGGGAATCCAGTAATTCCTTTTTCTCCTGGTAGACCGGAGGGTCCAGGCGGACCTTGTAAACCTGTAAATCCTCGATGTCCTTTGATACCTTTTTGACCTTCCTCTCCACGATCACCTTTCGGACCTTCTAATCCTATAGGTCCTGGTTTTCCTCTAGGTCCCTAAAGCGAAAGTAAATTACCGTAATTACGGGCACAGTTACAAATTCTTGTTACCGACTTATAGTCTTTATACGAATAATAAAACTGACTTGTTGTCCCTCTACACCTTGTGGACCTGTTTCTCCTTTTAGACCTCTTTCTCCAACTAGTCCAGCAGGTCCTGCTGGACCGGGGGGCCCCTAATTATGTAAATACATATTATTGTATTTATTTTACGCATAAAAAATGTTTTTTTAAATTTTAATTGGTGAATAATATTGCAAGATCAAGGTCGTTCGAAGAAAATTATATCGATGCAAGAAATATTTACTTACGTTGGTTTACAACGTATTGTCTTACTTGCAAACCTGGTGAACCAGGTGAGCCCGTTTGCCCAGCCATTCCAGGGGGTCCTTTATCTCCAGGACGACCAGATATTCCAGGAGGTCCTGGTTTACCAATGGGTCCTTCCGATCCGATTTCTCCTGGGGGGCCGGGTGGTCCCATTGGTCCGATCAGACCAGGAGATCCAACTGACCCTTCTGGTCCTGGTTTTCCAGGCAATCCAGTTTCACCCTATTAAATTTTATGAATAAATATAACAATAAACTGGAAACTGTACCAGTTTCTATTGAAAAACTAACTAAAATTGTTAAAGAAGACTGTTTTCTGTGTGTAATTTGATCATTGTTGGTTTTATAAACCATTAAACGAAACGACACGTTGAATATGAAGAATTCTAATCGAACTTACAGGTGGTCCACGTATTCCTCTAGCTCCTATTGGTCCAGATGGACCCGGCAAACCCGGTAAACCTCTTTCGCCGGATGCACCTTGAGGACCTAGAGGACCAGGTGGACCTGGTTGTCCTTGAGAACCACTTTCGCCTTTGTTTCCATCCACGCCAGGTATACCTGGATTTCCAATGGGACCAGGATTTCCAGTTCGTCCTGTTTCTCCAGCATTACCTTTAGTACCCGGTAATCCCTGTATCCCTGGCGGTCCCGTCGGACCTGGTGGACCCTGAAATCATTGTAAATTACAAATTTCCTCCACCAATATTGCATACAATTGTTTATGTGATATGAAAAGATCATTAGAAGACAATTAGTCGATGGGAAATGGAAACCTACTACTGCTCCAATTGCCCCTGGCATTCCAGGTGGTCCCATAATACCAGTCTCCCCTCTAGGACCCGGTTCACCTCTTACTCCTTTAGCTCCGGTCAATCCAGTCAAACCTTGCTGTCCAGTTTCGCCAGGACTACCTAGATTTGAAATATGCGGCATGTGAAGTAATAATGTAATTATACATATAATGTATGTTTTTTATTATATTAATGTTACCAGATGGACCGGGGCTTCCTTGATCTCCTTTCAAACCAGGATATCCACGATCACCCTTCAATCCTGGCAAGCCAATAAGTCCTTGTGGTCCTGGAAAGCCTTGTAAACCTTGCAATCCTTGAGGGCCTCTTTCCCCTGGGCTACCGGAAGCTCCAACCTCTCCTGGGGGACCAGGCAACCCAGCATCTCCTCTTTCCGCTGGCTCACCTGGTGGCCCAGGTGGACCAATTTGCCCTTGTACTCCACGCTCTCCGATCCGTCCTGCGAAAAAATATTTTTAATGGTTTAGTAATAAGGTAACGAATATTTTTTTTATCGAAGACACACCTGGTGGACCTTCAGGTCCAGCCGGACCGGCGGATCCCCTCTCTCCTTTTGGACCCGCTTCTCCTGCAGGACCTCGTATTCCTTGCAGCCCTAGTAATCCAGATGGACCTGGGGTTCCTCTATCCCCTTTTGGCCCTGGTAATCCCTAGAATGACATCGGTTATAATATAATATCGGCTTCAACGGTTACGTGTAAAGAGTTATGTGGAAGAGATTGTAAAGGAAAAGGAAATTTAGTAAGAAAAACTTACAGGAGGGCCATCCAATCCTTGCGTTCCTCGTTCTCCTTTCGAGCCTACCATTCCTGGTACTCCTGCCTGGCCTCTTTCACCAGGAAATCCACGCTCACCCCTATTTCCAGGTGTGCCTGGTATACCTGGTGGTCCTTGTACACCTGGTTCTCCGTCTTTTCCCGGTGAACCTGGGTTTCCAATTGTACCTGGAAATCCCTAATTATATCAAATTATTTAACGACATTGTAATTTTGTTATAACGATATTTGTTTTATAACGTATGTGTGAAACATACCTGGAAACCTCTAGGACCTGGAGCACCTGGAGGACCTCGTTCACCGTCTGCTCCTGACGGTCCAGGTGAACCTTGTACCCCGGGGGCTCCTTCTTTTCCCGTATCGCCTCTAGGACCAGGTGGTCCGGGATTTCCTGGTTCTCCAGCTTTGCCAGTTTCACCCTTTTCGTAAATAAAATCTCGATGGATCAAGAAATCTGTCAAGTTTATTAATAAACAGAAAGAGAAAAAATATATACCGGATATCCTTTCTCCCCTGGAAAACCTAACTGGCCAGGCAAGCCTTGCAGTCCAGGTAGGCCTTGTTCGCCAGGTTTCCCATCGGCACCTTGGATTCCACGTTCTCCCGGGTTACCTGGTTTTCCAGGAGCACCTGGACGACCCATTAATCCACGAGCACCCTGTGAATATTATTTTTCAGATTTACTTTTATTCTCCCGTCTACCATTTATCTAAACTTGACCGTAGAGTCAGTATAGAGTTAATTCAGTAATAAGAATAAAACCTGTAATCCGGATGGACCTGGACGACCAGGATCTCCCGTAGCTCCTTTTGGTCCTAATGGTCCAACTTGGCCACGATCTCCAGTTTGACCTAAACAATATAAAATACATATTTAAAACATTGTTATCGAAAAGCATACTGATAAATTGTATATGTATTTATCAGTATACCGATGCATGAAGTGGTTTGCCATCTCGATTCACAGATTTTATCTCGATGAAGAGATTTTTTATTTGGAAACTTGAAAATCTTATCGAATTTGATTGAATTATTTGACATGAATTATGTTTTCGTTACGCGACGCGTAACACGAGCGTGTGTCAGCGTACAAATGTAGAACAATTGAGGATCGAATGTCAGTGGGTCAGTTAATTAGGTGTGAGAATCGAATCGACGATAGTCACTTGATTTGCAAGAGTCAGCGTGTTGACCTGCAAGTTGCGCGGTCAGCCTACGACTGCAGCAGTGCGTCATTCTATCGTCTAGCTTTTTACTATTATTTTGATAATTTAGTGGAAATTAGTTTAGCGAAAAGATTAAAAATCCTTTGCATTCCTATATTTTACTTTACACCCTGTATACTTGTCTAGAGAATGTACCTTTAGGGCCCATGGGTCCGTCCGGGCCCGGAAGACCCGGTGCTCCAGGTGTTCCACGTTCACCGGAAGAACCAGGGGACCCAATTGGACCGCGCATTCCTCTCTTCCCTCGCTTTCCCTCGTTTCCAGGGGGACCTGGTAAACCGCGTGGTCCTTGCATTCCTGTATCGCCTTTAACGCCAGCATCTCCTTTAAACCCTCTGTCGCCAGGTGCTCCCTGAAAATCATGGTCGTATAAAGAATATTCTTTCACGACATCCAATCGAATGCAATCAATTGAAATTATTCTATGATCGAAATACGAATATTCACAGGCATTCCTTTAATTCCCGGAGTACCAGGATTTCCAGGTATTCCAGGCTGTCCACGAATTCCGGTGAAACCAGGTGCACCGGCTAAACCAGGCGTTCCAGCGCTTCCTTTTTCTCCAGGTGTTCCATCCCTTCCTTGTGGACCTTGTGGTCCTGATTCCCCAGGCTGACCAGGACGACCAGTTTCTCCTAAAGAACAGTAAATACATGTTTTATTTTTTTATAAAGAATCTGTAAACATTACTTATAAAATCGTAGCCGTACCTCGTGGACCTTGTAAACCTTGATTTCCAGGTGGCCCTTGTGCACCTTGATCCCCTTTTATACCAGGATTGCCCGGATATCCGGGTGGTCCTGATTTCCCTACCGCGCCCTACAACAATCATTGCAGGATTTTATAACAATTTCACGAATTGTGAGAAAACTCGTGATTGCGTTAACTTACAGGTTGTCCAGGTGGTCCAGAAATTCCATCCACTCCTCTAATTCCTGGTGGTCCCGGTGGGCCCTCTCTGCCTCTTTCGCCACGTGGCCCTGCAGGACCCTGCTCAAACAACAGACTTTAAATAATTAAGTACAGTAGTTCGAAATGATTTAATTTTCATATATTTTAACATTGTCGTTTGATACTTGCCACGGGACCTACGGGCCCCATTGGTCCGGATCCACCTACGGACCCTTTTTCTCCGGATACACCTTGTTCTCCTTTTGCTCCGTCTAATCCTGGAAAACCGCGATGTCCTTTTACACCAGGCAGTCCAGGCATCCCCGGAAGACCTCTCGAGCCAATTGGACCAGGCGATCCTGGTGGACCTGGTTCTCCATCTTCACCGGTACTACCCTAATTAAAATATCAATAATATCAATCGTGTAGCGGTTTCGGGAAATATTCGTTTCAATATCGCATACATCTTTTCCAGCCAAACCAGGTAGTCCTCGTGGACCTGGAGCACCTGGAGGACCAACTGATCCAGGCTCTCCAGGCTCTCCTCGTACTCCTTGAAAGCCTTGTGGTCCAGGTGGACCAGGTGGACCTATTGCGCGTGTAAGCGTTTTAAAATCGATCATATCGCGGAATAAAGAATATTTCCTGAGGAAGAAAGAATACCTGGAGAACCACGTGGACCAACGGGACCTATTTGAGTTTGTAAATAAGCTTCTGGACCATACAACGGTGCTGCTGCTCCTGTTGGACCTTTATCTTGATTTGCTTGAGTCAAAGCCAATTGTTGATAGTACATCGATACCTATCAAGTAATATTTGTTTAATCGTGAGAATTAAAATCTTAATATATATCAATCACGAGAAATAATTTCGTTGAATGGTGAAAAGAACTAGTCTCGAAAATACTCTGTTTATTTCTTTCAATTGCTCTTCATTTTATGCAACGAGTGACTTCATACTGTGGTAAATATTTCCGAGTAAACTGTTTCATGAATATTTACGTCAGGCACGGATCCTGGTGGTCCTGGAGGACCTGGAAATCCGGGCGAACCAGGTTGTCCAGGAAATCCAGCATCACCTGGACGGCCAGCATCGCCTGGTCGACCAGGTTCACCCTAAATATTGTTTATTAAAATATTACTTCAGGCAACATTTTATTACAAAGCATATTGTTAATCAGGAAAAATAGTACATTTACCCTAGGTCCAGGTACAGCAACCGCATTTATTTGATTACTTTCGCCAGGTGTAATTTCCGTTGGTGACTGGAAAACATTCGTTTAATCCCATACACATTTTTCATTACGTTTCTTTTTTTATTTTCTATTCTCTTTGATACTCACTAAATGAATTCTATCCGGAGTAATGTTTACTTCTCCTTGCGACAATTCTGTATAAAGTAAATAAGTAAATTAGGTGCTTCTTCGCTCATAAAATAATGTTATAATGTCGTTTCACTAGATTTCATTCTTTTCCCTGTTATTATCAAAATATATTTGACAATTTAATAAACTATTAATTACCTTGATGAAGTAGTCGAGTCGTCGTTGGAGCCGGCAAGTCTGTAGGCAATACTGTTCTGTAAAAGGATTGTGGTGATCCTTCTACCGGCGACTCACCACCTCTGCCTTCACACGATACCATAACACGGATTGTTATCTTCATTTTTCATTAATTATTAAATTAGATATTCACGTAGTTAACTGTATGTCCATGGACATTTTTAACACTTGATCTTACGTTTAACAAATATATATGATACTCCATTTTATTCGATTCAGATAAATATGTTCGATATTATTAATGCTATTATAAAATATTTCAAATGAAATTCGAACTCGGATTAATAGCCATTTTGATGAAACGAATCATGTAATTCCTCGAGATGAAAGAACTTACCGGTACTACCAACGCCAAGCGCAGTTACTGGTAACGAAGTAGTTATCGGTGTTGTTTCTAAACATTAAAATAATAGAATAAATGAATATTGATTTGTGCGAATTGTACTAAAAATACAACACGAAAACACCATTGTTCGAGTAAAGTATTACTTTGTAACAATTTTAAAGAAAAATTAATGAACTTTCTACAATATAAAAATAATATTTATAGAAATATAGAAACGATGATATTTACAATATTCGAATATTACAAACGATGCTAATGAAAGTGACGTCCGAAACTTGGAACGCAATCATCGTGATTAAATATTAGTAGCAGAATTAATATCGATTACGATCTAGAAGAATTAATAGAACCGGAAAGCAGTAGTATACGATCATCATCAAACCGCATATCAGCTAATAGGCTACAATAAAAACCGTAATTCTATTGTTAATTTTTATCAATTAACGCAATTGATTAATTGCATTATACGAAGTGCTAATGAAGAGCATCCGATTTAAAACTTCCGGTGTTACTTACGCCGGTTATTAATATGTACTTCGCTTTGTACTTAATGCAATAAATATCATTGTATCGTAACAAAGAATATAATAAATCATAATTGTGCAACCCCCTAAGGGTTGCAGGGATCCAACGTTACAATTTTTTTTAATAACTTACGCTATTTCTAACAACATTGATCTAAAACATTTTTCCTCGTTGAATAGAAAGAGTAATAATCAACGATTAAATTTATTAATTCTACACAAGTTGTTTTAAATGTTTAGTTATCGATAGTGTCTAAACGTTTAATATAGAATTACTTATATCGTAATTATTCTAAACAAATTTTTTAACGAGTACAGTTTATTGCAATTTTTTTACAGAACATTTTACCAAGATTTATCGATAAGAAAAACAGTAATGTAGTCATTATTTACTTAATGTCTTTTATTCGAACTGCTGGAAATATCGAAATCGCGTAAACAGTGAGGACTGTTGGAACGGTTGGGCAAATAATTTATATCTTTAAAACTATTACGTATTTTCGAGTGAAAAAATTCACGTAACTTAATCAGATATGTATGAATAGCGATAGAAAGTTTTAATCCAATATCAGGAACAGTTTGAATATTATAAAATTTCTAAAATATTCTAGTTTTTCCATTATATTTTCCATAGAACCCCTTAACCCTTTGCACTCTGACGTCAAGGTGCACTCGACATCGTGTTCCATTTCAACTGCTCGAGCTAAGCTTTTTATGGTACAGAGTTTTATGAGCATTATGCACACATGGTTTCGCGTTCTTTACTACATGTTGCAAAACCACTTACCGTTTCTGTCTTCGTATTCATCGTAGCTTCCATAATAATCGTAGTCGTAATCGACGCCAGCAGGTTGTTGGGCCTGCAGGTTGTTGAGCGGTTTCGATCGTTGTTTCCTGAGCTTGGTCCTCACGGAATCGACCTGCGGCAGAAGAAGCTGAACCACCACGAAAGCTGTGGCCAGCTGAAGGGCCCTCGGCCCCATCAAGAATTATGGACAACGAAAAGCCAGCTACGCGATCCTAGAACCAACTCGCCTTCGTCCGAAGCTGAGGACAAACTAGACTTATGACAACCGGCGTGTCATCTATTTAGCAGATGCTTTGTAACTCAGGACAGGTCATCATCCTCCGTTTTACGATGTAGATGCAGTCCTCCCACTGCCTGGAGGTTTCATCTCATCCCTCCTCTTTGCTCCCTTTCTTTCACTATACGATTTTTTTCCTCTCCCATTTTTCCTGCCTTTGCTCTCTATAATTCTCTACCCTTCTTGGTGCATACCACGAAGGGGTGAAAATCTTGTCTTGGGATTCCGTCTACTATCTATGTATAACAGAATATTTATGAATTTTTATTTATTTATAAATGAGAAATGAGGAACGAGGAATCATTAAGTTAGAAAAAACAAATTTTTCTATATCGATTCTATTTATTATTTATTAATTAATGCAGTATTTTGTTGTAAGTAAAAAGATGGTACAAGTCTATAACGTTTAGAAGAACAATTACCCTTTTCCTTTAGACATTCGAAATATAATTTCGATATTTACTAAATACTCGACATTTTCTTCAATCTTTGCATAAAATTTCATAACTGAGGGGAGTCCATTGCTGTATAGGGGTGGATCCAAATACCTTGTACGAAGGGGATGCAATAAAACTAAAAGTGTAATATGTAACTTAAATTATTCGAATATTTAAAACAACATATAATTTTCTATCGAGCCTTTGAAATTTTTCAAATAAATACAATCTTACATAACGGTTGATGACTAAAATATCTGAAATGCAGATAGAACGTCGAAATATTTGTTGCGGTACCATCGATGTAACTTGGCGAACAAGTTGGTCTCGATCATCGAAGATTCGCGTTTCGTGCGTAAAGTTCATAAAGGCGATGATGTCAATTAGTACACGCGATCCTCCTTCAAATGTGAATCCAATTCACAGAATACGCAAACAGTCCGTCGACCCACTTCGTCGTTGTTCCTCATTTTTATTAGTTAATTCTGCAACACCACTCTCGATACAGAGATGCGTCGTTTTCACTTAATAACTTTATTAAATGACAATCATCGTTTTGGCCGCATTCCCGAAGCGCGACTTACTTTACAAAGCGTTAACCGTAATAAGCTACATTGACCCGCGTCTTTGCCTTCGTTACAACCAACTATAAATCAGAGCTGCCACTATTTCTAATAGTATAACTGGGCCAGCGCAATACTATTCTGCGCTACTATTATGCAGGGGTCTCCGATAACAACGATAGAATTTATTTAAATAAGATGAAAACTACAGAAGATAATCCGCAACACGTTCTTCTATTTTTATGTACAAACAAGCTATGGCTATGGAGCTTTACATAAAAAAGTTTACACCTTACAAGTTTCGATGACAAGAAATAAAAAAATTCCGTACAGTTGAAGTAGACTGTATGTATGCAGGCAAAACTAAACTATCATAGGGATAACGATGGCTTCCGATGCAATAGGGGGAAGGCATGAGTGTGTGTGGAGGATATAAAAGATGTCTAGTAAATATTACCAAAGGGAAACCGAATATTAATAATTTTTAAATAGGAAATGTATTGAACTCTGACGAAAGTAGTTTGAATCTAGAACTACACTTCAGGAACATGAACCGTACGGGGTGAAAAAACGATTCAAGTACTGTTCATATCCCCAACCACTTACAGTTACACAATTCGAGCTTATTATATCTACAGATGGAAAATTGCTTTCGCCTCTCTGTTTAATTTTAAAAGAGTCAAGTGGATAGTTTGGACGAAAAACACAAGATGTTTAGGTTGTCCAATGATCAAGTTCTTCCTACATCTAATAAATTAACCTCTTCAGGGACGATTTTTTTTCCTCTATTTATTATTCAGATTACTTGAATCATTAAATTCATGGTAATCTGCTTTACTTTTTGAGCCTTACGACGAAACATTTGCTTTTCCTCCCATCTTCTTCCTTTTCTTGCTAAATCTGAACTACTGCCGTATACACAATTCCCGTTTTTTCATCAAATGTTCCATCTAACGCAACACACTGCAAGTTCGCATATATCTTATACACTTCTAATTAAACGATTAAAAAATATTAAATAGTTAATGCATACATCGTATCTTGCTTTCTCATCCATCTCTCATAAGCTATTTTATTCGCGTCTTCGGGAGTTTCGCACACGAGAGCGTTATTTGTAGCGAATAATACTGCCCTGTCGATATCCTTACAAGAGAAATGTAACACATCGTACAACAATTTCACATTTTTAGGCTCTTGTATGTTTCTGAAAGTAACATTCTCCATGATAAGATATCGCTATTTAATACATTTTTCGAATACCAACAAATAACAAGGTATTAAATTAATCTTTACAATTAATAATTATTTATCAAACATACCTAAGCCTTTCTTCCAATGGATTTGCTCGAATGCGATGATTGACGAGCAGCGGCCAAGGGACAAACCGGTCTTTTTAAAGACCAAGAAAATCTCATATTTGGGAACAACACCTAAACTGAACAAATAAACTGAACAACTTTTACATTGAACAATTCAGAGACACTTTACATCTCTGTTATGGAACAACTTATGCAATAAAACTGAACATGATGGTATATTTGCCTTACAATTTCATTAAAAAATAAGTTCGATAAATGCGAATGGATAATCGATTTAAATTCAAATGATAATGAAAAATCAATGACGCATGTTTGTACATTATTTTTTAATCCTGGACTGAATACTATGGGTACTTTGCTTATGTGCGCCCACATAGCTCGGAAAGTAAAAATGCCTGGCCAGTCGAGAATCTCGGGGAAAAATTATTTTCGTTTGCAGGGGACAATTACAATCATTTTTTGTCATTACACATACCCCCGAAATCCTAACCACTTTCGAGAAAAAAAATTCAGTACGGGCGCGGAACTTTAAACGTTAACAACTTAAACGAAGCTTCAATCGACAAATTGGTATTCTTGATTCTCGTCTTATTTTCGCCCCTAGAATCTCCCATTAAAATTATTCCCAGGGGCGGCCGAACACCCTCTATAATGTATAAAAAACAGTACCTGTTCTTCGGCTCCATGCGTTTTACCCCACGCCGCCATAACAGATGAATCATTTACAGCAACACAAAAGATTTCTGCAACTTCTTTACACCTTAAATCTCCAGCATTTTTTTTTTTAACAGCTGCAACTCGTTTTACATCGTAAAAGGGAATTTTTCCATAGTAAATTAAATTTAAATAATAATAAAGTTTTCGAACGTTTTCCTTACTATATTACTATATCGGTAATCAAAGTATAAATAAAGTTATGCTAATATCCATTAAGAACAAAAGAAAAAAAGCTATATTTAAGCGATTAAAATATAAATAAAAGACAAATGTTTGAAACACATTGCCAAGTATTTTTTGGAGAAGTAATTCACGAATTTTTTTATGAAACTGATTATTATCTATTAAAATTTTAGTACGAAACAAATATATGTATAAATATTAAATATTAAATTCGGAACATGTTTCGCTAATTAATATGTGTAGGATATGCAGTTAAATCAATTGTTAATACTTTACTCTCTAAGCATTCGCCAACCTGTAATTTCGAGAAAAGTAATCTTGATAAAAAAAAGCACGCGTATAAATGAAAAAAAGATAGAAAATACGTATACGTGTACATACATCGGGGCAAATGCCAATTAACGCATCAGCATGAGAGTAAAATTCTTCTTTCAAGGATATAACGATAGTTTGTAAAGAGCTCGTTTTATCACGTATGTAACTCGCAACTTTTCCGATATTAGTATTATCTAAAGCAGCATCGATTTCGTCCAAGACAAAGAATGGCGCCGGTTGAAAACTGTCAATATCATAAAATAAAATTCTAACTAGAAGCAAGTAAAAAAGGTTAAGCTTCACGTTTCACAATTGTTCGTCGAAACAGCTAACATTAAAAAGTAAATAATATGTATAGATATAATTACCTATGAATTGCAAACAATAGAGCTAATGCCGCAACAGTTTTCTCTCCTCCGGAAAGATTAGACATTGGTTGAAATCGTTTTCCTGGTGCAACACAATTGTAATTAATACCATCCAAGTAGGGTTCTTCCGGATTTTCAGGGCCAAGGAATGCTTGAGCAGATTGATTTTTTGCTAAGCTCTAAAATAAGATAAATTTCTGTTCAAGATATATCCACATAAAAAACTTGTCTCACGTAAATATAAACTGACCTTATAAATCGGATCGATTTCATTAGCCACATGTTCGAAACAGGCCATAAATCTGTCGTGCCTTTCCTTCTTTATCTTTTCAAATTGTGTTTTTGCTTTCTTTGCTTTTTTCCGCGACTGTTCAAATTCTTCATTAGTTTCTTGCAACTTTTCTTTGGCAAGATATAATTTTTGTATTGCCTAAACGAAGCAACACGTATTTCGACATTATAAATTTATTTCTTTATCGTTAGAAAATTACATCAACGTTTTAAAGAATTCTCTATCTTACCTTCATATTAGGTGCTTGAATACGTTGAATAGTACTTTGTAAATCATTAATTGTTTTCGTTAATTTGTCAGTGGTTTTTTTAATATCTTCTTCATCAACATCTTTTAAACTATCAAGAAGAAGGGCATAATCTATGGTAATTCGTCTTTCGCGTTCGTATTGTTGCTGTGTACTTACTGATAAGTCAGTATTATTTTCCGAACTATTGTTCGTACTAGATTCACGAGCTATATCTTCCATGTTCCCATGGAGCATTGGAATTGCAATGTCTTCCATCTAAATATTATTGTTGTTTAGAAAATGTTAAGCATACATATATGTATATGTATAATCCATAAATTAAATCATAGTTTCTATCGCACCTTGCACTGCAATAAAATAGCGTGGCGTTCGGCTTTCTTTTGTTCAATTTTCGATTCGATGCCATTTAATTGCTTCTGTGTGGCTTGTATATCCTTCGCAATTGCTCCAACCTCGCGCCTTGCTTTCCCAATTTCATCTTCTTTTTGATCCACTTCCATTTTCTTTGCATTTCGTGCCGATTTCAGCTGTTCCATCAGAGTCTCGTCGTGATCTATCGTTGCTTTTTGGATCGATTCAGTTTGCCGTGCAGATTCCAGTTTATCCTCCGCATCTTGAACGGCGCGCTCCCAACGCAAAACGTTATCTAATCAATTATATACCACCATTTTATTTCCTTCTCACATTATTTAAATAATTATTCAATCTTCGAAAATAACAGAAATTTATCCTCTCCGTTCACTTACTCTCCGTATCACGCTGTTTTTCAAAATCTAATTGATTGCAAATGCGATTGCACTGATTTTCAAATTCCATTCTCTTCTTTGCTCTCTCTTGTTGAGATCTAAATTTTCATTTTAATAATTAGACTTTCTATGGCTTAAAACATTATTTACGCACATCGTAACAATATACTTATTTTCATACACGTTAAGAAATATCTTGGCGATCTAATAAAAACTACACACCGTAATTCTCTTTCTTCGTATTGACGAATATTAGATACACCTATTTGTTCGCAAAAACTGGCGAATACATCGTCTTCGACGTTGTTCATTTTTTCTTTGATATTTTGTATTTCTTGATCTCTTTCTGACATGGTTTTTTCAATTGCGGCTATCGATGGCTACATATACAATTTTATCAATTTTAACATGCTATCTTATTAAATTCAATGTACATATACATATATATGTATACGTATATCTATACTTACACCAAACATATTTAATTCAGTTTGAAGATTATCTAATTCCGTCTCAAGTTCTGCAATTTGCTTTTGCTGTAATTATAATTCGCTCTTTGAATGCTTATGCGTATATAGAAAAGGTACATTAAAATTGTTCTATTATGTATTACGATACTTACAGTGGCAGTCAAATCGTTTTTATTATATTTCAAACGTGTTTCTAAACCGCGTATTTGTGATTCGACTGTATTTAACTCAGATTCTTTTCGCGATTTTTTCAAAGATTCACGTAATTCTTCCGTTAATTTTTCCTATAAAGAATTTTTCTAGTTATTACTCTATAGTTTGATGTGAAAAGTAAATGATACGTGAAAATAAAATTTCCTTTACTTTTTGTGCCTTAAGTTGGGACATTTGCTTCTCATCCCATCTTTTCGCCTTTTTTGCTAAATCCAAACTACCACCAGATATAATTCCAGCTTTTTGATAAAACGTTCCATCCAATGCAACACACTGCAAGTTCATGTTTATATTATACATATGCATCAAACTATACGATTAAAAAATATATAATAGTTAATGCATACATCGTATCTTGCTTTCTTATCCATTTCATAAGCTACTTTGTTTGCATCTTCGGGAGTTTCGCACACGAGAGCGTTATTTGTAGCGAATAATACTGCTCTGTCAATGTCCTTAGGAGAGAAATGTAACACATCGTACAACAGTTTCACATTTTTTGGTTCTTGTATGTTTCTGAAAGTAACATTCTCCATGATATGACATCGCAATTTAATACATTTTTCGAATACCAACAAATAACAAGGTATTAAATTAATGATTACTTCTATACCTAAGTCTTTCTTTCAATGGTTTTGCTTGAATGTAATCGAGCGGAAGAAATGTTTCTGGTTCGAGATACTGTTCCTTAAGATACTGAATACATTGTCTAGCTGTCTTCTCGGTATCAACAACAATCGCTTCCATATATTTACCAAGAACTTTCGTAATTGCAACATTGTATCTCTTGTGAATAGGTTCGCACATGTTGTACATACGATCATACTGAGAACGAAGACATAAACTTTTAAAATAGATCGTTTACAAGAATGGAAGAAACATTTCAATGAATTATATTACTCACTACACCAGGAAAAAGACGTTTGAAATTTTCTACAATTTCAGTTTTCTTTTTGGTTCTCGATACTTCGTGTTTGTCGACTTTCGCATCGCCAAGTTGTTCCGAGATGCTTTCTAATTCTCGCTGAATGTTCTGTATTTTATCTTTCGAGGTGCCGACATCGGACTGTAAGTCAGCTCGCAATTTTTTCTGATCCTCTAAAGCTGCTTCGGACGATCTTATGTGTTCCTCCAATTTTTCTACTCTTTTAAGAGCTTCGTCTCGCATATGACCTTTTTGTTTATGCTTGTTTTCTATTTCCGTCTTTTTCCTGCCTTCGTTGTCGAGCCTATCTTGATCTGATTTTTGTTCGCGATTAATGGAGTCAAGAAGTTGCAGATATCTTGCCGACTGTTTGCCAGCTTCCTCTTTCATGCGATTGTACTCTTTAACCTTGATTTTATTTTATCATTATCATTATTATTATTATTATTACAGAATTTATATTTTTATTATAATCAGTATTAGAAATTTTGAAATAATACGTTCATCGAGGAAATCTTATTTAAACTAACTAACTGTTCATACCTGTTCATCTTCTAGCTGCACATCTCTCCCTTGCAGTTGCGATTGTCCTGCGATACTTGCTTCATAAGCGGCCTTAGCTTCCTCCACTTGACGTAATTCTTCTTGAAGTTCATGTATATCTTTCTTATGTGCTTCATCCGCGGTGCGTGCTTGCGTTAAAGATTTCCGTGCAGACTCTACTTTTTTCTGCATATGGGCAACATGTTCTTTCGCTTTAATGAATTTAGGTCTTTTCTTTGTTATTTCTACTTCCACTTCTCTGATATCTTGTTCTATCTTGGCAAGATCTCTTCCTAATTTTCCAGCTTCCTTCTTTTTCTCTTTCAATAATTCCTCTGCTTTTTCTTTTCTCTTTTCAATTTTTTCTATCTCGTGTTGTTTCTTCTTCTGTGAAACTTCGAAATTCTCTATATATTTCTCATTATGAAACAAACGAAACAGTTGCAATTCAACTTGCTTTTCTACCTAGAATACAACAGATCATCCGATAAGAAAACTTTAATGTTTATTTCTATGATAAAAGTTATTAATTAGTTCGGTACGTGTTTTTTCTATGATACTAATGAATAGAAAGAAATCAATGATTTTACGTATTCTTCCTTCAAACGTTGGTATTTTTCGGCTTCTTCTTTTTCCAATTTTGCTTCTTTCCTTTCTGCAGCGATACCCTTCTTCTTTTGATATGAAAATTGCGTTTCCTCTTCCGCTCTTAGCATTTCTGTCCTCAATCTGTAATATAGAGCCTTGCATATTCTAGCCAATTATACATATACACGTGCGAGCGTGTGAAGAGAGAAAGTTTTATAATATGTGATATATAATTTAATGATGAACACAGGACGCGGAAGCAATGCAAAAAGTGTTATGTCACATAAATATTAGTTATTTAACTTGATCATTTCTGTACTCTAGTAATTCATAATCATAATCTCAGTTAGTATAATTGATTCTATTGAAAACTGTGTGTACATAAATACACGACGAGTCTTTGCCATTTTCCGACTTTGTTGATTATTCCATACCATCGCCGCTTTTAAATACCTTAATTACCTTTCGTACTCTGCTTTTAATGCTCCGGAATTACTGATCTCTTCAAAAAGTGCAGTACGTTCTTTTGGATTTTTCATAGCTATTGACTCAACAGCCCCTTGAAATACTAGAAAATTTTTTGCTTTTACATTAATGCCAAGGTGTTCTAATTCGGTAAGATATACCTGACTGGTGACAACCTACAGAATAAACGTAAAAATAGCTTACATAATCTTTTTATAAATAGCTAGATAATTTAATATTTATACAAAGTTATGTCAAACTAACTGTATTATTTATTCTATGCTCCGAGGAAGACCCTTGCACGGAACGCATAAAACTTTTCTCGCTGCCGCTTTCTAGTTCGAATACTGCGGTTACAGATGCACTGTAAGTCATACAGATTTAATTCTAACACGTCATACTTTCTCATTAAGGTCTATAATTATTTTATTCTATAATATATTCCTATATAACCTTAAACATTAATGTAAGTACATATGTAAATCGTAAAACATAAAAATTAATTTACATTTATTGCTTCTGGTTTGTTTCGACACGACGGTGTAAAAATTTGTAAAAAATTTCGACAACGTTAAGAAATTATAAAATTCATTTGTAGAAGTAAGAAAACTGGAAAATGAATTAGTAAGCTTAAAATACAGCAAAATGTTAATGTTAAAAAATTCGTGGTATACATTAGGAGAATATGATACATAATAGAAATTGATACGTAAATCATGGAAGCATCGGTGCAGGATATGGTAAATATATCTAGACACTATTCGGAATAGCAAACCCAAGTTCATAAGTATAGCAAGACGCCTGTTCGCAGAAGATTAGATAATACACACGTGCGTGTGTAAACATAAATCTTAAATAGAGGTTGGAAACCATGACCATTAGTAAATATTATAGAAAGTCATACGAATCTATAGTTTGATAGAGAAAGTCAAAGATACCTTCGAGCAACTGGCAGTCCTATAGATGCACCATGAATCAACTCGCTAAACCTCTTCACGCGCAAGCTACTTGTTTTTTCTCCCATGACAAAACTGATGGCATCCATAAAATTAGATTTTCCTGTATTAAAAAGGTGTCTATAATCGATCATACATCTTTACATGATTTGAAAAACTGTGATAACAAGAGAAAAATAACATGACCTACCGGATCCATTAGGTCCGACAACGGCCGTGAATGATTTCAGGGGGCCGATAATAAGGTTTCCTCTGTAGGACTTGAAATTTTCTACTTCGATATGCTTTAGAAAAGCCGGCATTTTGGAAGTAATTAAAAAACTTCACAAACAACAGCACACTGGAATAATTGGCGCCATAAACTTTCCAACCAAAATCTGAACCATAAATAAAAGATAACTAGAGTCTGGGTACTCTGTACTCTTTTAAAAAAGCGGGTTCGTGCGTTCTTTCCGTAATCTAGTCACAAGTGGCGTTTATGTCGTCTCTTTGCTAGTGATTATCTATCAAGGGAGTCCCTATAAATAGATTTTACCAAATGAAATTTCTTTGTTCTTCGTGAAGTAGGGATGTAAACACTTTTTCCAATATTATTAAATACAAAAAATATAGAAATACTCTTTACAGAAATAACCTTTATTTTGTCAGGGATAAAACATATAATATGTACGATGTGTGTTTACAGTAATAACCCATATTGTACGTGACAAGATAATTTATAGTTTTACATAGTGAATACGCATTTTATTATATAAACGTGTAACAATTGTGTAACAAAATTAATAAATTAATTACTGTTTCTCCATTATATTTTAAATAGTGAACTTACTACACGACTTTCGATAATAGGCAATTTAGAGTTTGATATGATCAGCTAAAGAACAAGAAAGTCCTGTATTATCTGGTTCAACATTTAATGCTTTAACTACACCATCTTCAAGAATCATTGAATAGCGCTTGCTTCTTTTTCCACCCAATACCGGCAAATCTACAGAGAGTTCTAACGCATCTGTGAACCGAGCTGCTGGATCTGCCAACATGCGTACCTGTTTGGCAAAGTACATAATATACGTGTCACAGTTTCTATACAAGTAATACGCTAGCAAAAAGTTTTGTTGTATCTATCAATTAAGTTCAAGTTGAAATTATCCAAGTTTAAAGCAATTTTTCTGACGATACATTAAAAATAGTACCTTTCCTTCTGCTCCTTGTTCTTTACCCCATGCAGCCATAACAAACGGATCATTTACAGCAATACAAAAGATTTCTGAAATTCCTTTAGATTTTAAATCTCCAGCTTTTTGTATAAAGCCTGGGAGGTGTGTCTAAAACAGTATTATATTTGTGCATAAACCCAATACTATACCTACATACATTTATCATCATTTAGTTATTTGAAAACCAAAGATGTTTAATATAAATTGTGCTGATTTTTTTTGTAGAAGAACATTAGAAAGTAGACATTTAAACGCAATATATACCTTTGAACATCCTGGTGTAAAGGCACCTGGTACTGCAAATACCACAATCTTTTTACCTGCTGCAATTTTTGCAAGATTTACTTTATTTGCAGGCGAATCCTCGAAGAGGTCAACTGCAGGTAGCTTATCTCCTACCTAAATATATCAGTGAATACGTAATTAATTTTTGTCGATAATCGAGCAACGTCGAACACATAAATTGTTTTCTTTCCATTAAAATGAATTATTAAAAATATCGAATACCGATATTACAATAATCAGGACAGTTAAATAAAATTATTTTTTCCTATTTTGGTGTTTTTTAAACGTGAAATAACGTTTGTACGAGTAACTTACTGCGATAACCATGTTTTGTGACGATACACGAAAATTTCTGACAAAACAACTAAACGACGATCGTTCGCCGCCAAGAATCGTACGACTTATGACTTGGTTCATCTATACCTATGACTCTTAACACCGTGAAACAGATAATGTACTGTTCTCGATGGAATAAAATATAAAAGGGTTCGTTCGGTTCAAGCACTAATCTGTAGCCGGCACGACGAACGTGTGGTATTGCGCAATCTTTCGAGTCATTACATAAATATGGTCTTCTTTTTCCACGTATTTTTTTTTTTCCCGCTCATTTTATTTACGTAGTACGAGGTTGGTGAGAACATAATTGACATATCAGTCTCCTTGACGTGTAATCATTATTTATTTATGTTGCTGTCATGAGAAATGACAGATGCTTTACAATACTTTAGCATCCCGATCGAAGCGATGCAACGAACGACATTGTCATCGAATTATTCGTCGAGAATTTGTGGTAAGAAGACAGACGAGGTATACGAGTAGACATTACATCAAATGGATTTTTTTGGGCCATTGTTATGGGGCTCTAGAGCCCCATTACCATTTTCGTGTAATTCGCAACGTTACCAACAGATTCAGAAATAACCATAAGGTAAGTCCATAAGGTAATAGGTCTACGCGTATATCTCGTCTGTGCTTTCACCTTATGGAGTTTCATGGCCGAATCTGACTGCCATACCGACCTCACAATTCGGAGGTGATTTTAGCGGCCTCTTCTCATGGATAGCGGTCAGTTGAGAAAGTCAGTGAATAGCAGCAGCTAGCGCGTGTAAATGCATATCGGTTGAAAAGTACGAATTATTCGCGATTCCTTGATTAGTTAAAGTTGTGAATAATCCGCTAAACATCGGTCCAAGCTTCGCGAGATATCGGAGCTCCCCCCACCCCGCCGCCTAATTCGCGAGCATTAACGAGCACAGCGATCGGCCATCATCATTCGTAAGTACCTACGTTCGACGTCAAGACGTATCGGCGCGCGGCGTTCCGCGACCGAGGTACTTACTTACATACATACGCAATACGCATTTATAACCTGTTGATCTTTCCACTCTTACTACTCGCGTACAAATTACGATCTCTTGCAATTCATTACTTAATTCTAATAATCGTTCGTCTACTTTAATGCATCGTTATTTCGTTTCTGTTACAGTCTCCCATTGGAATTCGAAATGAAGAAATAATAAGACTTGTCGAAACCTATCAAGACATGTCGTCGAATAATTACCATTCGCGATTGTTTTCATGCAAACATAGGTACCGGGAGTTTGCTTTAAAAGTAGCGTTGCGAATTATCGATAAACGCGATTGCTCGTAGAGTTGCGAATTACCATTTTTCGCGTTTCCTTTTCAGGGTAGTGTTGCGAACAATCACGATTCGCGTTGCTTTTTTACTCATTTATACATATGATGGGCATCAACCGCGTTTGCAATTTTCATACTATAAATTAGCGTTGCGATCTTGATCAATCGTGCGATTTTTTCTTTAGAGTTGCGATATTTTCAATGCCCAAATTCTACCCCAATTGTAGTACTAGTAGTAGTTAGTTTATTTTGTGGCCAGTACATGTCTATGTACATGTACCAATAGCCCCTGATTAAAGTTAGAGTTGCGAATAATATACAATGTTCGCGTTTGCTCGTAGAGTTGCGAACAAATATTTATCGCGTTGATATATCAGTGTTGCGAATAAATACGATTCGCGATTGTCTTTATGCAAACCTAGGAACCGGGCGTTTGCTTTAAAAATAGCGTTTCGAATTATTAGTAAACGCGATTGCTGTTAGAGTAGCGAATTACTATTTTTCGCGTTTGCTTTTCAGGGTAGCGTTGCGAATAATCACCATTCGCGGTTGCTTTTATCATTAGAAATCGCGTTTGGAATTTTTCTATTATAAATTAGCGTTGCGATCTTGACTTGTCGCGTTTTTTAATAATTAGAGTTGCGATCCAATGCCAAAAAGCTGGCCAAAACGCTGCCCACTGCACCAGGATCATCAAGAAGCAAGAAGAGATTCTGCAAAGCCTCGAATGGCTCAACGTCATTATTAAAATTAGTGTTGCGTATGATCGAATATGGGTGCACGCGATTTAATTAATAAAGGAACCCTGCGTGGTTCATTTTCCGAATAACAAGCACCATTCGCGTATACTTTTATATTTTATAAATTAGCGTTGCGAAAGAAAGAATGGTCCACTCACGGGTTGTTTTTTGAATTTATGAGTGGAAAATATATCCTTTTCTTTATATGTTTGCCAATGAAAACACTGCTTGAAAGTACTGTTGTGAATAGACTAATTATTTCCTTTTTCAGAACGTGTTAAAACCTGTCATTTTTATGAATATATTTTTATCACAGATTAAAAATATATACATTAAAAATGCTGTATTGTAATTAATCGTGTCATAGATTAAATTCATGATTCCAATATATATATATGTATATCACCAATTATTCATTATTAGAGTTGATAATTTTTACGGGATATAATAATCTTTTCAACCTAATTGTTATTTATAAATAGTGGATTTTTTTATAAATATTCCGTATTCTTTGCATAAATCAAAGTTTGTTCGCGGTCATTGTTTTAATCGATGGAAAATAGAATGGTTGTATCAAAAGGGTATGCAAATTGCAATTCGATATTTCATATTGAGAGTTCATTTCCGCGTAGAATCGACATTTTCGTTCGCTATTGCTTTTTCTCTATGAACCTAATTTAGTTTTTAATACAGTCAAATATAATTATTGCAATGTATACGGCTTGAAAAATTTTTTATTCGATAAATGAATATTTCGTATTTATCTTAACACCGAGACGAACTTAACTTTTCATTTAATTTCACTTAATATTTATGTTTTTAAACTTTTCAATATCAATTTTTACTCGTGGAAGCTTTAGTTGAAATATTAATTATTTTTTTCTGTGCCCATTAATACACTTTCGTTTCAGCTATTAATCCTTTGAACAAGTTCTTGTTACAGGCTATACATATAATCATCGAAGAATGGGATTGGAAATGGTACACGGATTCCATCTTGATCCCTCTTAGAGAAATATTTCATACAATTTTATTTATCGTCTGATTTATGTTTCAGGGAAACATCGTGGGATTAATCAAGACACCAAGAAGAAAATATCTTGTCGTATTTCTTTGTTTCGTGTCGGTTATAATTTATTGTATATTAGTGTATGTTTTAGAAAAACATCGTGGGATCGACGAAGACACCATGAAGAAAATATTTCCTCGTATTTCTTCGTGTTTCTACAGATTGCGTTAGAATATAAGTACAAATGTATATAGATTATAAGATAAAAAAGCGTTCTCCTGCCCTTTATTAAATATTACCGAAACGCGTGCGTAAATTTAAGTGGGAATGATTAATATTAAGATACGTATTAGTGTTCTAATATGCAAGGTCCATACGTGCAGTTGCACATTTCTGGTTGGATCTTCAGGATCCTTTCTTCGTTTTGTACGAGTGTCTTGTTAGGCATTGTCATAATGCAAGTATTTATTTAAGAAGGAACAATTAATAATAAAGTACATATTGATACTTTAGTAATCAGGATTCGTACGTGCTGTTGCACATTCCAATTTCGTTTCTAGAAAACATGTGATGGATTATCTCACATGTATCGACATTTTGTTAGGTTTTTCATCTCTTGATCGGTCAGAGTTCGTGCGTGCAGTTGCACATTTAAATTTCGTTTTTCGAAAACATGTGTATCATCTCACATGTATTGACGTTTCGTTAGGTTCTTCGTCTCTTGATCGAGCAGTTCTTTTAAGAACGCTCCTTTTCTAGCTCGTTTCGAACTTTTCGATAGCTTTTCCCTTGGATAGGTATTCGAATTCCTCGCCAAAGGAAGGGTGGTTGGGGCGAGGCTAGGGCGGGTCTCCGTTCGCAGCAACCTCCTCGTGGTGAGACCTGGGTCATATTATTTCCTATCTAATTAATACAATTATTAATTACATAGGAAATAATATGAGCTAATGGCTGCGTTCTTCTTATAGTTCCACATACCTTGTTCACCCTGGTATGTGGTCTGATAACACCGATTTCAGAGGATTCGCGGTGTATGTACTTATAAATTAGGTGCATCCTTAGGTATTTTAATAATCTTAATCGATCGGTTACTCCAATGAAATACAGCTTTCGTTTCGTTAAAAAATACTAAAATTTCTGTAATTTCATTTTCTGTTTCGCTCTCTGTTGTGTTGATTTCCAAATCGGTTGGTAAGGTTGCGAGTGACACGGAAATGGTAATGGGGTCTCGAGAGAGAGGGCAGAGAAACGGGCCGAAAAAATACATTTAATTTTTTCATTTTTCATTTAATTCGATTTTGTTCTTGTTGGCGACATGAAAAAAAATGCGCTGCAGGAATCGGCGCGATACCTCAAAGGTACGGTAACGTGAGACCTCTTTGGACTTTAGGGGTGGGAAGGGGTCGAATAATCGGAAGGAGAATTGCCTTGAGATTACGAAAAGTACAGAGGTTGGAATTGAATACGACACTGCTAGGTGAAACCATCCGCATCCGGGTCATTAAAAGCGGTTCTTCTGATCCCTACGTATACCGCCGTCACAATGCATTGCAGTGGGAATAATACGCTCTATTTACAAATTAAAATATCCGATTTCAAAATAGTCCGTGCAGTATTTTACCAATATTGGCTCCATCTGCGCTTTGCCCACGGTTTACGGTTCTCTATACAATTTCATTAGTCCTCGAAACTTGCCTCGGTTAGTTAATAAAAAACGACCTTTTCTTCGTCTATAGCGAGTTCATTGGTTTATTAGGTTGCTGAGCACCAAGTGTCTAGAAAACGAATTTATATTACACGATCAAAACAATTTTCTCAAAAAGGTGTTTGCAACTCCTTCGATCTCTTCCTCGTTAAAGACTCGATCATTCGTAATGAAAAACGTCGATGTTAACGTTGCTATCGTTTAACAATTTTTACTTTCTCACGAGCGATACAAAAAATTCACCGTAAACTTGAAAAAAGAAACGGATAAAAGATAAAGACGCGAAGCTCTACGAGTTCCTTTTTAAGGTTTGTCGACAGTTTTTTGCAATAAGAAAAAACAGTTAGAATTTTGGAGGTAAAAGAGCATCGTAAACCCACTGTAACCGGGGACTGAAAAACTGTTTGCTCCATCGGGAGTAAAAAACGGTACCATGCTTGGAGAAAAGTCAGGTTTTTAAGTAAC